GGCCTTTTCTATGGGTAAGTCTCTGATGCATCTTTTTCCCCTTTTCACTTTCTTACATTGTTTTCACTTTTCTAGCATGCCGCCCGACAGAGGCTTAGCATTTAATGCCAAGTCTGGGATCAAATCAGACCAGCAGCGTCTCACATATGCTTTTACCACCAATGCCAATGGATCTGATAAGCGCCGACCCTTGATCATAGGAAAGGTGCATAAGCCTGTCTGCTTCCATGGAAAGACAGGCGAGCAGCTCGGCTTTTACTATTGGAACAACACAAAAGCCTGGATGCAGACCGGACTCTTTATCAAGTGGATTGAATCTTGGGACCAAGAGCTGAGACTTGAGGATCACAAAATTTTGCTTTTTGTTGACAACTTTTCTGGACACTCTGTCAATCCAGAAAGACCTTTGACAAACATCCGCCGTGAATTTTTCTCCCCCAATCTTACATCTCATGTCCAACCACTCGATGCGGGTATTATCGCCAATTTCAAATGTTATTATCAATCCAAATTCATCAATTATGTGATTGATTGTTATGAGCTTCACATACCGGTTGGCAAAATTTACAAGATTCATCAACTCGACGCCATGAAACTTGCCAACAAGGCCTGGTTTAGAGTCTCAAACACAACAATTGCAAACTGTTGGCAGAAGTCTGGTATCATATTGCCTCGTAATCCAGACGGATCCATCAAGAGCAAAGATAATCAACCTGAAATCTTTGAAGTTTCCAAGTCAGACCCGATGATCGAGGACGAAATCAGAGATATTCTAAGCAATGACTTAGACTGTCTTGAAAGCTTGAACATTGTTCACAAACCTAACCGAATGTCTATCTCGGAGCCCCTCAATCCAATTGGAGGACATTCAAGTGGCGTAGAAGAATGGACACCCGAAGAAATATTTGAAAGTATTCAAGAAGAACTCAGAGAGAAGGAACAAGCTCGAAACATGCCACCACCACCACCCCCTCCTAGACCAACTCATCAAGAGTTACTCAAGGCTTCAGATGTTATGATGAGATATTGGGCCCATGATGATGGTGATGTAGTGAGAGGTTATGAAGGGGTCATTAAGGCCTCGGTAAGACGTTACCGCTTGGTTCGTGTCAAGTCTGCAAAGCAGAAAACCCTTACTGATTTTTTTTCCAAAAGTTCTTAGATTGTAACTTTTGTTGTGTGCGCTTCTTTGTCAAAACCGATATTTCTCTGCAATATAAAATCTATTGCTTTTCCCAGAGGACTCACACAAAAGATACTCGGTCAAAACCAATACTTCCGAGGCCCGTTTTTTGAGTATCGGTTATATCAGAGTTGACTGTAGTGATACAAACAAATACCACTACAGTTAGGTTTATAGAGGAGAGTATATAATCCTCTCCTCTCTCAGCTTTCAAGAGAATTCCCCAAGCAATTATTACACTACCACCATGTCTGTATCCCTGTAGGTTGTCAACATGCACACACGGAGAGTTTCCAAAAAGATCTGGAACTTTGCTCAAGTTCAGACTTGTGGATCACCTTTATGCACACACCCTTTGTTGCAATTCAACTGGTAGTAGGTATTGGGATTTTAATCATGTTTTGCCAGTAAACATGGTTTACCTTTAACTTGTATGATTTATTCTTCTTCTTGCTGATTATGATCTTATGATCAAGATGAAATAAATTTGATGCAAATAAATGATGATTTTGCAAGATTGATTTATAAATAAACTGATATAACAAAAAATATGAAAAACACAACTTTTGCACAAGCAGCTCAAATCTGCCTGAACAGTATTGGACTAAAACTACCAACAGATCTGTATAAAAGTGAATCATATGTTGTAGTATTTATAACCCAACAAGGGTTATACAACACTTTGAACATGGTAATCTACCAATAAAATAACCAGTAGAAGCTTTCTACAGGCTGTGTTTCTAAAACCAACAACAAAAAGGTCTTTGTTGAAGGAGTACCAATAATTAACTGTTGGTTACTACAGTGAATAAAGATGGTTGACATGTTACTATCTATGATCTTGGCATCATGATTTTCTGTTTTGTTATTTTGACCATTTGATATGCTGTTATTTGTTATGTTGTTTGTTGTGTGAACTCTCATTTGATATGTTTCTACGAGTGTTCATCTTGCGTCCTGCGTGCATTTTCTCTCATTCTTAGTTGTATTGTTTTATAAAAGGCCTATGAGTCCACAGGGTCTGATTCCTCATCTGTTTCAAACCTTTCTCACTTCATCATCATCTACAAACATTCATCTTACTTACAACATGATTGTTTGATTGTGATTGACTCATAGGTGAGCATAGTAGTGCTTAGTGTTCTTTCTCTCTCTCATTTCTTTGATTTCTTGATATGTGTGTGTGTGATTTGCTACTACATTTAGGGTATACAAATATTGTTCTGACATCAGGCACACCCTTTTCCCCCAAAAAAGTAGAAAAAAAAGTAAAAAATATTTCACATCACCAGAGGCCAGTATTACAGTGCCAGCAGATACATAGTTGCCAATAAAAGAAATCTAGCCATTGATTTCAAGGTAGAACGCAAGAGATATCACACTCAAAGGAAGTGAACTGCAACTCTATACGCATGAAACTCCTACAGCGAGTTGCTTACATCTTTTGGACAAGACTCTGTCTGTCAAGTGACAACAGCTCAGAGTGAGGTAGACTGTTGGACCAATATCTCAATACCATGATGAAGGACACTCCTCAGAGTCCTCCTCACACATTTCTGATGGAGATGGGTGGCTGAACTGACAAAAACCCGCGGACTAACTATGGGGCGCGCCCCTACACATTTTGAAGATTTGGGGCGCGACTTTTTCACACTTTTTGCGCCGCACCCACAACATGACTCCTGGTGTTCTGGAAAACACACCATGCTGCTTACTCAAAGCTTCAGAACACCATGATGTCAGAACACACCCAAAAAAAAATCTGGTGTTCTGGGAAACCCCTTCTAGAAATTTCCATAACCATATTTGTATAGCCTAATTGTTTGATTGTGATTAACTCATAGGAAGAAGAGAGATACATATGATTTTAACAATTACAATAAAAGGCACCTGTTTCAATCAATCTCAACACTTTGTGTTATTACAGTCAAAATAACAAGGAAATAAATTAATACTCCCTCAGAGTTTTATTCCAGAATACTGATAGTCTATGTAACACACAGCTATAAAATAAATTTCTCCTAATTAAAGGGGCAGAATATACCCCGCCTCTCTTGAGCTCTGGTTTCCTCCCTTCCCGTGTGGAAAGTGGAGCTTGAGAGGGAGCACCTGTTCTTTTTCTCCTGCTTATCTTTTGTGTGATATTCATCTGGGCTGTACTGACCTCTTACAACAGACCTTCCTCTGACTGTTGTATTACTATCATCCTGCTTCTTGCAGGTAAGGCGTTGACTTCTTCCGTCCAAATCTTTCCTACCACACAAGTTCATTCAGAACTCAAAGTATGTACCTGTTCTATCCACGTACATATTCAATCCGCGAGAACTCATTTCACTTTTCTAATATTGAATGTGACTCTATGATTAGTAATTGTTCTTAGATTGGTGATGCTGTGCAATGTTGGATAAGTTTAAATAAATGCTGTGCAGTTAATCTTTAGTGATTCATTGTTATTAATAGTTTTCAATCTCATGTTCTTCTTGTACAATTGTAAAAATCGAACATCGTGAATTTGGACCTGTAATAAACCATGGTTCAGTCTGATACAGACACTGCATATACCATAATTTATCCTCGCTCCTCTTTCTTTCTTCAACTTACTCGCACTCCTTCATGGTTTTCATTCAATTCCATCAGCACTCTTCATCAATCTAAGTCGTTGATCTATTTCATCTTGGCATCATTCTTGCTAATTAATAATAAACTCTCTTTGATGTCAACTAATAATATCTATCCACATCTTCTTTACATCTTATTTTCACTCGATCTTTTTCTTTTCCTTCGCGTCCAATCCTCATCTTGTATTAATTCAAACCTGGCTTCTTGAAATTGTTGTTCTATACATAGTTTTTATTTGTTTTCTCATTTTTTGAAACAACAACCCACACTAAATTATGCAGACTTTTACCAAAGTAACTAAGATTCAATCTGCTGTTTTTAAAATTAAAAACCAATAAAGATGATAATGTCAGCATTTGAAAGTTAAGGTGTGTTTAATATTTAAAGAACTCCTGTTCACCTGATGTTTATTAATAATACTACAAAATTCATTTTTTTTCGATTGGTCCAATAAATTATGTATTATATTGATCACTACAACGTGTTCAAATCACATCTGATGGATGTGAAACACTCGTTTTGTACGTGTGTACATCTTGACGATTCTCACATATTGGGATGTGAAAGAGTCTTCCCTACAGCAAAAAATTGTAACACGGCTATGTAAAATTGTAGCCTCGGTCAGTCTCGCGTTGCGGTGCTCTGGATCTGAGGCGCGGTAGTGAATCAATTAATATGCGTGACATGACCTGTGCAGGGTAAGAATTCCCTGTGGAATGAGATGTGAGTCGCGGGAGTTTTTCAAGCTTCTTGATCAGGGGTTTCCAATTTTTTCAAGATCTCCCGGTTTCCATCTGACTTGATTGAACTAAAATAGTACGACAACATCTCGGAGTTCAGCCAGACTCCAACATTTCGAGTGCTCTTTACAAATGACCAACGGATGTTAAAAGCGGTCGATCACAGTCTCACAGGCTTCAATTCCCGGCATTTTGCCGCACCGCTTTTTAGTGTGTACATAGCTCAGCATAGCCCCGGGTCATTGTCCATGATCAGATAGAAGAATCGTTATTTTTGGAATGTGAGATGGTTGACTTTTTTTGGGGTATATAATCCCGATGGATTCTTGGGTTTTGCATTCCAATCATCCCAGTCTTCCCAGTCTTTGTTTCATCAATCGACTAGTTATCAACTTACTGTCTTACGCCGTATCTACATAATTTGCCTTTTGCTACTTTATATAAATTCATTTCACAACATGCAAGGCTTGATCAAAACCCTAGTGCTCTTTGCAGCTTTCACTTACAATGTATCTGCGGCCTGTAAGGATCGACTTGACCGTGACCAGTGTGAGAAGTAAGCCTATCTATCCGTTCAAAACCACGCTTTCATTCATCTGCACTTCTTCTCATTACTTTCACGTCTCTTTTTCCGATACTGCTACTCACAGAGCACTTAAGATGTTCACCTTGGATCCTCACGGTAATTTCAATCCTGGTAGAAATTATTGGCAGGCCTCTTGTGGAACCTGTGTGGTAAGCCCCTCGTTTGACTGTTGTCCTCTTGGATACTTCTCGATGAAAGACTTGAAGTATATTGATTTGTTGACATTGTTTTGAACATTGATCTCCTGGGATCTCATCCAATAGGTTTACATCGAGGCTGAGGGTACCAGTAACATCAAAAGGTAAGCAATTAACGACCTACCTATAGTGATAATTCAAACATACTCTTTGCATTTGTCTTACAAGATTTGTTACCCATAGTTCTGGCGAGGGCATGAGCAACACCTTGACACAGATTTTGAATGCTGAAGTGAATGCATGCAATCCATTGATGGTATGTATCATTCTTTCTGAAAAGATTATGTTGGAAAATTTGGACTGATCTTTTCCATCATACAGGGTAAACAAGTCACGATTGTCAACCCATTACTCTTCGGATCTAGTTACGTGCCAGCAACGCTTACGGCCAAAATGGGAGACTCTCCGGTTTGTCAATGAGGATCTGAAGTGTTTGTTTCAGTTTAGTTTGAGATGGTTGGAATTGTTTTTTCAACTAGATTTATGCATATGACTACTTTTCCATTATTTTGTGCTTTTACATTCCGTGCTGTGATATGAACCCACTGTGATCAGAAATCTATGAACAATCAGCTTATTGAATGATTTGAAGTTTTATGATGATGAGTCCAACCCACAAAGTGTTTCATTTTTGCCACTCAAAGAACACTGAAGAAAGTGAACGCGAGATTAACAAATCTAAGGCTGAGGTACAAGTATATACCAAGAGCATTTGTCTCGATTTCACACCATCGTGAAAGATTTCGGATCTTGACCTCATCGCAGCTGACAGGTGAGCTGAAGCATGATCAGAGTGAGCCAGGGAGTTATCCAGAAAGTAGAAGTCAGTTACAACTTAACACACTACTCCAATCCAAAATTATGTTCACGATCTCATTTCCATGTTTGTCTTGCAATGCACTCCAACCATTGCCAGGTATGTTTTGAGTCAGAAAAAACGTCGGAAACAGAAACACTTCTGGATATCTTGCTGATTGTGGACAACAAGTTTTCATGATCAAAATTTCAAGAAGGTAATTCTGAACATTTACATTTGCGTTCCATTTGACTCAGGTATCCGCTATATAGCGCAGATAGGCACAGATATATCTCAAGTTTTTCTTCGAGGGCGCGGCGAAGAAAGTTTTCTGAAATGTAGTTTTCAAAACAGTAGATTTGATAAGTGTAAAAATCACGTGATCGACCCGATTGTACACGAATAAAATATTTTTTTTTCAATCGAGATCTGAAACAGTTGAGAACTTGAGAGTGAGAACATTTTGTTGGCATCGAGTTTGAAAGTTTTCAAAAAGAACTTCAAGAAAAGACAAATCAAACTTATCATACCATTACCATTACCAATACCATCATCCAATTCAAAATGAATACCAACTTATTCTTAAATTCAAAACTTATCAATCGAAACCTTACCAAACCCATCTCAAGGACTAGAACGTTCACTTCATTAACCAAACCTCAAGGTAAAGGAATTGATTAATCTGATTCATAATCTATATTTATTAATCTGACGATCTGATTCGATTTTGTTGATTTTCTTATTAGCTTATCATTCTCAATGTTTTGTATCAAGACAATCGATTCAAATCCCATCAAATCATTCAAAATTTAACATTTTATCATCTCATTCAACGGGTAGGTAAGTTTAATTACCATTCAAATCAAATCAAACTTTCTTTTAACACTTTATCTTTTTTGATTTCAGGAATTCGAAATTATGCAGCTGAAGCCTCTAAAAAGTTTACCAGGTCTAAACCTCATATGAACATGTAAGCGAACCTTTTCAAAGTAAGAACCAAAGTACAAAACAAAACTGATCCTGTTGAATTTTTCTACAGTGGTACGATTGGACATGTAGATCATGGAAAAACGACATTAACTGCTGCTATTACAAAATCACTTGCAGCTGCAAATTCAAATAACAAGTTTTTAGATTATTCTCAAATTGATAAAGCACCAGAAGAAAAAGCTAGAGGGATTACGATCTCAACTGCACATGTAGAATATGAAACTGAGTATGACCTCTACATTCCTCTACCTTTTTCTCACAATCATCTTAAAACTAACTGTGGCTTTTCTTTCTTTCTTTAGGAATCGTCATTATGCACACGTCGATTGTCCTGGACACGCAGATTACATCAAAAACATGATCACAGGTGCAGCACAAATGGATGGAGCGATCTTATTAGTCTCAGCCACAGATGGACAGATGCCACAGACAAGAGAACATTTATTATTAGCACGACAGATGGGAATTCAAAAATTAGTAGTTTATGTGAATAAAGTAGATCAAATCGATGATCCAGAGATGTTAGAATTAGTTGAGATGGAAATGAGAGATTTATTAAGTAGTTATGGATTTGATGGAGAAGTCACACCGATCATCAAAGGTTCAGCTCTCTGTGCACTTGAAGATAAGAATCCGGAAATCGGAATCAATAGTATTAAAGAATTAATGAAAGCTACAGATGATTGGTTAGATCAACCTATTCGAGATTTAGATAAACCATTCTTAATGCCAGTTGAAGATGTCTTTTCGATTCCTGGGCGTGGAACTGTAGTAACTGGTCGAGTTGAAAGAGGAACTGTGATGAAAGGAACCGAATTAGAATTATTAGGTTTAGGTATGAATCAAAAAGTGACTTTAACCGGGATTGAAATGTTTAAAAAAGAATTAGAAAGAGGTGAAGCTGGTGATAATATGGGAGCCCTTTTAAGAGGATTAAAACGAGAACAAATCAAACGAGGCATGGTTTTAGCTTATCCAGGTTCGATCAAACCCGTCAAGAAATTCTTGGCAAGTATTTACGTCTTAACTAAAGATGAAGGTGGTCGATACACACCTTTTATGAATAACTATCGACCTCAATTGTTTTTGAGAACTAGTGATGTGACCGTCAGTTTAACCTTTCCAGAAGAAGTTAGTAATCGACATGAAAAACAAGTCTTCCCAGGTGAGAATGTAGAAATGATTGGTGAATTGGTTCATGAAGTGGCCATTGAACTTGGTAGTCGATTTACAATTAGAGAAGGTGGTAAAACTGTTGGAACTGGTTTGGTTTCTAGAATCTTTTAATCGTCAAACATACTAGGATTTTTGCTTTGTTTTTGATATTTCGAATGATTAAAAAAATTTCAACTATAAAAGATTGATTTGTTTTGATTGATTGATTGCTTGGTTGACACAGATTTGAATAATATGAGATTATTCAAAGGTATACTATTGATTTTTTTGACAGTTGAGCAAAATTTTGAATGAAGCCTAAAAAAGGCCTCAAATGATTGTCAAGACTCTTGATCTTATCAATTCATCTCTTCTCTTTTGATTTCTCGCCATTTAAAACCTCCTCAATCCTTTCCTTTGTTAAAGGTTTTATTCATCTCTATTCTTTTCCGCATCCTTACAAAGTTTTGAGAAGTTTTGATACAAAACTCAAATTGGATTTTTGTTTGTTTCATTGGATCTTGATCTTTTGTTTGACAAACAAGATTAGATTGAGTTGCAAAAGTTGTTGACTTACCCATCCATCACCCATCCTCCTATAGCTCTATGCTATGGTCACAGACCATAACATCTAGTATGAAGTGAAAGAAAGATAGATCTGAATCAACAGAAACAATATTGGTGTATTTTCTAATATTGATTTTCTAGAAGTAGTTAAAAAGGGGAAAAAGTGAGTGATTGTAAAAAACTTGCACTATGAGAACTGGCTTTGCTCAACTCCTTGGGGGCACTGTCATTGCTGCCTTGACTTATTGCACATCAGGTAGAGTAGCTGGTGGGCCATGATTTTGCTGTTTGACCTCTAAGCCTCACTTGTTCCCTTATGTTCATACTAATACCAACTTTAAATACATAAAAAAGAAGATCAGGGCCAAAGGCAATCATCATGTACAGCTGTTTGTAGAATTGATGACTTTGTAAAAAGATAAAATGCTTGAGTTTTCCAAACAACCCTCTGATTCAATCCAAAACCTTGAGTTTTTCTGGAAAGTGAGGTTATCAGAAAATGATCCAGCTTTTTTCATTTATTTTATCTTCTGAATTTGATTGTATCAATCAATCAATATCAACAATCACAATCAAACTTGATTCCTCTTGCCTTGATCTCAAGCATGATTTGTAGCTCATTTTTGATAATGATCCTCATGTTGTATGGCTACTCTCTTCTCAATTAAATTTTGGCCAATTGATGCAATTTATTTGATTGATCTTGCTGGCTCTTCTCTTTTGAATGACTTTAAAATTGTACCATCTACAAGAGATTTGTCCATTTAACCTCTTTCCACAAGTTCAAACAAATTTCTTTGCTGTATTGTTTGAATCCAAGTGAATATCAAAAAATCGATTTGATGCATTTGAAGTGACTGAACCATACAAAACCTGAGTTGAATCCATTGTCAACCAAACTTCATCCAAGTTGAGAGATGCATCAGATTTGATGCTGCTCAGAAGTGCAATGTGGGATTTCTGGATGATCTCAAAGAGGGTATGAGTCTGGTTCTTTGTCATGGATTAGGCCATCAAATTGAGCTCCATCAGCTACTGATGATCTCCTTATCCCAAACCCTTTGATTGAAAAACCATGATTCATTATGATCAAGTGAACTCTAGATTCAAAATCATGGTATGACCAAATCAGACATCAATCTTTGATGATTGACCTCTTCCTTCAATTCTTTTTGAATCAGTTCTTCTTTTATCCAGTACTTTCTTCATCCCCAAAACCTCAAACTCTTTCCAAAAACATTACAAGTTCCACATTCCAAACCCCACTCTTCCCTAAACAAACTAACAAACTTTTTCCAGAAAGCTTGGGTTTTTATTTATACTATGTAATCCAGTCATCTTTCAATCTCTATCATTCATCTACCTTCTGAACCAAAAGTAAATCTTTCTCCATTACTAAGCAGAAAGATGGAAAATTACTTGGCTCATGATGGAGAACATTTCATGTAATGAATTAGTTTTTTTTGATGTCTTGGGAAACTCAAGGACTTAGAAGATAAAGTAGTGATCATTAAATTCATTCCTTTTTAATTCTATTCAAGTCAAAAAATTATACACGATCTTGAGATTTAGATTTAGAAGCAAATGATCTATTAAAGTTTAACATCAAATTTAAATCATCTACCCATCCATCACCAGGAGACAAAAGTCGAATGGGATCCAACGATTTTCGTACAATGATAGATTGACCTGGATGTAAAGTTTGAGTCGAGATCCCATCCAGAGCAAGCTCAGCAGATGCACGAGCCTCCGAGTCCAACTGATCCATCCCAGAAGATCATACATTAAGATTATAATCTGATGGATTGAAAGGTGAGTTCAAAAAGAATGACTTACTGTTAGTTCGACTGTCACATCTGCTGGTACTACTAATGGTCTAAAACTAAGACTACGAGGACAGATAGGAGTAATAAGTAATGCAGCAACAGCAGGATGAACGATCGGACCACCAGCAGAACAAGAGTAAGCAGTTGAACCAGTAGGAGTAGCCACCACTAATCCATCAGCCACGACGGTTGTAAGGAATTGACCATCGATCGTAATATGGATGGGTGTCATATGAGGATGTTGACTTCTATGAAGACTGATCTCGTTGACTGCGCTTAATGGAACTGCTTTAAAACCAAATCAAAAGGAAAAAAATTAGTTAAAGACTTGAAAATGATAGAGCAATAGAATAGTTTACCTTGGTTTGTTTCTTCGTTTGGGTTGGGAGGTTTGGCATTGGATTCAGATTGATGGTTAAGATCTGATTTCATTAAACAACTAAGCCTCATCCTTTCTTCTCTTTTAACTTTTCCATCCAATACACTCCTAAGCACATCTTCAAATCCTTCAACAGCTACGAAATCAAAAAAAAAGTCAATCGATTTCTTAAAAAGAAGATTTAGAAGAATAAGATTCATGAGACGATCACTCACGAAAAGGTAATAAGAAACCAATAGTTCCAAGATTAAAACCTAAGATATCTGGACAACTAAAGTTTTTAAAAAGAGAAGCTACATGTAAAACTGTACCATCACCACCTAGAGCGATGATTAAATCGATCAAGTTGGAATGGTTTGAAGGATTGAACCTTTGAAACCTTTGATCATTTTCTTCAATTAAAACTTCAATTTCAGGTGAATGTTTTTGAAAAAATCTATCCTGATGGGTTTAGATATAATGTATATAAAAGTATATATTGATCAAGATCATCATTTTTTAATGGTGGTTTTTGAATGATTTATATGGTAAGATCAAGAGATACATACGAATAAACGGTTTCTAGAACTGATGTGACTCTTGGATCATTTTGTTTTTTGACTATTAAAACTTTTTGAATTTTTTTATGTAAAGGTGGAGTTGAAAACCTTTTGATGGATGATGGAGTTCTAGAAAAAAGTCAAAAAGTCAAAATCAAGTTAGTAAGATAAATGAGTTGAAACTTTGAGATTGAGAATCACATACATTGGACCGAGTTGATGATGATGATGATGAGTTTGGTTTGAAGTAAGAGTATGAAATGATATTGGATTGGTTTTGAGTGTATTGAATGAACAGAAAGGTGAAGTGGTATGATTGAATGAATGATGAAAGGTATTGAAGAGAACTCTTTGAATGGTCTTCATGGTCTTCAATGATGAAAAATTACAAATCATCATGGTTCAAGTGTTGATCAGATTGAAATGTTACAAGTCAGATAGTGTATATGTAAACCCATCCTAATCCAATCACAAACCCATGAAAACCATTGATTAAACTTTAAAAAAAACATCAATCCAACCGATCACACCCTTCCAGACTCAAGACTCACACTCAGACTCAGTTCAACCCCTGAAGTTCGAGACTCAAGAATCTTGATACTTCAACTTCACTCTTTCTTTCAAAAAATATCAAGATCCATGGCCAACAATCAAAACTCACCAATACCACTCCCAACAAGAGTCGGTAACCTAATCCAAACCCATCGTAAAACTTTACTAATCTCAATCACTATAGCAATAGCACTTGCAGCTGGTACAATTTATTTTGGATCGTCTTCTTCCAACAACACAACCACCACCCCAACCACAACAACAAATGAAAAAGAAAAGAAAAAGAAAAAAGAAGGAAAGAAATCAAAAAAGAAAACCAAAAAATCATCAGCTCCTTCTACACCTACTCTTGATTCAAATTCAAATTCAAACCAAAACCAAAACCAAAACCAAACTGAAAAAATCATCAATTCTAAAGAAGATTCAAGTGATACTGAAATAGGTAAATACTCAGAGAATCTTTTCAAAAACCAAACTCTTCTGATCAACTGTTTTTCTGAAATTCTTATTAATAGATCCATTAACATTAACCAAAACTCAAATCGAATCATTACCTAAATCAAAACGAGAAAGTTATGCATTCGAATTAAAAACCAAAGGAAATAAATCATATCAATCAAGAGAGTTTGAAGAAGCGATTAAATGTTATACCAAAGCTATCGAATGTGAAGAGAAAGCTGTTTATTATAGTAATCGAGCTGCTTGTAAGTCTTTCAATTCAATCCAATCCAATCCAATCCGATCATCTTAAATAAAGTATTAATCATTGAGAGAGGGTTTTTTCTTTTGTTTCGCTTCTTTCGATAGGTTTTACTCATTTGAACGATTCAGAATCGGTTATTAAAGATTGTACAGATGCACTTAGACTAGACAAGAATTATATAAAAGCATTGAATAGAAGAGCAGCAGCACGAGAGCTATTAGGAGGTGAAGAAAACTTATTATTATCACTTTATGGTAAGTGTGAGACGTGTTTTCAACCAGAATCCTTCATCTCGATTTTCGATTTCGGGATGATGAATTGATTGATTTTTTTCTGTTTTGCCTTTTTGAACCTCTTAGATTTCACGGCTTGTGTGATTTTAGATGAATTTAAAACTGATACAAAAGGTGTGGCTGCTGATCGAGTGATGAAACGGTATGCTAGTGAAAGAGCTAAACAACTTATTAAGGTCTGTCTGCATTGGTTTTGAAGCTCAGGAATGGGTTCACTTTTAACTCAAGTGATGAGGTTTTGATCTTGATATCATCTTTTTCAATGATACTTATGATATGTTGATAGGAACGAGGACCGAGATTACCATCAGCAATGATCATCCGAGCCTACCTAAACGCATTCCGACCTAGTACGTCTATCCGAACTGTTTTCTTTTCGTATCTAATTTGGTATTTGTTAAATTTGGTTTTTAATTTATTGATTTTTATTTTCAGAACCGAAACCTGAATTACCAGAAGAACCCAATCAAGGAGACCGAACACTAGATCTAGCTTATGATGCACTAGAAGCCTACAAGTATGAACACGCATGTAGTTTGTTTATGGAAGCAGTAGAACAAGTGCCCAGTACCGAACATCTTCGAGCGAATGCATACATGATGAAAGCTACCTTCTTATTCTTGATGGGACAATCAGCCTTAGCCTTAGAAACGTTTAATGAAGCTTTAGTACATGAACCGGGATTGATTCAAGCATGGGTTCGAAAAGCAAGTGTGGATGTGGAATTGGGTTCATTGGAAAGAGCTATGGAAGATTTTCAAGTAGCTTTATCGATTAATGAATCAGAAGCCGATATTTATTATCATCGAGCACAAGTTTATAATGTTACAGAACAACATCATTTAGCGATTTCGGATTATGAGAAATCTATCGAACTGGATCCTACGTTTATCTTTAGTCATGTTCAATTAGCTGTAGCGATTTATAAAACTGGTGATGTGAAACGATCGATGGAAATGTTTGAAGGTTATCTTAAATCTCATGAGAACGTACCGGAAGTTCATAATTATTTTGGTGAACTTTTATTTGCTGAAAGAAGGTTTGATGAAGCTATGAAACAATTTGATTTATCTATTGAATTAGATCAACAAAGGTAAATTCTACAAAAAAGAAGTGAAATGAATTGAAATACTAATCAAAGATGATTTTCTTGATTGATTGATTGATATAGACCAGGACCGAGAAACGTACATCCATTAGTCAACAAAGCCATGGTCTATGCCACTTCATCATCCAACATAGAAAAAGCCATTGAATTATGTCAAGAAGCCTTAAAGATCGATTCAAGATGTGATGCAGCTATTCAACAGATTGCTCAATTCAAATTACAAACTTCACAGATGAAAGAAGCAGCTGAATGGTTTGGAAAAGGTGTAGAAGTGGCTATGACGGAAATGGGTTTGAATCAGTTTTTACAATTCGAGGCGGCTGCTAAGGCTCAACAAGCTTTTGTTAGTGAATATCCTGAGGTAGGTTTTTGATTTGATGAATCATTGGAGGTTTTTTGGGGCGGTTTGCTGATTTTTTTTGGGTTTTTTTGGTTTGGTCGATGTGATACGGGATACGACGGCAATGATAATGATGGGGTTCTTTTGATTTGATTTTCATTTTTGTATATTCTTATTTTGTTGTTTTTTCTTAAATAGCATGCTGCTCGATTTGGTTTATAAATTTCAAAACTACCCAACCAAACCAAACCAAACCAAAAAAAAAGGAAACCAAAATGGGAATAGATATAACATGATTTATAAAAAATGTGGTTTTTTTTTATCTGATCGATTTATATTGATAAAAATTTAATTATTTAACTGAAAACAAATGATTGAGAGTATGAATGAAGAGGGAGAGAGAGGTTTTGGAATGTTTTGAAGGAAGAACTTGGACTTATTAGAATTGAATCAGAAACTTAAGGTTTCCAGTTCGTTGATCTTTAGCTATCTTTAGTATGGTATCTTTTTTTGGCACTACAGTAATGTTGTGGAATTTTCCATGGGTTTCATTCGATTTGAATCCTTGACAGGGTGAGGATCTGAGTACGCCTTATAGGAACATTCCGAGGGAGGTCCTGTGAGAATACTTTGTTTAGTGATACCTGATAGGCAGATCACACTTTCTATGGCGTCACTTAAAAGTTAAAGCTGAGTGAAGTGTGGTGACCGTGTATGAGTGTATGCAGGATCGGGGCCAATGCTGATCGATGATTTGATTTTTGGTGACCAACTGATCTTGATTCTCAAACCATTCTTTTGGTTTTCAGCTAGCTCCGATACAAAAGGACAGATTCATTAAGACAGGTTCAAACTATCAGATCGCTTTCATCATTCTTCAAGCACTCAGCATTTAAACAAGTATCATTCAAGTGAGTTTTTTGATTTGACGAGTTTGTAACATAAAGAAGGACGGATTTTCATCGATGAATCCTATTATCATCTTTTCTTTTGTTTACCAAACTTGATCGATCTTCAATCTTCACTTTAGACGTTCTTTTTGAGGAAGAAAAGAGAAAATGGATTCAAGTGAACCTCAAGCTTCTCAGTGGGAAGTAAGTATCGTTTCATTTAGAATACCATCTATAGATCTACATCTTACCCTGTTACGTCATTTGGTCAAGTTGGTCTTTGAAGCTGATTTGTTTGTTTCGTTTATGTTTTCTTCATGACTCTTTTGTTTCCCTATAAACTTGATTTCTAAAAGATTCGATTCTCTCAATCTCGTCAAAGACCCGTAAGTCAAACCCATCTTTTTTTCAAACCAACTCTAGGATCACTAAGAATGTAACGTTTTCTCATTCATTCTTTGTATAGTACTTTTATTCGACTAATAATAAAACTTCAGTTTGGGATGCACCACCTGAATTCTCAACTGAAGAATTAATGAAATTACCTGGTGCCCATTTCCTTCATGGAGCTGTGACGGGAGGAGGATTAGGTGGAGCTTTGGCACCTGATGCAGGTGGAAGTATTAGAGCTAGTCATATACTTATTAAACATGCTAATAGTCGTAGACCTTCAAGTTGGAAAGAAGTGAGCTCTTATCTGTTTTTTACTTTTTACTTGGATTCAAACTTGAAAGATTAATGAGTTTGGATATTTTTTTCCCAATGGTTTTTATCTTATAGACACAAATCACTAGAACTCAATCAGAAGCCATTGAAATCTTAAAAGAACATGAAGAGATTCTACGACCATTAAATGGAATCCAATTAAATGAAAAGTTTCAAGACTTAGCCAAAGTTCATTCTGATTGTTCTTCATATTCACATGGTGGTGATTTAGGTCAATTTAAAAAAGGTCAAATGCAAAAATCATTTGAAGAAGTTAGTTTTCAATTACAGATTGGTGAATTATCTAAGATCGTTACTACCGATTCTGGTGTACATTTGATCCTTAGAACGGCTTGAGAAAATTCAATTTAATCAATCTGATCAGATGAAAAAAAATCATTAGCAAAAGATTAGCATTTCCTTTTCTTTCATTCATTTGTCTTTGGTGCAAGGTTTGATGTAGGTTGTAGGTTGTAGAATTTGGAAAATGGAAAGATCAGTGGGTGATTGGTGTAGTAGTTCTTATTTTTTGGTTGGGTTTAGATTAGATTAGTTTGAGATGTTGAAGAAATTAAAGAAGCATTATCATTTTTTTTTGTATTTCATCAAGAGTTTGGTACTTCACTCTTTTGTACTTTTGTACAATTTTCCATTCAAGTTTAAGTTTTGAGTATTGAAGTGTGAAAAAATTTCAGAAGAGATAGGTAAAGTTTAGTTTTGATCCTTGATGGTTTTTATTGATCTTTCAATATATGAATTCAATCTTATTTTATTATTGATTGAAGCAATTAGCAAGATTGAAAACCCTTCACTAGAGGAAATTTCAACACAATATATCATATTATGTAAATCTGGGTTCTCAAAGTAGACCTGGTTTCAAGAAAACCCAGTTGACCCGGTTGCTTTTTGGCAGTAACTTTGTGTATTGAGTTGACATTTTTTGACATATCACAGCCAAAAACTTAACTGGGTCACCCGGGTTTTTCCAAACTGGGTCTATTTTGAGGGTAAAGTACAACCTCAAGCAATATAATCAAGAATTGACTTACCAGAGACTGCATATGAGAGGAGGTTGAATAGGAAGGATCAAGCCGTGGTCGGATCAACATGGAATTTTAACAACAAAATATTAAATTGGATCTTGATGTTTTGGATCCTTTGTCAGGATCTACTTTGGTGCAGGATGGAGGAAAAAATGCTATGTGCTTCATTTAGGTGCTCAAACCCCAAAGCCCACGTGTATGGATGGACTTGGACTGCTCACAAAGCTCATAGAGCTTATCTTTCACTCAGTCAATGCGTAATGAAAAGGCTCAAGGTTTGTTTTAAAAACTATCACAGTGCTCATAAATCTTTGATGTAAATTTCATCAGCTTGTGGTTTTAGGCTGGTGGAACAATGAACCTTCTATGTCAATTTCATCAGCTTGTGGTTTTAGGCTGATGAAACAATGAACCTCCTATATAGATTTTCTGCTGTTCTTCCCAGGACCTTGATACATCACTTTGTCTCTCTCAAGACATTTGGACAACTCCTGGAAATAGTTCCACTTTTCCAGGCGTTTTGGTCACTTACATAGACAACAATTGGATCTATCAAACACAACACTTGGCACTCAAGCTTGTGGGATGGTATCATAAAGGAGAATGGTTTGTGGAGCCATTAGTGGGTATTCTTGAGAAGAATGATCTGTATCAAAAGATCAGTCATATCTTCACCTATCCTTGATGTTCCTCATAATTAACACAAGTGGATTTTTCTTTTGATTCTTCATCCCATTTACCTTCTATCCCAGACAACAGACTCAGGCTCAAACAATTATACAATGGCAACTGCAATGCACCAGTAAATCTCTAAGATTGCAGAAGACGCCAGTGAAGATTACAATTGGCATCCTGAAGATAAGGTGGTCAAGTGTTTTTGTCATAAGGGGTTGCTAATATTTAATGGTGGTCTTGAGGCTCTTGGAGTCACACCAGCACCTGCTCAAGTAGTTTGAAAGTCAGTACTTGGAAGCTTCCCTGTGAACAATCTCTGATCTGCTGTTGGAGAAGGTTTTGAAGAAGAAGAAGGAGAAGAGATACCCGCTACAGCAGACCAGAGTACTCAACATCACATATCTAATGCTCAATACCCTCTTGAATCCAATGTGTCACATGATCTGCTTGTGGATCCAGCTCAAAGTGGTGGCGAAGACTGGTACAACAATGAAAACCACACCAATTCTGTTCCAATTCCTACCCCCTATGAATTTACACATAAACCTGTCTTCATTGTCCCACCCTCAATAGCATATTTACACAATATTTCTCATCTGGATGGCCTATTGAAGCAGGTAAGATCTTTTGTCTAAAACTAATACTTGTCTTTGTCTAGCTGATAAAACTGCTGACTCTTGCAGCTCAATTATGTGATTTGCAAACTTACCAGTTCAGCTTCTATGTGAGTGCTTGTAACCAAGACCGTAGCTACTTTGAGACTCTCATTTGATGCATCGATTGCTGGTTATGGTATATGGTGGAATATTAAGTGGGACAGCCGCCATTGCACATGGAAAGCTTGTGATGTAAGTGTCTTTTGTCTAACTATCCCACCCATTTCCTATATTCTTGCATTCTGATCATATACTAATTCTTTTTTATATATGTAGATTATTGATGAGATTCTGATGAGATTCTCAAAAATGATCAGCAAGACAATGTCAATTGTTAAGCTACAAATACACACAACCCCACAATCAACTACACTAAGGGATGCTTCCTCAAGATCTCCTTCACCCCAGACAATTTGAAGCTGATGAAGACTGTTAACCTAGGGCTTGAGGTTACTACATATCTTTTTTCTATGAAATATGGGTTTATTCTGGTCAATTCAGGTTCTTTAGCATTTTGCACAGCTTACCAAGCAAATGGAAGGTGATTGCCCAACTGGCTCAATGGTCATCTGAGAATACCTCAAGCTCAAGACTTGCTTGGGGTCCAAACTTCTCAGAAAATTGACCGCCTCTCCAATGTATCCAATGCACTATGCAATGCTCACACAAGTGAAGAAGTACCTTGTTGAAGCAACATCCTCACATGCTATCTTGATGGTCACAAGGTAGAAGAACCGAGTATATGGAGAAGAACCTAGTTGAGTAGGTAGAGTGGGAGAAACAAAATCCAACATCTTGTATAACAATGGTTGTCACTTTCAATCTTGAGCTTTGTCCATTTCTTTAGAAAAGACTGTGTCACCGCAGTGAAGTCTGCTACTCTTCATTGCACTTTATCAATCTTGCCATTCTTCTTTTGTAACTCCTTATTTGTCATATTCCACTGGGTCAATAGAGCACCAACCTTGAAGATTGAATCCTTGTCAATTAAGAGCTGAGTCCTTTGATGTCCAATGTTTGATCTTGAAGGTGTTGTGCTGAAGATGAAAGGGGATTGTGAAATTTTCCACTACACATCACCTTTTAGATACCCACAGTTTTGAGTAAGAGCTCATGGGCCAAGCAAATTACTAACTTTTTCATTGCAGAGTGAATTCCAATCTGCAACCTGGACCGCACAAGACTGAACTGCACACTTGAGGCAACTGATCATCACTCCATCAATTCATCCATCAACCAATCCATCAATAAATTCATCAATCAACAATTGATCAATCAATCAATCAAACAGTCACTCACTGGTCCTTTGAGAGTGTTCTAATATCAAATGGTGAGTCTTGAAGCTTTTTTCTCTCTTTTAAAACAGGAAAATAACTGAATCATCCTTCTATTCTAGCTTGAAGGAACAGTACTGGTCCCCACTGTAGAAATTTTGACTGATTGCTATGCCAAGATTCTGCAGCAGCAGATTGAGCAAGTGAAAAACCGCTTACTCAATCATGCAACACCCCAAAGAATGTGTCAGCATTACAATAATCGGACATCTCAGCAGTGCCTTTAGCACGTTGAGCAACTTCACCTCTGCACTACTCAAAAAACAAGGTAAAAAATGATGCCAGGAGTGCATCATAATTCCTGGTAGGGAAACCTACATGGGCTTGAGGTCAAGAAAAAAGTATGCTGGGAGTGGGGTTCGAACCCACGCAGGTTTCCCTACCAGGAATTATGATGCACAACCGTGCTGCGTTCTTAAATCTGGCTCCTTGGACCAACTCGGACATCTCAGCGTTGTCAACCCGGCCCGGGGGCCTATTCTGGCCTCAAAAGAAACCTGCCCGACATACTACCCTGCCTCTTATCCACTGGATGCCTATTGTGACTCGCGTCTGCATTGTGGGCAACAAAACAGTCTGTGTTACAATCTCTTTGATGAACGAATTATTGGTCGAGGGATGTCCCATCTGTTTGTTCAATTAACTGAGCTGAATGCCAAAAGATGACCTTCAGCCTTCAATCAGCCTCTTAGGATATATACAATGTTTACGTATGAGAACATAGGGGATATCTAGAATGACATCCCTGATGACGATGTATGTACTGCTCCGCCATCGGATCACCTCGCTGACTGCCTCAAATTCCATCGTACAGAATGACAAGGCTACTTGGTCCCGTCGGCAGTGCTCACCTCTGCACCGATCATACCCGGAGATTAAAATCGAGTAATGAGCTCTTGAGGTGATCTGATCGACGACAACCATCTGATAGTAGGCTCCCTCATGGATCTGAACTTTGTTGGTATGTTTAGGGCATTCCATATCTGATGATTACCGTGTATGATTACCGTTAGCAACGATGTAGGCCGTGTACAAGGAGCTGGTCTCTTTGGACCCCTCTGTTCTACTGTGTTGTATACAATATTGAATAAGGAATATCTTACATCACTTGACGTCTTCCCAATATAACATCAGATCCCCATGATTCTGAGAATTAAGCCACCAAACCGAACTCCATCATCGTGCATCTGCGCATATTGTCTGGATTCCTCAGCTAATTCTTGATCAAACACTCCAATCCTCTCTCTTTCATCGATGACCCGAAGAGTCACATCCGGGTTGAACTCGGGATGTCCTTGGACCGTCAGAAGTGAGATATTTGCGAGCTCGTCAGATGGGTTGTGTTCTACGTCTGGGGTGTATCGGACAAGCCCGTGTATCGGACAAGAGAGAGTATATCCGATTGAGAAGCATGAGGGCGGCACGCTGGTCACATGATCCTGATGTAGTTGATGGAGATGCTATCGTGCAATGTTGGATATGAATCTGGCCAATCAACGGGAGGAAAGATAGTCAGGATATGCTCACAATCGTTCCACTATGATTGATGTCCATCAATCGCTTCCCAACGTCCGTCAACATCACACCCCGAACTCCAATCTCCCAACCAAGCGAGTTTTTCTCGACGACTGATCCCAAGGCTTGAGCAAAGATTTGATGGCCAAAGCATATCCCAAAGAGCTTGAGATGCGGATGAGACTCGGGCAACTGTGCGCAGAAGTATGTCAAGCACATGATCCATGGGACTTGTTCATACGCTGACGAGGCTTAATCAATTCAAGTATGGAGGTACTGTTATGAGTTGAATGTCTTGTAGGCTCCAAGTGAATTGTGTTGACGAACATAGCTTGATACTAACCACTACCTGTGACAAGCAGCCCCTTTGCTGAGTCTAACTCGCTCTCTGTCGGATATTCTTCAGCCACAGCATCGAAGCTTATCACGCGGAGACCGCTCGACGGCGCAGATGTCGATGACTGAGATTTGAACGCGTTATGAAAGAGTTGACAGAAGATGTCGTGATATGATCCATACTTGGCAGCAACCGATGGAACAGGAGCGCCAGCTAGAAGAATTATGAGGGTCGGATATTCTGACTGAGCAGATGGACTGGTGGAACCATCTACGATGCCAGAGCTGGAGACTAGTGACTGATGCATGCGTGAAACAAAAAATGACGACGCGCGAAATTCAGAATGCAGTTGAGGAAGTAACCTTATGGACCCGGTCATGTGCGGGTCAGAGGAGTTCATTCATGGACTCGGACCTGGAATCATATCCTCTTCGGGGCCGTTGATTCATTTAAACCAATTGATGACTTTTTGAGGCTCTGATTATCGGTCGATGAAGTGTTTGATGGCGGACAAGTGAGTGTTCAAAGGTGTTCAAGATCGCCATGGTCATATGAATCATCAAGACAGCACATCATAGTGATGTGAGAGTCCGACATGGATCTTCCATTTGGCGAACTTCCAGGTAAGTGTAAGCCTAAGACAAGCAAAACTTTTAATGTGATATTTTGGGAAAACCTGCGGATATGTTAACGTTCAAGTCAAGAGCCTCATTTTCAATCAATTTCGAAATTGCTATCTTATATGCCGTGATCGCCCAAGTATTGAATCGATATATTTCTTCGGACGTGTTTACATGGCAATCGAGTCACAGTGGAAAAGGAACACGAGTTGTTGAGTGATTCACACTTCCTCCCCGGCTATGTTGTCAAATTATGGCCCACAGAGACCGACATTGATTGGCAATTGACCTGCTGACCGAAGAAACAAAATTAATTTTACTTACCATTCGTGTTAGAAACAGGCGCAGAGCAGCGATCCCATATCTCAAGAGGATTGTTGAAAGTTCGTAAAGGCAAACATCCTTCGACATAATTTCATTGGCTCATTCAGCCTGTCTAAAACAAACTCCCAGTCTCATCTATCTTCAAGGATCGGCTCTTCGAGACGCAGTCTCAAGAAATTGCGCACACCACTCTATCGTCCTTATTTTCTCTTCAAGCGTCATTTTCGAGAAAGAAACTTCATTGGAACCAATCAATACTCCGTGCGACCAAAAAGCGATCATGTCCGCCTTGGAATCGACCAAGCGCGGGGCCATGTATCGGCCGACGTCAAAGTTAGCAATAGCAGTATGCGTAGGACTGATGACAGTACTTTTGAGAAACTTGTGCAGGAACGCGCTAGTCGTGGATGATAGGCCATTTGATACTGGGCAGAACGACTCAGAGTCAGAAAGAATAGCAGTCATGTCGTCCTATCGAACCTGGAATTGGTCCGCCTGGAAGAGCTTGACTACGCTTGCGAAATCTCAGGTTCACCAAGCCGTCACGGCTCAAAAAAGCGGCTCAAACACAACGGGAAAACCAGACCTCGGTGAGAATGACCTTCGCAGCTTTCGAGACCATTAAATTCCACTACCAAAAAGCTGAGATACGAATTTGTATCTTGGCATTGGTAAAAATGTCGCTTAGGCAGGACCCGAGGTGATCTTTTGACAGGTCAGAGACTATAATGATGTTTTTCGGCGTTTCTGCAATCTGATGAATTTTGCCTTGTTCCCAAATGCCCCGTCACACCTTTTCAGGCCAATCCGATGATGATAGTGAGATTCAAATTGCATTGAAGTATGTGACATTAATCAACAAATTTTTAACTTGCTTCAAACTTTTACTCCCTCCAGTGGCACCAACGACTAAGCCAAATCAAATGGGCACCTCACGTGAACAGCGTACGCATATCTGACCATAAGTTCTACAGACCCATTATAGATGCTGAGTTTTCAACGGCCATCTTTGTCTTTCACGCTTTATGTAGATCCGCTGGAGAAAAGATGTAGGTTGCTCCGATAGTTTCCTCTTTCATGTCATTTCAATAGCTCTTTTATAACTTTTATCATCTTCGCATGTCACCAGCCTTAGGCTCCCATCAAGGTGAGATATCAAACCATTTTTTGTGATACGAGCAATCCTGAGCCCTCCTGCTATCTCAGACACCGGATCGTTAAGAAGGCGAAGTCTTTTTCTCGAAGAATTGCGGACCTATCAGGTCTCACTAGTGTCAGTAGCCAAAGGTGAGCGATTTCTGGCGCAAGTCTTTTGTGATTGACAACATAGCTCATTGATTCGATTTAGGTAAAGATCAATGTTCCAAAAAGTCGGAACTTCACTGTCGAAGGAAGAGTCTAAATAGAAATTTCGTCGATTTTGGGTGGGAATATAGATCCAAAGCTTGGAAATCCACTCTTTACCAGTTCCCTGAGGAATTATATTAGCGGTCAGCATCCATCCTTTGTTCTCAATAATCTCCATATTATATGTTAGTCATCATACGAAGACCTGAAATCGTTATTTGCCGCACATCATAGCAACTGGTATTGCTATTCAAAATACAGGTGATTTTCAAAGATTTCTCGCATTTTATCTTAGTATTTCAGGTGCGCTGACTTATCCGATATAAGTTGTGGGAAGCCCTGTTGGTTTTATTTCAGGGCTTAGAACATACCTTGGTAAGCTTTTCAATAATAAGCATTGATTGATCGATCGACTCAAGGATATTGACCATCAAAACCCTCTCTAATCATGAAACTATACTTTTTCATCGACAGGAGGGGCCTCCACTATCTTGGAAACAGGTTTGACTTCTCATGATTTTCCGTCGCTCTCCAATAGTTGGTTGTGCATTAAATTTTGGTTTCCTTTTTGATCGTTTGATTGAACACAGGTGAGCACTGAATTTCACTAGACCTATGGTATTTCCGAAGTGCTGACTTGTATGACAGACCTTCAAGGAAACCCCGTTGGTTTTGTTACAGGGCTCAGAACATACCTCGGTGAGCTCTTGAAGTAATAGACATTAATTGATCAACAGAATGAAGGATATTGAACTGTAAAACCATTTTGAATCATAAAAACACACTTGTTGAACCACAGGAGGAGCCGCTACTATCTTGGGAACAGGTTTGACTTCTCATAATCAGCCCTCGCTCTCCGATAGCTGTGCGTTAACTTTTGGTTTCCTTCTTGATCGTTTGATTGACCATAGGTAAGCAATTGATTTCAATAAATCTATAGTATTTTTGATACGCTGACTTGTATGACAGACATTCAAGGAAACTCCGTTGGTTTTATTTCAGGGCTTAGAACATACCTTGGTAAGCTTTTAAAGGAATAAGCATTGGTTAATCGATAGAATCAAGGATATTGACCATCAAGCCCTTTCAAATCATAAAATGTAATTGTTGAGCAACAGGAGGAGCCGCCACTATCTTGGGAACAGGTTTGACTGCTCATGATCAGCCCTCGCTCTCCGATAGCTGTGCTTTAACTTTTGGTTTCCTTCTTGATCGTTTGATTGAACATGTTACATAGGTAAGCACTGAATTTCACTGTACCTATGATATTTGCGATGCGCTGACTTGTATGACAGACCTTCAAGAAACCCCTGTTGGTTTTACTTCAGGGCTCAGAACATACCTTGGTAAGCTTTTGAAGTAATAAGCTTCAATTAATCGCCAGAATCAAGGATAATGACCCTTAAAATCATTTGGAATCATAAAACCACACTTGTTGACCGACAGGAGCAGATCCCACAACTGCTTTTGGAACAGGTTTGACCTCTCATCATTCTCCGACGGTCTCTGATGGTTGTACATTGACTCTTGTTTCTTTTGTGATTGTCGAATTGAACAAAGGTAAGCACTTGACCTCACTAGACCTATATAGTATCTTGTATGTACTGACTTGTACGTTATCTTTGAAGGCAACACTGTTACTTTTATTTCGGGGCTCAGGACTTATCTTCTTGGTAATCTTTCAAAATATCAAGGGTTGATCTATGAATAGATTCAATGATTCTGATTTTAACATTCTTTGAATTACACAAAAACGTACCCCTTAAATTCATAGGAGGAGTTTCCCCAATAGATTCTGTCGAAATAGGTTTGACAGCTCATGATTTTCTACTTGAATGAGATGGCTGTCCACTAACTGTCTCTCTCTGTTTTCGATACTTTTGTAGTGAAAACAGGTAATCACCGAATTTCATTGCACTCATAGTATTTTGGATGCACTGACGTATCCGATGTACATTCAAGGATCGCCCATCAAGTTCATCTCAGAGCTCAGATCTTTTTTTCTTGGTAAGCCTTTCACATTTCAAGTGGCATTTAGTTAAAAACACTCATGTGCAATTCATATGCTAGGAGGTCAAACAATTTTGGAAACATCCAGTATCATCAAACCAGATACGGATCCCCAGGCAGACCCTACTCGTCAAAAACCATCAAAGACCGATGCGAAATCTCTGCCAACTTCCGACTCGGGTTCTTCAGATGATGATGGGGGATCATCCAAATCTTCCGGTCAATCATCTTCAACCGATTCTGATACCGGGGATGGCTTTTCCAATACCTCAAGCCAAGGTCCTAAAAAAAGTGGCGGAAAGACTGGAAAACCTTCTAACCAAGATACTACTGGTTGGTCTTTTACATCACCAAATAATACACCCATAGAGATTAGGTAAAATTAACGCCACTGACGATTTCCGATTTTTATAATCCACATTGATAGTACCAAGTGGCACCGTAGACAATCCCGACACAAATCCGGGAGATCCTTCTTCTGTCCCCCAGCTTATCAATCCTGTATCAACGGGTGAAGTGAGCCAGCGCGGTTCAAAGGGTGTGGTGAACCAGCCGGTATCAACCCCAACGCCTGATGGTTGGTCTTTCACCACCCACCTAGATAAAGCTGAACGGACTGATAAATTGAATTGTATGATTAGTATCAAGTGGCACCACCGGTGATCCCGATGCAGATGTGGGAGGCACTTCTGTTGTCACGCAGTCCACAACAGCAACTAGTGTATCGACAGATACAGTGAGCCAGCCCGGATCAACGGGTGGAGTAAGCCAGGCGTCATCATCGCAAAACTCTAATGGTTTGTCTTTCCCCATACTCCTAAGCAAAATTAGAGGGACTGACGACTTCCACTTTGCCTAAACTCTATGATTAGTATCAAGTGGCAGCACAGATACTCTTGATACTACTAGTACTGTGACGAATCCTTCTGTTGTCACACAGCCTACAATCCCTGTATCAACAAGTGGAGCGAGCCAGACCGTTGACACAACATCAACATCATCACTAACCAACCAAAGCTCTCTCACAATTGCTGACCTCCTGGCAATTATCCAAACTCTCCTCTCCATAATCAATGGTAAAACGCCTAGTAAGAGATCCCCTCAAGTATTCGATTTTCTTGAAAAATGCATCTTAACAGCCAGCTTATCCCCTCCTCACATTAATTTCCAATTAGATTCGCCTGATGCTCTAGCCAAGGTGACATCTCAGCTTAGTCAAATTAGTTTTAACACTTCAACAAGTGAGAGTGAGTTCTGTTCAGCTTTGAACAACAGAGACCGCGCAAAGCAGAATGCTTAAAGTCAGTCTGTATACTTACATGACTTAATCATATAGCGCAACTACCGAACACTACGACACTCCAAAATAATGTTATCGGTGAGGGATATCCGTGAGATATCAGAACATGAGAAGTGCCTAGCGCCATTTTCTAACGTCATCTCATTCTTTGTAGACAACAATCCAAGTGACGCTTCTTCATCCCTTGGCGTGGGTGTACAAGAATTGAAACAAAGTGGTGAGCAAGGCTTTTGGGAATACTAATGTTCATTCGCCTCCATATAGGTGTAATTTGTAGGTCGAGAATTATTAACATGATTGATGTATTCGTCTTAGTTGTTATCGAAGCAGCCCCAAGTGATCCTGGCAGTAGTAAGTGATCAAATGAAAACATACAGAGTCTCCTCGCACGAAACAAAATCTTGACAGAAATCATGTCCGTGTATTCTGCTTAGGTTCCACGGGTAAGGATTCACAAAAATTGCAGGAATCAAAGCTAAAAAATGAGAAAGATGTTGACACTTTCGCCTCGATAGACGCGTCATCGTCTGATATTAAAACCAACACGCTGTTGTCTGGTAAGAGAACATTCATCAAAACTTGACCGCCTCTGTCCAGATTACCGACTAAATATTCATGAACCGTGTCATTCTCCAGCCGAGTCAAATGATTCAAGTGATTCAAGCTCTCTGGGTTCATCAGGTACTAGTAGAACATCCTTCAGTTTCATTGAGCCGCATGCTGAAATTTTTGTCTTGATAGAACCAGCATCTTCTGATCTTACAAACAAAGATTCATCGCCTGGTGAGAGAACTTTTATCCAAACCTAACCACTATAGCAGAATCATGACTGACTGTCAATATCATGAATCTATAGGAAAACTAGATGCATCAAGCGATTCGAGTTCTGTCGATCCTTCAGGTATTTGTAAAACGTCCTTCGAACCTTTTTGAAGCAAATGCTGAAGCTTTCCTATTGATAGGCCAGAAACTGCCAGTTCTTAGAGCCAGGAATATAGCGTCTGGTGAGACAAAACTTAGCCAGACTTCTCTCTCTCACACCTGACTGACTGTTTATGGGTCTCATGATTCTCAGGCGAACTAAATGGGTCACCACATTCAAGTTTGGTGGACTTATCAGGTAGGAGTAGAATATCCTTGATCTTTTGAGGAAAACACTCGCACGGTATCTTTAACAATTGACAAAAAACATTCTTCTAGACACCGCAGTCGAGGATACCGCACAACACAATGTAGAATCTCGTCCGTTTCAATCTCTTGATTTCTTCTTTTGACTTGATGATACCAAAATTTGACTCGAAAAACTTTTATCTTATTGCTTAGCTCCTATGCCGGCTTCAACTGTGAATATATCGCCTACGGGAGTGCCATTTAATGAGCCACCTTGTTCTGCAATCACTGGCATCCTCGAAAGAAGTGACTTGCTAAATACGTTGGTGCCCACCATGAGCAGAAACTCAGAGAGTGGTAAGTTAATCAAGTCAATTGACTGCGTGACTTAAAAGCTCTTATCTGACACTCCGTTCAATGTCTAACATAGGAACACTTTATGGCAAGTCTAGCCAATCATACAACTCAAGATGAATCTCACACTCACTTGGCTCTTCTAAACAGGATTAAGCTTGAAAAGTGCACCAAAGAACACATTCTACAATCTGGGTTAGTGTATCAAGATAAATTGCATAAATTGAACCATGGATGTGCAGAATATGTGAGCTGAAACCAAGGGTACAATACCCAATATGTTGGACAGGTCTGCTAGAATCTGAACGATCAAAGGAACTAAAAGGTAGGTTTTACCCCCAGGATCCTTTCCATATTATATTCTGACATTATTCATACATTGATCGTGTTCATATCTTTGGATGAAAGTTTACAATAAGAGTTTTTTGAAAGGTGATTCTTAGTTTCAATTGAAGTCAAATCTCTACCTGAAGCTGTTACAAACTGTTTTTTTTTGTTTTGTGGGTTATCATTAGTATTCGTGAACTGAAAGCTCTCAAATGTCAAGAAGTCTAATATTTTTGATTTGAGAAAAGCTGACCTGTTCTCTCTAGCTATGGATCTCGATTTGACTTGCAAGACACCTTCAAGAATCATCATACATTCAAAATTTGAGCTTGAAATAGACAATCAAATTTCTGTTACACCAGCAACTTTGAAGCTATGCAACCCAATAGTTATTCCAAATTGCAATTTCATCATCTGTGATATGTATGATATGTAGTAAATGGAACCTCAAAGATATCAAACAGTAATATATAATTTACACACTTTGCTGATATCATTTCTGTCACATCTTGATCTTTCACTTGATTTTATGTTTCATCTTTGTCTTGAGTTTTACTCATACTTCTATTGTGTAGGATTTCTTCTTGGTTGACTGAGTATAATTACATGGTGTCTATATATCACTTTGGTGATTTGTCTGTACACCTGATAGTGATTGAGGCCCAGGCCATGAGCTCTCCTCCATTTGAATTTGATCATCGATATGTTGGGTCAGAGTGTGTGGTGACTGATAGATATCCAATCTTCTTAAACTATGACAATACCTGCCCTGACAGATCTCAGACTCTACCTGAGCATAATGATCCACACTCCCTCCTATCAATGTCATCTACATATGTAACAAACTTCTTGGGCCCATCTATGAACCAGGACCACAGAATGGTACCGACACTTGAAATTAAGCTGTATTCCACATATAAGAGAATTTATGGGCAGGTTTGTGATAAACCACACCCAGGAGCACAATCTAATGTAATGAATATCAGCAAAATACACACAATAGTCTCCAATCATTGGAGAACCATTTTTCATTCAATGTTGAGAGACAGTCCAGGTACCATATTGTGGGCACCCTTAGTGAATGCCAGTGTGTTGAATGTATGATTGTGATAGGAAATACCGGTGATCCATGGATGATTATCTGGGTTTTTGTATAAGAAGACAGACAGCTTCAATTTAGGGTATATAACCTGGGATATATATATTGTATAACAGTGCCTGTATATAGGATACACATTGGAATTCATTCCATGCTGTATAATTCAGATGAATATCTTGTATTGATTACATTTGGATTTGAGCTTAGGGTGTGATTTAGTAGGAGTGTTTGATGTTCTTGAAAGACAAAACCACTTCTCCATGGGTCATTTACCAGTGGATTGGGTCACCCATCAGGTGGATTGATTGTTTTGAGAATCCGTTTATACGGAAGGACTATCATATGATAAGTTGATCAATGTGGCTATTTGACTGAATCCTTTGGATATCAGGTTTATTCTCACATGATATTGAAGAAGCTAAGACTACTAGGAAAATAAAATCATAAAGGTTAAGTGAATAGGGATGTTCATGTAGTGAGATGGGTTACATACTAGAAATGCATTGATATATAAGTGACTGTATTCTAATTTCCAGTCTTGCTCAAACTTGGACCTTTCTCTTTTTGTATGACAAGATCTTGTAGCTTTTGTACACAACATTGTGATCACTTTGACCACTTTTGAAGTTGATACTAAATGGGATTTTATAACCAGTCTGATTGGAAAAATATTTCTTCAGGTAACCACAGAGATATCTACATTGGTCTTGGGAGCTGAGAATGGCATACTTCACTCAAGTGGGAAACAGCAATGTTTTTGACTGTGACATTTCTTTGAAAGATGATAGTGACTTGTATATGAACATCAATTGGAATCATTTTTTCATATAGCACATCACTAAGTTGAACAGTTTAGTTTTCAAAGACTCTTGCACCAATTGCCTTGAATATATCTATTGTCCAATAGTATATGTTATTCAAGCCAAGTACAATATCTGTACACTCAATATTTATGAAAGACAGATGGGCAGAAAAATATGGCACACAGCATACTAGTTTTGATCAGTCTTGCACATACATACTTTCAACCTTAGTTTCTCTGTCTATCATTCATTTGAGTCATCTCTCATTGTACATTCACTACATATTTTATCAAAGAATCATCAGTATTTGGGCACAAGAACTATTCAGATTTGGGACTTTTCATACATGCAAACTTGCCATAAACTGCGGGCAAACACTCCAATCCATAGTCCTTTCAAAACTTTGTATACTGCCTGTGATATTTCTGTGTCATCTATTCCAAACAACTTTGATTTTGGTGGAGGTTCTAGTGGAAGTCTTTCATCTGTGATTCCAGACTTTTGGATGGGTGGTGGAACCATAACTTCTCTACCCTCAGATTTCCCCAACTTTCTAGCATGAGGTCTCGATATTGGTGAAGATGGAGCAGTACTTGGCGCATCTCCATACTTTTTTTCAGCCTGTGCCTCCATCAGTTTTGAGTACTCTAATTTTTTCAGGTATTCTTCATGTGTAACAGGAAATACCAAAGTGCCCATTGAATCAGTGGCTGTTTGACTCAATATTGTGTTACTGGTTTTAGGAGGGCAGAATTTAGGACTGTCTATCCAGTAACCCAGAACATGGTCACCTGTTAACAGATTTAAGATAGTGGAAATATGATGGATTTTCATCTTGAGGTGGAATGTGTTTCAAGATAGCTGTAAAAATTCAAAATACACAGTCAGAATATCTTGTGTCAAACAGACATCTGAAGATTTATGTGTGCAGACAGTAATCAAATGAGATAGTAGCTATGCATAAGCTAATCTATGCTGAGGCCAGTCCACACACACTCCTCCAATTTATATAAGCCAAACTTATAGTATTAGAGTGATGTTCCCAAGGTCCAAAAGACCAAAACAGAAGAATTTATGATATGAGAACTTACCAACAAAGGAATTTGAGCCTGTTGATTCTGCACACTTTAATGTTCTACCTGTCAGTTCAAATAAATTCAATGAAGTTTAGAGGACACAATGAATGATGATATCAAAAAACTACAAAATGCAACATACAAAGAATATCAATTTCAGGACCACTTGTCACATCATATAGAGTTGAGACACCTTGAGAATATATCAGTCAAACTCTCCTCAAAAGCACATCTAAAACTATGTTTGACTCAGCTCTCAATTGACTCTATAAACAGGTTCCCTTATTGATTCAGAATTCCACCAATTGAATATCATTCTTCAGTATTGTATGGTTGTTGCAAGTTGGTATTGGAATATTTGTGCTACAGAAGCAGGGAGATAGTGCAAAGCAACAAGGCATGTTGTGACACATTCTTGTTCAGCCACAGCAGCAAGCTATGCTTCTTTCTGAACCATGTTGGGGACATAGACTTGCACTACATTGGAAGTTACATCTGAAAGCCCTGGAGCACTGCCCCACACACAACACAAGAGAGAAGAATCACCATACAAGCTAGCATGATGTATATATGTTCAGATCAGGGAAGTCAAAAGAAGATGAAGATCCAGTAAGAGAACCAAGCTAAGCATATTGTGTACTCGCATGCAAGGTCTGACAATATCCATAAAGTTTTCAAAAAAATTGTGAACCTAATCCAGAGAATATGAGAAAATCTCCTCAATCTCCAGGAGTAGGAGCTAGTTTTTGTTCAATGGCTTATGAAATGCAATGATAGTTTAAAGATCTGGAGTTCAGTGGACCAATCAAGACAGTCAACAATTTGAACACCCACCAGCATGATATGTCAAAATTCTTTCTGTATATGAGTGTTGCCTCACTCTAGAAGGTGAAAATACCATCTACTCTACATGTTTCAAACATCAAGCATTAAGGTCTTCTGCTGAATTTGATCTCCTTCTCAATTATCTTATAATGTGGCTATCTGTGATTCAACTCCAAACTCAATCTTGCAAATATTCTTAGCATCTGGTTTCAAAGTTGGGTACCAACACTGCCAAAATGTTTGCCTTGGATTGAAAGCCCCAAGGTATTCTCATATCTCAAACCTTTGACAATCCTGTTCAAGGCTTTGATCCAGGAGATTTTGTGGTGCATAAGAAATCTTTGCCTTGTACTCAGGAGTCAGATCAGGGTCTTGATGGACGTGAATCTGCCATCTTGATGCCTTGTCTTTTTGTATCTCCACCTCTCATTCAAATCAATGATAAAGAAATATCTTTGGGAAGATTCCAATATGTTATGCCACCCAAAGGTATAATGGCCCATTGGGATAGGGTAAAAGCCTGGTAGTGATGCCGCTCTTTGACCATTAAATCACTTTGTTTGAGTCTTTGTTTCATCCACTGCTTCAGTGTGGTGGGTCTTTGCATCAAAAGAAAATTCTCTCCGCTTCCCCTCAGCAATGTACAGGACAGCGGACTACCCGTAGTCAGTGTGCACTGCTTCTCCTCAAGTAGTCAAGGACTTGTAACTGAATACAAGTCACAAATTCTTGCAGGGTGCTTTTAACCTTGCAAGCTCAGTGCCTTCTCCAGACATAAGAGCTTGTGAGGAAGAAATTGTGACGACGTTCAATAGCTGAGCCTCTGCGTAGGGCTTGAAACACTCTTGCATTGGAGTATATGTACCATCTATCCCCATTTGCAAACATAGGGGTTCACAAACCTTCACAAACCAAGCGCTTGTCTCGACTTGCTTGGAACCAAAGCCTGGCAAAGTTCATTTGGTTCTTGAATGTGATGTGTCAACGTGTTGCATGAGCTCAAATGAAAGGTTCACGTGTGAGGCGGATTTTTAATCAGTGGCGAAGGATGGATATGATTCGAAGTCATTGAGAGCCGAGGGAAAGAGAGTTTAGAATGATGTCATATGATATGATTTGAGCTGATGGAAATTAAGTTGAACCAGTTCGATTGAGTTCTTTGATGTCATTTTTCATTGATGACTTGTTTGATATCGAGAAAGGTGAATGGAAATGATTTGGTTGAACTTGTATGCCGATGGTTGCTGAGTTGTGTATTCAGTTTTTAATTGTATCCAATTCTCTTTGTATATACGGCCTTTGTGTGAAGTTCATCGCCTTTGTCTGTACCTCGATCGGCTTTTCAATAAATAATCAATCTCAAACTGATTCTCAACATTCCTCATCCAAACAAGTCACAATTTCAGTTTCCAAAAGAAATCTTAAGCTCCTCATTCTCAATCAAATTCCTTCTAGAAGTCTTCCAAACCATCGCGAATTACCATTTTTGATTAATTTTTAAATTAATCTTATTCACAATTATAAAAGTGAGATTTGCCCCCTATCAACTTCTTTTCTTTTCTCCAAAAACCTTCGCATACATCCACTAATCATCAATTATCATCATAACCAGTCATCAAAAACCCGTACAACTTTTTAAACCTTGGTCAAATCACACAACATGGCTTTCGCTCGTATCTCTCATTCAGCGCTTTTCACTCGTAAGTTCTTCGTCTCTTTTTCAACATTTTAAAAACCCAAATCAATATGACGATGAGAACTATTGCCCAATATGAAGTCGTCATGATTGGTTGTCTAGCTACCATCATCACAAGTGGAATCCTTGTAGGAGAATACAACGTTGAGTTTTTGTCTTGACTCAATCGAAGTTAAATGTCATTAACTTACTTTGACGTTTTTGGGGATCCGATTCGAAATAACAGAAACATGAAATGCCACCTACCGAAGGTATTGAAACCAGAACAAGATACCTTTTATTTTGTGGAATTTGGAGTTGAGTTTCAATTTTCCTGATATACCGGATTCCTTCACTCATAACAAAAACTAGATACTTCGGAAAACTAAGCATAAACGTCCTTTGATTCTTTCACTTTCATAGCCTTTCTCCTCTCCCTAGTATCGATCCTAGGTTTAAGCTCCTCACCCGATCATTTACTCTTTAGTATCGCTGGTCACTTGGTTTGGCTATTAGTCACCTTAGTCCTTTTCGTCTCTGGTGCTGCAGCTCTAACTGCTGTGATCCGTGGTGAACATTACAACCATCAAACAAGGCTTGAAATTCTTGCCGGTTAGTTTCTTTTTCATATATGTCATCATACTTTCAATCAATCAAATAACGGTATTCATGGGCATTTGTTCTGTCTTTTTTTAGGTTTCGCTTGGGCCGATTCCATTTTGATCTTCTTAGCTATCTTGTTAATCCTATCTGTAGGTCTAGGTAGACGAAATGGTTTAGGTGGAAGTCTTTTAGCCAGTCCTAGTGCTGCTTAAAGATTAAATAAAATAAAATAAATTCAAGACTGGAAATAATTTCTCCTAATTTCAACCTTTCTGATTATTCTTAACATGATTCATCACATATCTTAACCTGTTTCTCTTTTCACTCCATTTTGGATTTCATGTCTTCTCATCTTATTTTTATCTCATTTTTTCTACATATTCTTCAACTTGATTTTCAACCTCGTTATTTTTCTGCCTATTTATTCTTCCTTCATTCGTATGTCTTGTAAAGTCTTGGCCATTGGATATGGAGATGAAAAACTTGCAAACCAAGCGACAATAATCTTATGTGTTTGATCGACATCACAACATTTGACCTCAACTGTAACGCCAAAGTTGACTGGATCAACACACACAGTATTCACAGGAAAGACATGAACTTGAGTGTCAACTCTATCATCAGAATAGTCGATAATGACAGAGTAGGGAAATGAGTGGCCCGTATTGAGTAAAAATGAATATGGTCCAGAAGAATCAGCAGCTGAGAATCAGCCATGAGAGAAGCATGACATTAAAAAGTGTCTAATTGAATAAGCTCAAGGATGTCATGCTCAAAAACCTTTATGAAAAAAATGAAGCAAATAGTATTGTAAAAGCAAATATTCAAAACGCTCGAAGCAAGCGCAAAGTGACACAACAAAACCACACTCGTTCTAAAACCTTAAGAATCAAAGTTCTTCAACCTCAACTGGTAAGATTCGAATCAACCCTTTCATTCTACCTTTTTACTATCCACCTTGACTCTTTCTCGTTCGATTTCTTGTTTCTTACGATATTCTTTATAACCTTTATCAGTACCAAACATAGCATCCATCCAACGAAAGCTAGTAGAATAGCATCCCACAAATTTTTCATGATGGTAATCATGATGATCAGCACCAGCCCAAAAGGGTATAATGTGGTGTAAAGACCAAGGGAAGTCGTAACCTGAATGAGCATCAATGGCCTCTATAGAAAATAATGAAAAGTATCATTAGTTTCTGTGAAAAACCGGATCTTTAATCAAGACTCAAAAGGGAAAAAGACAACGTACGGAAGAGACGTAAGATGATCCAAATATAAACTGTCATGATATGTAAGTTTCCTTTAGATGCTAAACACCAAAGTAATGGACCACCAATCGTTCCAGCTCCTAAGATTAAAACTTCAAGTGGATGTGAATATTCAGCTGTAAGACCGAATGGAGCTGAAAACTCATGATGTAATTTATGAATCTTTTTATAAAGTTGACCATAATGTAATGCACGATGAGCCCAATAATGAAAAGCACTAGCCGCAAAAGAAAAATCACGTTAGAAAGATTGAAGAGAAGGTCAATTAATTTCGTTTTTCAAAACAAAAAGCTCAACTCTTCAAAAACAAAAAAGATCGCGACTTGGTAAGCCATTGTTGTCCAACTTGGAAAAGGTACAGAATGAGTAGCCATTCCAAGGTAATCAGCTAAAGGATGAAATCCCCAAATCTAGAACAAACCAACCAACCCAAAAAACAAACACGTCAATTAAACAGATCAAAAGTTATGAGAAAAATGAGAAGAATAAAACGATCAATCAATACCTGAGGTAATTCAACCGTGAAATGAGTCATCAAAACGTATCTTGTACAACGCCATTGATCTGCTGTACTTGGCATTTTAGCTTGTTGTAATTTATATTTATCAAATGCTCTAATTTGTCCAACAATAATCCAAGGTATAGCACGACCAAAGTAAAAGAACTAAGAAAGAAAGAAAGGAAAGATGCAATAGTAAGTAAATCTAGAAGATGAAGATTATCAAAAAAAATCTCGAAAAGATCAAACAAGTTACTTAACTTCATGAAGTAAAAAACTCATCACACCAGTTGCGATCACAGGATTATCCCACCAAATGTACCATTTCGCCCAAAGTTGTTCAGGATAAGTTAAACTTGAAAAATCCGTATTAGAATAAAGGTCTTGATGAGTTGAATGAAATAGATTAGAAGTCACATTAAGAGCTTGTTGAAGAATTGTTGACATTGTCCGATAACTTTGTGTTGAGAAACCCACAAGGAGTTCTTATAAAGAAAAGTTGAAGTTTTTGTATTTTATCTTTCTTGGGTATGAATTTTGAAAAGTTTCGATTTTGTAGGAAATTCAAATTGACTTGCTGGGTGTCAATTACAATTTAGTACTTTAATTTAAGTATTCAAAACTTCTTGTTAAGCCCAAAAGGGGTTATATTAACAGTTTAAGGCCTCTCTTGACTAAATCCGATTACTTTGTCAATCCTCCTGCTTCTCGATTTCTGGCAGTCGGGATCGATCGATCATCAGCACCCACCGTTAAACAACTTCATCCAGTCCATCGAGTATGTAAGCAAACTCAAGTGAAAGTCGTTTCAGACTTACAGTGATAGCTCTAACTTGTTCCACGAGCCTTCCGCCTACGCGAAATCTTTCAACTCTCTCCTGCAGATGATGTATACACGTACGCGTTCTGTGTCAAGAAAAACCTTGAACGATTTTGCCCATCAAACTCAAGCATATCGACGGAAGATCTCGGGGCAAACCTTTTTCAAGCTGCACGTTATGAACAGCGCGAAAATAGCGTGTAGAAAAAGTTTGGAGAAAGCCCGTTATATGTAATCTGATCTAGCAGGGTTTATGCCTCGTGAGGTGTTTGGTCTTTGTTGTTTTGGGTCTTGGTCAGCACATTGCAACTGGCTTAAGCATCAAAGTGAAAGACGTCAACCAGATGCGAGAGATTGCAGTGATCTGAACGTTTGCATTCGAATAAGTCCAGACCCACATGACTGCTGGCGCGCTTCCTCCACAAATTGTGATGTGGGGGTCTGTTAAGTTCAAAACAAGAAAGAATTATGTGTTGGATATCTAATTTGCACTTGCATCAAATTATAATTAGGGTATACAAATATGGTTCTGGAAATTTCCAGAAGTGTTTCCCCAGAACACCAGAAATTTTTTTTTGGGTGTGTTCTGAACTTATGGTATTCTGAAGCTTAGAATAACCAACACTGCATGTTTTCCAGAAGAGCAGGAGGCTTCTGGTGTTCTGGAAAAAGATGACTGGAAATTTATGGGCTTCCTAGGATGATTTGTGATCAAATTGAGGAAGAAGAAAAATCAGGAAGATATATTGGTGTGTGGCGATTCTGGCAGCAAAATTAATCAGTAAAAAGTTACTGACCATTGCACACATATCTGCCATCATCTTGGCAACACATTCTAGATAGGCTTATAACAGGTTGAGCTTGATAGTTTGAAAAATGTCTTTGATAACACAATAGGTACCTTAAAACTAGAAGAAAAATAAAAACTTGAAAAGAAAATATTTGAACCATGTAATTTAGATACAACTGATACAGAGCTATAGTGCAATCATAATTTTTCAGTACATGCTTTTTTGCTTCATCAAAATTGTGAAGCCCTATATATGTGGCAGGCCCCCTCTAGATACAAAGTCTAACTTTGTGATTGCACTACAGCCTGGTATTGCATGTATTGTAAGTACATGATTGATAATTTTTCTTTTCAACATTTCAATTTTTCCCTAGTTTGAAGGCACTTGATTTATATAGAACAAGGTTTATAAATTATGGGTTGATAAAGAAGAAAACAATGGTAGAACAGAAACATGAACAGATTCCAAACCAAGGTTAAGATGGATTTCTTAGTGGATTTACAAAAATCAAAGCAATACTTTACTAATTAAACCCACATACTGCCTCAGATTCAGAATCCTTACACCAAGATCTGACTACTAAATTGCTCATAGGTCACTCTTGTACATGCTTGCTTGTTTTTCTGATACAAGTGACTTTTTTGAGTTTACATTGGGTAGATGAAGATGCAAAGTGTAAAGATAAATTTGAGGGAAGATGTACTGGCTGTATAAGCCAATATTCCTAATCAGGGCTGGTACTAGTAGTGTAAGTTCAGGGTGATGAAGCACTGGTGTACTGAAGGGTAATTTGAATTTGAGCAACTAGGGGGGGGTTCATATGACCCAAGGATGCTCAAATTGATGGCCATGATTGTGAGACTGTGAGGGAAGGTATCAGAAGGTATTGCAATGTGGCCACAATTCTTCATAGTCCAGCATAGCACATATTATGTAGACCTGAGCCCAAAAATCCTCAAATTCTTCTTGAATGATTTGCTTCTACAACAGTCCCCCACCATTGAATAAATGATAGCACATTGATTCACACTTTTGATCTAATCACTTGATGTCAGTATATAATTAGCCAAAGGGAGATGGATTCAATGATTCTGATTGTGCCTTTGGATAAAATCAGGGCTCAACATGAACATGAAAACAGCAAAAATAAACATCTCCAATCAACCCCTATCTCATGAGTCATTCCAATGTGTGATGAAAATAAAATTCTTCAGGTGATTGTAAGGCATAAATCAAAAGCACTTCATATGATCTCAACATAGAAATTGGATATAAGTGGCATGATGGATTGAAGTGAATATTTCTGATTCTTCTGCAAAGATTGCTCAATGTATGGTAGCCAATGTTGAGTATGAGAGTCATAATAAGTGTTGCCAGAACGGAGTTTGAGATGCAAAGGGATAACCCCCTTATTGGGCAGAGAAAGGATAGGGATGTAAATCACGTCTTGTGGAAGAGATGGCAAGAAAAGGCACTTTGTGTTCTGCTATGCATGCTGTTTGGACTATGAAAGATGATGCAAATATGTGAAATACTTGTTGATTATGAGGAGATGAATCAATCATAGACAAAGTGGCAAGAAGACAAGGACAACATGCAACAGAATAGCCTTACCTCATGAGTTCATCAACAATCAAGGTACTCAGAGCTACATATGTACATACATGTATATACTTCTCTAATATACCTTTTGGTTTTTTTTGGCAGGGACAAAAAACTATGTTTAGGTTTGAAAGTGCATAGCTTTGAGGACCTCTCATATGCTTTGCACATAATTCCACACTATTATGGATTGGCAGGCAACCAGGTTTGTCAAATGGCTAGAATTCAATTTCAACCAAGAAATATACTTTTGTAGGGTAGGGCCATGTATATATTTTTTTTGATTAAAACAAAAAAAATATGCAGAGAACTATATACAACTTTAAGTACTGTAAATCTTTAGTTGTAGAGAGAATATCAGCTGATGATGATGAACATTCTGTGTGATGAGTCATCCTCATTATTGGCAAATGGATAGCTAGTATCTATGCTTAGTGTTTTTGTATAATCAATAGGCTTGCAAATACCTAAATGCAGAAGGTTTGTAGTCTGACTCCCAAAAGTGAACCAGAATCAGTAAATGAGTTCAAGATGTATGTAAACTTGCCTTTTTACGTTTGGAATTTCAATCAGATTGATCTGATTGTGCAAGTGATGTCATTGATGATGGGAAGTCTTTTGATTATGAATTTTTAAGAAAGAGATGCACTAAATTACTTTAACAAGGATCAAGGTCTCCTGCTGCTATAACACAAAAGGCCAGGATTTGGAGTGGCCCAATGATGTGATATTGAAAAATAATAACCACTAGGTAGATATCCAAAACCATGAGTGGTGAATGTATCATAGGGAAAGTCATGGGTTTAGATAATGTAATTTCAGGGACATTCATGTTTTTTGAGGAGAGTTTGACACAGATTTGGTTTTACAAGGACTGTTCCAAATATCTTGATGAAGGAACTTATTCAGACATGAGTTTAATTTGTTGATTTATTTTTTGGGCATCTTCAACTCATTAATATCCATATCTAATTCCTTTCCTTTTGTCCTATCAATCTCACAGGTAGATTATTTTAATTTCAGGGGCATTCATGTTTTTTGAGGAGAGTTTGACACAGATTTGGCTCTACAAGGACTGTTTCAAATCTTTTGATGAAGGAACTTGTTCATACATGGGTTTGATTTATTGTTTTGTTTTTGGGCATCTTCAACTCAGTCATATCCATATCTGATCCCTTTCCTTTCTTCCTATCAATCTCACAGGTAGATCATCAGCTTGTGGAAGCTCAAAAGATTCAATATCTGTACTATTGGTAATTTGTCTTTTCACATAAATATACTAGTTACCCCTGCTAGACTTTGCAAAACATCACTCAAGAGGGTCTGTCTGTGTATGTATGTATGTGACATATTCATAGATCAATATATAAATCACTACTCTTGCTTTTCATCACCAGTGATCTGCGCACATAATACTAGAAGGTAGTAGGAACTACTTCCCTTTGTAAGAAAAGCATTTCCAGAATTTGTCATTAGATTTGGTTATAAGCTTATTTGGCACTCTTTGTTTGTGTGTATTTGATCATGATCACTTTCTGTTGGATGTAGTATTTTCTAACCTTGTTTGAACTCCAATCACTGTTACTAGCTCAAAAGTCTTTCAACCTCAGGATGAGAGTCCTGCAGATATTTATTGCTCTAGATCTTCTGATAGGCCACAATGCCCCTGGACATTGGATCAAAATCCCTAAAATTTCTTATTCTACAACCAGTAAGACTATTTGGTCAAATAGCCACCAATTCAACAAACCCTGTTGTATTCCCTGTGGCACATGAATGATACCTTAGAAATATAGAGTTTTCCAAATTTATTGAGGCACAAGCCAAGAAACAGTACAAAATGTCATCAACTACTGATCAGTATCCAGCCATCTTGCAAAATCTTACCAGAAGTTTAGGACAATTTTCTGATCAAGAAGCTGAGATTTGACTTCCTATTCAGAAGCTTGGAACCAAAAAAGAAAACATAACCCCCACACCATAACTTTCATTGAGACCCAATAAATTTTGAAGACCCAGAATAGAAAGAAAAGCCGCAACACTGAAGTTTTTTGCTGAATTTTACATGGGGATGTTGGGGCGCAAGGCATTTCCACATCTGAAGCAAGGGATTGAAAATCTTGTGTATGTCACATGTTATTTTCAAATAGCTCTTGCACCCAAAAACTGACAATTCTTTGATTCATTGGTGTAGTGAATAATGAAGATGAAATGGCTACCATCAAAGTCAGGAAAACTAAGGTGGAAATTTGAAAACATGCAGGCACAAAAACATTTTGACCCCAAGATATCCTGAACTACATTTTGAGTCAAGACTTTGCCACAAAAATTAAGGGCCATCCCAAAGACAATTAAGTCTCTTGTTGAACAAAATAAAGAGGACTATGTTGGTGATCTGCTGATTACTAGCAGTGGTGACAATTAGAAACAAATAGTCCACTTGTGTTTCATCAAACATCAAATATTTCTGATTTCTCATGTGCAATGCAATGCCTCCTCCCAAAGTTTTGGACCATTGAAAAAGGTGTTATCAGAATCCAGTCAGTCATTATCCTTCTCCCAAAAACAATAAAGAGCTTGATGCATTCAGATGTACATTAAATGTTTTCCAGTTCTTTTTGGCTCATTTGAACATTTGTTGTGTTCTTAATCCTCATATCTACACATAGGTAAACAGTTTGGGGATGTATGTGTTCCTTTGGAACTGTATGAGGTCTGTATGGAAGGGAATGCAGACATTAAAACTGGAAACACAGTGGAAGCCTGTTGTCCCAAGATTGTGATGCATATTGTGCAACTTTGTAATTCCACTGGATGGCATCATGTTAAAATGTAAGGATACACTGTGTTAATTGGAATGTGTGGTGCCATACTGCAATGAAGTCATGACACAAAATCTGTAAGAAGATTGAGTACTGTGTTACTTAGTATCTGGCGTGGTTCAGAAATAGGCATATATTGAATGATGCACCACTACTCTGTAATTTAGTCCCCTGCTTTCTTGTCAAGGAAGCCTGACAATACATGAGTCCCTCTCCAGACATCCGCACTTGCAAGGAAAAAGTGTCAGACCAGAGTGACTTAGTCAAGTTAGCTTTTAGGTGGTGTATACAGAGATATGAACTCTGGCTTGCAGATAATCTTCCTCCTCAATTTGAAATGCACCTTTAGTTTGTGCCCCTACACCTGAGAATGACTTCAGTGCCTGATTGAAAGCCCTCAAAATTTGACCACCACCCTGAATGCTGTTAGAATGACCTCCATGACTTTGAATCTTGGACCTTCCTTTGCCTTTCTCTCTCCTACCTAGCTATCCTGTTTGTGAGATCAAGAAGAAGACCTGACCTAGTCAATTCCCTTTGAGACCATTGTTTCTTTGGACAAACTAAAACTTTGACTGTCTTTTGGTTTGGGAAGGTTCTTTGAAGCCAGGACATTGGATTTGGACAGAAAACTGTAATTAAATATTGAAAAAGCTACACACACAAATTTACTAGGCTGAACATCATGAAGCTAGCCTTGGATACAGAGTTTTGAGCAAGGACATTGGACTTGGGGATGCAGTGTTATCCATCTGGAATTCATAAGGCTTTGCCATCAGGACACATTGAAGATCATTTATTGCCAGATATCAATCAGATAATAGCAAACCACCCTAGACATAGAGTAGTTGAGCTCAACTGATCAATCAACATGATCATCTGAGCCAGAACTGGTCAGGAGTGTAAGCTATTCTTTGATTCACTCAATTTCAATATACATGGAAATAAAAACAGAGACCAGGTAGCATCAACCAAGTAAAAAGAGGAAATCTTTACAAAAGATAATTAAATATCCATAGCACTCCAACCCTGCAGTAGGAAAGAAAATAAGAGACAAGATTGACAATAGACTGGTACCCTTTGCAAGAGTCTGAACTCTTTCAGTATCCTGATCCAAATTTTTTGATGTATGAATTCAGATGACTTTATATATTTAATGCCCATCTTATATCTTCAAGACCTTGATTTTCTGATCAAAAACAAAAATTTCAGAAACCTCAAGGTCAGGGTTGGGTTATAATGCAGCAAAATAGTTGAAAACCAGACTGACCTGAAAGCAGACTGTGCAGCCACAGCTGTATCCTCAACCTCACCTAACAAACCTTGCAATTGCTCGCTGGCAGCCAGATGATAAGCATGCTGAGCTTTGATCAACTCACTCAAGGCTTGGATTGGTTCAGGCTGGTTTTGATAGAGGGAGAAATGTCCAACAAAAATGTGTCAGCAGAGAGAGATCATAGTAATGATGACTGAAAATCTGCTCACGTCGTCCAACACTCTCTTCATCAAGCCTATAGCTTCTTCAGTTGCGGAAACCAATTTCTCTTCCGCATGCTCAACTTCCAAATTTGCTTGTTCTAACTTGGGCCCACCTGTCGAATGACTTTTGAGTGTCATTCGAGCCGCATCCAACGCCAACCTAGATCAAAAGCTAAACGTCATCAGCTTAACTCCTTTACAAAAATATGGCGTAAAAAATTTACCTAGCTGTGCGAACTACTTGTCTGCTCTTCACTGCCGCTTGAATATCTTGAGCCATAGTCTGTTGCCAAACTTGTAGAAAGTTCTTTTTGATGGCGGCGTCTTGTGCTAGCCTTGCATCGCCGACTTGAGCTTGGACCATGGCGTAGGATTTCAAGACCTTGCCCATCATCGCATTGACGTTTGAATCGGAATCCTTATCCGAAGCCGCCGAGGACGTAGTCCCCAACTCGAGTGCCCCAGACGTAGCTGCCCGTGACAGAGCATGCGCTAGCGTCTTGTGCTGCACTGGGGTCTTGGCAGGAGCTTCGATTGGGGGAAGATTCGTACCTGTCAGATACCGTTCAGCGAGTCAGAAATTCGGCATCATGATCACAGGAAAGAACACGCAGTGAGGTTCCGTACTGACCCTTCGTGGCAGCTGAAGCCCAAGTGGTCAGAGTATGTGATATAGTGGTAGCTGTCTCATTGAGCGACTCGTTGACTTGAATAGGATAGTCGTACGCCTCACTTTCTAGAGAATGAAACCAATCGCTCAGGAATCGAGTAACACTAAAGGCATACGTTTTTGCTGAACGTACCGTATGTTTTGACGATGCGGAGTAAAGAGGCGTGCGCATTGCGGAGCGCATCAACTCGGCGTTCCAAGTCTTTATATTCTTCGGGTAGTTCTGTTTGCTCATGGGGTCAGATTGATCGTTGATCAGTCAATTCGAGGATGTTCCATGCATACCTGTCACATCGTCTTGCTCCAAGGTTCCCAAGCGCTCTCGGGCAGTCTGGCTAAGAGTCTGAAAGCAGAAATGGGTATCACGGTGTCAGAAAGACGCTATGTAGGAGTCATTGGGGCGATCTAGAAGTGGATTCGGCCAAAACCGTTTCATTGCGTCACATAGACTGGAAAGAATAAAATAACTCACTGCAAAGCTTTTACTCAGCTTGTCAGTCTGTTCGGACAAATTGATGCTAGCAACACCATGCTGAACATTCTGTCCGAGGCTTCCCAGTGTACTAGTGAATGCTTGCTACGGATTTCACGGCTATGATTAGCCTGTCCAATTGATCGCTACGCTCCGTCTAGAAGGGATGTGCTCACCTTCCAAGACATGATGAATTTGCGAAAAGTTGAAGACGACGCAGATAAGATCAGTTCAAGTCTTGAGGTTTGATGGTTCGAAAGATTGGGTATGTCTGATTAGAAAAGTTGATTCTTGAAGCGTTAATCAAATCGGTCAAGAGGAGGTCTCGAGCGAAATGGGAAGTAGTCAACAACTGGTAATGGTAATCAGATTAATCAGGATTAATCGATCACACAGTGACACTTGCCAATTACCATACAGGTGGTATGTAAATACAAAATTGACTTTAAAACAGTTTGACTTAAAGTTAAGCTGCGGGACCTAAAGCCTAACACAGGACCTCTGCCTAACTGGGCAAGCTCACAGAAGCTCACACCGCGGGAATTAATTAGTTCAAAACCCGATTGAACCGAGTTTCGGTGTCCGGGTTCGAAATTTCCTCGAATTGTGAATTTTGTTCACAATTCGTTTGCAATAGGTTTGCCAATTGCCCTTGAGCGGTACTCTGTTGGCCCCGTGTTTGTATGTACAGCTACAACATACAACAACCACCCCATTTCCGACCATTGAGCCATCTTTCCTTTGTCATGCATCCTCAGTCTTGATGCTCTGCACATCGGCGAATCTGTGGTGACTGTTGTTGAAAGGCGTTGTTGTTGTATGATGTAGCTGTGCATACTCGGGGCGAGCAGAGTACCGCTCAAGGGAGATCGGCAAACGTATTGCAAACAAATTGTGAACGAAATTCACGATTTGAGGAAATTTCGAACCCGGACACCGAAATTTGGTTCAATCGGGGTTCAAACTAATTAATTCCCGCGGTGTCATCAGCTCTGCACAGGACCCTGGAAAGCTCCTGGAGAACAAACCGTCCTGAGGGGGTTTTCGGATACCGGTGTTTTGTGAAGTCATGTCACATGGTACCAGAGATGTGACAGGTGCAAAAGATGCGCCTCAACGAGGGCTATCAGATGGTACACATGTCTGACCCTGAACATGACTGGTGGCTTGGGAAATGTGTGATTTGTAACTTTTGCCCCCCCAGACCGACGAAAATCCATACCGGCTCGGGTCGGGTACTTACATACGGATATCTCGGTGATTACACGTGGTACAAAACTGAAAGTATATGTAATCGAGAGCCCTGATCAAGGCGCTTCTCCTACCACCGAGAAATCTATGTTAACCCACCTCTCCTCGGGGCAAATAGTGAAAGTGTGAGGGCCGGGGCCGGAATGGATCGAGGACGGTTTGTTCTCCAGGAGCTTTCCGGGGTCCTCTCTGCACTCCACTGCTCCACAAGAACCAGCTTCGGTGATGCAAGACTTCTACTATGTAGATGCTGCTCACTTACGGCGACGCAATGTATGAAATTTCCAAAAATATTCGTCGCTGAATGATGTTGGCGATGGATTGCAGGGAGAAATTCTTCAGAGGTGCTTGAAAGAATAATTTTGAAGCTATATAGGTTTGACTTTGAGTTCCAAATCTACAGCCAGAAAAGGCAAGGCAGGGAATCATGAGCAGAACACATCAACACGGCTGACCAGCCAGACGATTCAGTATGACTTTTTCAAGGGTTCCATGTGTTCACTACCAAGAAACTCAAGAAACTAAATCAAGTGAGTAATGGTGGTCATCTCGTGGGGTTTTAGGAAACTTGAGGTTGTCTTTTTTTATGCAAGCAAATAATTAATGAACGTGAGAAGAAAGAAAGAAAGGAACTACCAAGTGCAAACCTTTGCAAACAGCATTGACTTCTGGGCAGACCCCTTGCCCGAGTGAAGACCGGGTTGAATCTGTGCGCCGGATCGTTGAAGTGACTCGGGCAGGGCAGGGAATGGTTCGAACTTTGAAGGCCATCATGATCGGTCAGCTCTCAAGCCCACCAAGCCTCACCAAGATGAAAACCTCACCCAGCCTGCTTCAATTCTCTATCCTGTGAGTCGTCTTGCTTCGTTTTGAATCTCCATATGTATTACTGATAGCTTTTTCTCTGTGATATAGGCTCTGCTTCTTCAGTTGGACAACTCTCGTCATCAGTATCGACGTTGAGGGACAGTTAGCTTGGAACCCTCTTTTGCATGGTCCGTTCTTCAAGCTATATATACATTTCAAAGCAATCTCACAGGCGGAATGTATTTGGTTGCACTTTATGAGGTGGCTAATTCTTCGTTTCTTCTGCCAGACATCTCACAAATCTCACCAGACTCCCGAGTGATTATCGGACCACGACAGCAGGACAAAGCTTTCATTAGAGAGGATGGTACTTTTGTACTGTAAGATTCGAATTCCGTGATCTTTATGTTTAGCTTTTCATTCGTCTCTAACACGCTTTTGCATCGGCTATCTTGGTTCAGACAGGATGTGCGTCCAGGGAAACATGTGCTACGAGTCGCCTGTCGAGAATTTGGATTTTTACGACTGATGATCGATGTATCTGAGTCAGACAATGAGGCACCAATAGTAAAGCCTTATGTACCAGGACAAGCATCGCCACCAGTCGGTTATCCCGAACCACGCTTATCCTACCCAATTCGACTGGTGGCCACGAACCGACTACAATACGTTGAAGAGCGGGCAGGATTCAACCCATTGTCCATGCTACTTGCCAATCCTATGTATCTACTCATGGGTGGCATGTTCGTGTTCATGATGATCATGCCGAAGGTGGATTCGTCTTCACCTCTTTGACACTCGAGATAACACATCGAATGATGTAGTTGACTGACTTTATCGATCTTTTCCTGTCGATATGAAATAGATCATGAACATGATGGACCCAGAAGCTTTGGCGGAAGTCCAAGCCAATCAAGCCAACATGCACAAACAGATGGCTTCTATGCAGAGTCTGGATTTCGCTTCCGGTTGGTATCCTTCCTATGATAGCACATTCATCAAACCTGTACTTTACTTACGCTGCTTCGGAATTAACAGGACTGTCAAAGATGTTGTCTCCTACTGGCGATGATGATACGCCAGATCAAGTGACGTCTAAGTCGACCGCTTCAGGCAGCAAGGCAACCTCTGGAAATAATGCTAAGAAAAGAAAGTGAAACATCAGCCCCTCTTTGTATTCAGTACTTTGTAAATTTGCACTACATACATACCTAGCTTTGCAGTTGTGATACAAGATATTTCTCAAGTCAGGTCTCTTGTACAAAATATGCAGTTATTTCTAGACTTGGTGGAACATTTCAAGTAGCGCCTCTCCTCAGAAACAAACCCAGAAGACTTAAGGGCTCAATTTAAGAAAGCCCATGATTCGGTCGCGGATGATCTCCGTATAAAAAGTCTCTTGAGTACAGAGGGAATCACACTGACGAATTTCTCTTCATCACTGGTCCACACGCAGACCTAACCTTGTAAGAGTGTTGATTTCGCATGAGATCATATAACAAAACACAGATAATTTTTCATTTCTCGAGAAGATTCAGCATTGGAACTTTGCTATCAGTCTAACTGTCCAACGTACTGCGATTTTTGCCTTGAACCCTGTTGAGCCTTGTCTGACGCGGCACAAACATTGGGATTGGACTTTAAAAAGTCTAACCTTGCCTGTGAACATGTGTAACAACAAGAAACATCGTTTTGAGTCACTGTTTGTAGGATTTGAAGATGAATTACACATGCGGTACGGTCTTTGCCCAGCTTCCGATACTGCAGTAGCGAAATCATACTTTGTTTTGCAGACCTTCCAATCGCTGCTACTCATTTTTCAGCTCTCTTTAGCCCACTAAACGAAGTAGGAATCTTTTTAAAGGTGATGATAATGAAGAAATTACGAAAACAGGAACAAGAGGTAAGATTGAGGTAAGATGTACAACGTCGCTACGGTAGGAGAGCATAATACAAGAAATGTGTGCGTGATGGAGCGATGCAAGCACGCGTCAGACATTGCGTAGTCGACCCATAGACTCAGCGGCGATGAATAAATGGGTCTATCAGACTCTCATTGTCTGATATGCTTTCAGTATCACCGTCCGCCATGTCCCAATCTTCTCCTTGCCAAGATCCAGCCCGCCCATATTGCTTGGCAAGAAACAGGCCGGAGCCCGTCTCCGCCAATGCCGGGCTAACACTGGTTTGTTTTGGCGATTCAGGAGGTGCCATCCATGCAGGTAGCAGAAACGTGTTATCCTCCATCGATCGAGGTGCCTCAAATCGAACTCGACGTCCAGTAACACGCGCAACGGAGAGGTGCAAGGGAGAAGGGGTGATAGCACCCTCGGGAGTGGGAAGATCGCCAGCCACTGACGGGCTGCTGACCGATAAAGTCAACCCAGGTGTCACCAAATGAGCGTTTTGGTTGACCGCTCTTGGAGGCGTGAGCTGCGGTCGGTTGCAGAACTCAAGCACGGGTACCCCCTCTCCTTTAGTGCCACAGTTCTGCGAGGCATTGGAAGACATGATATGAGTATCAGGACTACTTCGCGAGACAATTCCTAGCGGCAATTGTAAGAAGTAAACGGGAGGGACTGAGTTGTCTCACTTACGGTACTGTGACTACAAAACGCCAGGGCCAAACCCCTTCCAGGCGACCACTCGCTCCCCGCAAGTCGTGCAGGCGACTCTGCCTTCCCAACGAATTGCCCACAGTGGGGAGGAGAAGCCTTCTTGACTCTTTTTGGCTGGCGAATCGGCAGGAGTAAGGTAGAGTTTCAAGGAGAAAGAGTCAGCACGAAGAATCAAGGTAATGAGCTCGTCTCGAAACCCACAAGAGTCCGCGCTCTTGGAAAGCGAGCATGTGGCCACCCGTCATCGCTATCGTCTTCTGCGTCCAACGCGATGATCCTCTGTGAGAAGTTTCGACTCACGTGTGGCTCCCTGAAGGGCGTTTTGGTCTGTAGATCGGAACACGCGTACACAAAGAGTCAGTGGTCTAGATGCGACATGGATCATGATAGAAGTGAAGCGTATGCAGAAAAGTAACATACCGAACATTGTGCATTGTATCTTTTGAGGATATTCCTGTTGAAATGCGGGTCAACATGAATAGCATCGGACTGTTTATTATAGACGGACCACGTCAGTCACGACTACATCTGGGTGGTAGTCTATGCCAAAACGTCAACTCACTTCCATGGTTTCCGAAGCACCTTGTCTGTTATCCCCGGTATGATGCGCCTTAGGAAAGGGGAATACATTGTATAGTCAGGCTCTTCGTAACGTGGTGGAAATCTTGTGGTGAACACAATAAAAGGAAACCCACAATGGCATTAGACACAGACGCCGGCTGTTTTTGTGATCTTGGCTTCGATGCCAAGCTTTGGAGCACTGAGGCCATGACGAAGCGTGAACGGGATTGTGGTGCTTGAGTCATTGTTAGAAGAGTTGATTGGCGGTGGATAATAAAGGTGTGGGGATGGATAAGGAAAACAAGAAGTAGAGATCAAGTTTTCAAAAAGGGTGGTATGAAGATGCGAAGGTAGTATGTGGTATGGAATGGAAAGTGATTGAGAAGTATCTGTTTGTCTGCCATCAGAGGCTGTCTCTTTATACTTTTTCGAGAGATTTTGTATTCTATTTAGACAGGCTTCTCTCGGATTGGTAGCCCTAGAAAAAGGTACCATTATCATCAATGCGTCAAGTCACCCGGGCTGCAGGAGCATGATCTATGGAAAAAATGACACAGGTAAAATCCAGGCTCAGACTCGGTTTAGATAAGAGCACTCGAGCTTTTGAGTGACAAATGAAAACTCGTGGTCAATTGATGAGGCATGGAAGTTAAACGTAGGTACAGGGCCAAATGTGTGCACATGACAGGGTGTACCAAGAAAGTCCAATGCCCTTAGGAGGAAAGCAAGAAAGGCGTGCGCGATCTATCAATATCAGCCATCTCAAGGACCATCTGTTCGGTGATGTGGGATTGTGCAGTTCTTGTGGCAATTGATCAAATGAGAAGCGGATCGCTATCATAACCGACACTCGAGTGATCGTGCGTATCCTCAAAGAAGCCCTTGGACCTTGTTACGTATGCCATTGACATTCTCGCCATCAATCTTGAAGCTTGTGCTCTCTGAGGTGTTGAAAGCCTTGGTGAGCGCATTCAACCTGAAGTCTTCACTCCACGTTGTTTATCAAAAAAGCGCGGTACAAAATTATGTGTCGCTCTTGTCATTCAACACAAGCTTACGACGAGCAGAGAGATATCACGTCCGAAACCCCATTGCAGTTTTCGTTACCCTCGAACAGAGATAACAATTGCGCGCATAGTTTGATGTCTATCAATACTTTCCCCAATCTAGAGGTATAAAGATTACCCAGCCCTAAAAACTCGATAGGAACTCATGTGACGGAATAAAAGTACGTTTAGATTGATATCAGATGGGTCCCAATTTTTGCGAGTTGTGAAGTGGAAGTTATTGGCGATTTGCTTCAAACGGATGTCTTTTGAGTCAAATCCAGCAGCATTGTGGAGTGTACTTTTGAGAGCTTCACCTTGTTAAGAATTTTCGAATGCCTCATTGGCCTGGAGATTATCTCAAGAAGCCTGAACATATTGCTGATGTGCAGGTTCAGGACTTGATTCGCGCAACTTTTCTAGATGTTACAATATCGCAAAGTGCACGACTTGCAAGTATGCGCGATTTTTCGTATGTAGAGCCTGAGGTTGGATTCTTTCCTCATGGAACAGATACACTTAGCTCTTCCATACTTCTTTAGCCCGCAACCTACGATGTGTTGAAGATCACAATTTCTCCCCATTCATCCCATTATTCGTCGAGCTCCAACACGGTGCACAGGTGTATTTCCTATGTGAGTGTGCTCTGTTTCACCCTCTTTCCTTACCCTCCTTCGCGCCAGCTCAACACAAGCCCCACCAAATAGCGAGACGCTCACCGACCTCCTAATCCCGTCGGCCTCGGTGGATAATACATGGAAATCGAATTGCTTTGACGAATTGCACGCTGTCGGGGCCGAGTCGCAAATGACATCATTCCGTCAACGGCTGAGAGAGAGGATACGAGGCGACCGTTTAACCAATCAGCAGGATGGAACTAGCTGAGTCGACAGAAGCCAACCAAGCCAATCGCGTCCCAAGGATAATCAGAATCGCCATTTGTCAGTTCGAATCTTGTCTACCTACATCGCTTTCAACCTCCGATACGCTTGACACGACAGATCAATCCAACCACAACACATCATCAAACTTGGACAAACTCGAGCATTATGTTTTCGTTGCTGCACAGCAAAAGGCTGACTTGATTGTCTTTCCTGAGTGAGTCTCCAGATTCCTGGGAAACGAGGCCACCCTTTGTTCCTGATGCACGGCAAATGATGACAATCACTTGAATGCTGAGAAATATTTCCAACATGCATCATTGGCGATATTTCAGATATTTCATAACCGGAGTGATTGCCGATCACTTGCACCTGGCCAGCAAAGACGGCCAGTGGCTAGATGAAATAAAGAAACTAGCGATGGAACATCAGATTGATATCGTGGCTGGCAGTATTGTCGAAAAACCATTGCCCGAGGTGGAAGTGGAAGAATCCGACCCAAGCAACACCGAAGCGTTATACAACACGTACGGATATGTCCGATTTCGCTCACATGTGTCCGATCGCAACGCTCGTATCGAAGATATTGACATCAATCGATATTCTTTTCATCCCTTTCCGATAGAGCCTACTATATCGATCAGAAGGGTGAAATACTTGGGCGGTACCGGAAAAGGAATCTATGGTGAGCCTAACGGGATCTCGATTGTCATTCATCTTGTTGTGCACCGCTGAAAGTGGTGTTATTGTCTTAATCTGATCCCTTGATTTCGCCGTAGGCATCCGTGGGTAACCTACAAAAGTTGTCATCTGCTCTTATTTCCCTCCGAGTATCATTTTGACCGTCAATATATCTGAAACACCGGCGAATCAAACTTAGTGAAAAGGTTGGCCGGATTTCCTTTTCCGAACCTACTACCACGAGCACAAATCTTGCAGATTTCAGCTCACTCAACGATTTTTTCTGTCAGGAATACCTCACGCCTAGTAAAGATGCTCATCAAGTCTTCGACACCAAACATTTTCGCGCAGGAATGCTGTTGTGTAAGTAGCCCTTACGGTTTAGTCTTGGAAAATACAAGAGACGGTTTCGTGTCTAACATTACTCCCTTTGTGGCACTGCTAAATCGCTTCTAATGCTAGGTTGGGATCTAGCATGGCCTGAAGCCTTTCGGGATGTACGCATTCACATGAAATATGAGTTTGTGTACCATGTATTCTGCATCTAACGCATTTTTTATACAGTTGATGAAGCAAGGTGCGGAGGTAATCGTTGTACCCGCATTCTGGAAGTTGGAAGATTTGGGTGACATTGGAAAAAAACACGACCCCCACGGGCTCACAGAGCGCAGGATGATCGAGTCTATGGTCATGAGCCGTGCTCTAGAAAATGAATGCTGCGTGGTGTTTGTCAAGTAAGGACATCCATTTCTTTGATCCCCAGCAATGAAGAAGATGTAGAATGTATACTCCAAGAAGGGACGAAAATATACCTCTCACAATCCTTACACCGTCGTTTTACTTTGTGTAGCTGCGGCGGGAAGAAGAGCGATGGTTATCTCGGAGGATCTTCAGTCGCCATGCCTTTAAAGGGTTCGGTGATCAGATTCGATGATCCCACAGAAAGACTAGAAGTCGTAGAGATTGACCTCGATGTCCTGGAGGTCAGTAGTTCTAATGCCATTCTACTTTGCGGGATGATATCATTAACACTGTAGAGTGTGTGTATAGGATGCACGCTCTCTCTATAAGATACGAGAAGACTACAACTCAAGATTCAAGGAGTGATCACACAAATATTTCGACCATCAGTGGTTTGGGGATTGAGTATACTGGAACACGGTAAGCCTGCGTCGAGATTCCTTCGTTTTCTCAACTTAATACGTACTTGGTTTTCAGTAAGGGCTGCACTCGTCATGTTATACTAGACCCGCTGTCTTTTAACGCGTGATTGATACTTGCCAATTTTGCCTTGTAGCATCGATTCATGTCAGCAAGAAGCGGATCCAGAGATTAACTATTTACACGTGTTCTATACATAACTGTGAGTGTGTTGTATTACTAGCATCGATTGAATTCTTAAAATGGAGGAGTAAAATTGTGGGATGTGAGGCTGAGATGTAACAAAGGTTTTCAAGATACTCACACAAATGAGCCAAGATCAAGTAGGTTTTGAGAGTGCAGCAATGGACCTCAATGGACTCAGGGGCAATCACCAAACAGCCCAAAGAAGGCGTTAGTCTGAGCATTGCCCTTGAGAATTCCTGAACAGTAACTCCTGAATGGTTATTCAAGTGAGGACTCAGTCTCTGTGGAGTCATTTTGCAGAACGCGCACTTCGGGAGAGAGCTGCGCTGACCTGTGTGAGAGAGTTCAAGGAGGAGACTTAATTCAGATATCAATGAGGCTGCTGACCTCCTACGTACCCATGTTGTATCTTTACAACAGCCTGTGAAATAGGTTCTAGATAAGCATTCATGTACATATCTGCAACACCTCTTACTGTAAAATTGCCGATTTGGTGGGTGCAGTTTGACGTTTGCACTGGTCAGATACCCTTCAGCCCCGCCGATAGTTTGCAGACAAGGGATATGCTGAACAAGTCGACTGCGATGCACAGTCATTTGCCGCTCCTCGAATACTCTCACAAGCATGGGCTTGTGTATCATGGGCTTGTTTATCCAACTGAGAGCCGGCGCGTCGTAGGGCTTATACCGTTTGATAGCTAGTCTGGTATCTCCTCCGAATCCTTCACTCCTCAGTTTGAGCTTGTAATAATTTTGCAAGACTCAAGATGACATCCAAAAATGATCACACTCCAGGCAGCCCCCCTAAATTTTCCCATACGCGGCATACACTCTCCATACCGGCGGGAGCAGATGGGAGCGAGCAAATTGCGATGTGGGCTTTCATTCCCGACGTACACGGACAAGCGCAACCTTCACCATCAATTGTGATGGCAAATGGTATCGGTGAGTGCTCTGATCCCTGAAACTCATAGTTGTGCCATCAATCCCCATCCCACAGAGAAAAATTGGTACTCCCAAGTAATTAAATCTGATATTGACACTCATCTTTATTGAATGTCACACAGCCCTCCCAAGATCAGCTGGACTTCCTGTTAGTCTATCACGTACCGGTTTATCACACCCTCAAGTTTCACCTAATGTCTGTTCAGCTGATCCTGTGCTTGTTTGTTACTTGAATCACAATGGCAGCATATAGCAACGTGGTTCGCCGCTGAGGGTTACAACGTATTTCTGTGAGATTTTTCTTCATTCTTGACTCAAATTATTGTTCTTGTTAAATTATCCAAAGGACGAGCTAATCGACTTCTTGCATAACTGATAACACAGCTTTGACTTTCGTCACTTGGGCGACTCTACCGGTTCTCCTCGTCAACTCGTGTCGGCAACCAGACAACAGGAGGACTATCTTAGCGTTTATCGATATGTCAGAGACCCCAATCAACATCAAAATCTCTTTGGTCGGCGTACACTCGATCCCAACCGCGTAGTCTTATGGGGATGGAGCAATGCTGGTGGGCACGTATTGTATCTTGCCGGTCGAAGCGATATCCCAGCCATCTCAGCCGTCATTGCCATTGATCCGTTGTGCGATGGACTAGGAAATACTCTATATCACCTTCGCAAGTTTCCATTTGGCCTTATGAGGATTGCACATAGAATTTGTGGCGACCTGTTTGCTTCTCTTATGCCTGGGGTTGGCACCATATCAGTGGCAGCGTTTGGGCCTGGTGGTATCTTGAGTTCTGAAGAGGCTGTACGAGGAGCGCGACAGATAACACCGGAAGATGGGCCCCAGTTCGTGAACAGTATAGCAGCTCGCTATGTCTTTGATATGCTTTTCAATCGAGCCAGTGGTGCTTCAGTGCGATGTCCAATTTTCGTCTCATGGTCTCGAGATGGGGGAGATGGGCTGATTCCGAGGAAATATCACCATGGTACTCACGTCAATATGACTGAGACCGCACAAGGTAACTGGGCTAAGACTGTGAATTAAACCTGCCACCAAAACAAAACCAACACCCTACGGGGTGGCTAGCGGCACATACAACAATAAATATAAAGTAAAAAATAACAAATAGTATGATAAACAAATATAATATATAAATTGAAACTCAAACAACACAACAGAATAAAGAATAAAATAAATAAAAAACAATTTAAAGATGACTAATAATAAATAAACAAACTACAACACAACTCCCAAACACTTTTTTTTTTTTTTTTTAAAAACTAATACCATTTTTCATAACCAATTAAGAAAGAACTACTACTACGCAAACGCAAATACCAGAAGGGAGGGAAGGGAGGGCTTCAAAAATAATGACGCTATGAAGAATAGCTATATTCTTAAATGAAACGAATTGGAACTATCGAGAATGATGAAAAAAGTAAAGAAGAAATATTTCGATGAATGAACGAAATTTAAAAACCAGACTGATGATGTCATTTTACCACTAAGTAAATCATCATAAAAAGCCCGACCCGTTCATTTCATCAGTAAAATTTACATAGCACCTATCATTCCGATATTCCAATCAGTAAGAGCATCCGCAATCGTCGGGTTAAGTCGCGAGAATAGCTAAGAGCATCCGCACTCGTGCGGTAAATCGAGTGCGGTAAGGTTAAATTTAACGCAACCGCGGGGTCTTTTCCGCACCGGTGAACAATTAGCCCCGCGGTAGTTAATTTTTCATCAGTTTGCGTTAGCGAATCGGTAAATCTACCGATTGGCTAACGCATGCGGTAGCACACATCACGACCTGTTCACAGCAACTACAACTCCAAAAACTCAACTCAGCCCAATCTCCAATACCAAAGTCAACAACAAACATCGTCTTTTCACCTCTCTCACCCAGTCACATGAATTGAATCAAGACCTTTTAACACCAATCGATGTTTTTACGATTGTTTTTTTTGTTTTTTTGTTCTAAAATAGGTCGTTTGAAAATCTTCAACTCGACTTCAAACCAATCGAATCAATATGAAGAATTTCAGACTTCACATATGTATAGAGATAGATGAGAAAATTGAATTCTAAAGACTAATGACTGGAAGACTTTTAAGATCAAGAGATACAAACCAAACAGTTGAAAAAAGCTGAATCAAACATTAAAAAAAGTTTGGATTGGTTCAGATTGTTCATCTTTCTTGTGTAGTTTCAAATCTTTATAATTTTCACAAGATCAATAGATGTATTCAAATATAGCCTTTGTTTTCTTAAACTTGAAATCGTACTTGAAAAATTGAATGTTACCTTACTGCATGACCACTGTGGAGCACATGCATTATCGGTAAAGTTACAAACGTTACAGTGCTACTAACACAAACGAGTGCGAAATTTGGCTGAGTTAAGTCATTTTTTGCTTAATGTAGCGGTTGTTACCGCACGTGACCAAGTTAACAACCGCAAACGAGTGCGGATGCTCTAAGTATTTAACTTACCGATCTCGAAATTTCCACAATGGTCAAATTTCAACCGATCGTTAGTTAGCTTTTCGACAAAAAATCGGTAGGCTGGGACAAAGTTATCCCAGCCTACCGACGCGGTAGCTAACTCCGTGCCCTCGAATTTTGAAAACACAACACCCACCACACTACACTTCCACACATCAAGTCACTCACCAACCCTACACGACTTCACCAATGTACCTCGATCCTGACTTGAAGCTTTGCTGACTCTTTGTCCACGACTCCCACTTCAAGTTTCACCTCAATTTCATTTTTCTTTTTGCATCGATCTCAATCACTTAGTTGCATGTTATCTTAGATGATAATAGAGTTGTTCAAAAAAACATGCTCATGATGGAATTGATTGAGTAATGGATGTGTGGGATCGAAATTAGAAGATGGTAATTGATCAAAAGGGAAAGATCGAGCTCACATTGATGGATGAAATACAAACACAGGAGCACTTGCAAAAGTGAGGACAGCTTAGCTCCAAGCTAGAGCTGACGACTGTAGGCCCAGTCTTTAACTTGGAGTTTAGCTTTCTTTAACTTGGAGTTAAAGACAGCCACTGTGGAATTTTGTGTCAGATTACTTAGCTCCGGCTAAAGATCTTTAACCTAAAGTTAACTAACTCCAAATTTAACGCAAACGGTTGCGGATGCTCTAAGTAACGAGTTACCTACACCTATTACTTTCCACAAAGCTTTGCGGAGGATGCTCGGGCAGCGGGAGCACTTGTAGATGTCTATGAGCATGATGGTGATCATTTTGCTATTCACCCAGGCGGGTGTGCATTCAAGGAGACAGTACTTCGTCAACTTGAGTTCCTTGCTTCAACAGTAGGAAAAATACCGTAGAACCTACCATCACATGTTCTTTATTGATTTTATCGGCTTCACCCAATCTTCTCGTTTTGTGTTTGTTTCTGTGATGATCATTTAGAGAGAAGCGGAACCAATTTGTTTTGCCTCTACTTTGCTGAATAGCAAGTCCCTCGAAGTGATTATTGCAACATTTTGTGTCTGTTCCCCATGTGCTATCATATGCCAAGATCTTTTTGTCGCGGTAGGGCCTACTTTTTGATAAACATGTAGTTTGAAACAAGCCCACAACATATAAAGTGTAAAATGTATATCAAGAATGTCAGTTTTTTTGCAAGGCCTTCCTTGGGCATTGTCGCTCTACATATATCAACTTCTACGATTACATTCGGAAGTTGTCCACTTCCAAAAACCTTCAAAATATCATATAACCGAAGAGGAGTCCTTGAGATGGCTGGTGCAAAATGTGAACGTTGTTGGCATCTCTCCTGAGCCCTGGGCATTAGCTGGCATTAGACTTGCTCGGCACACCCTTTCATGGACGCACTGCAATGTTCCGTTCGTACCGTCAAAAGCTCGAGCATTCTTATCCAAAAAAGATGAATCGTGGAGTCAGAGTGCATTGTCAGTGCAATTGTTCCTATGCATCATGTTGCTGAATCCAGGGCGCAACTCATCGAGGAGTTTACTTTCTTGCATGACAAGAACTGCCAGACCGAGTGAAGCCTGTTTGAGCAGACGACGAAATCTCTGTAAAATCCGCCTATAAAAAGACAACCATTCCCCATCACTTTCCGTTGCATACCACATACATCCGCATTCTATACCTTTTCGGAATCTTGCTATTTACTTCTTGATTTCCTACCATTTTGAATTTTTTATTGTCAACCAACTCATCTGAAAATGGCTCAAACAGCTCAATCTCGCTCAAGCTTCATCATGGGCTCAGCGCTCGAAACCATGCCATCGAGGCCAAAGATAAAATCGAACAACCCGCGATTGTCGGCGCCTAGTGTCAACGTGATTTTCCTTCTCATTGAAATAACTAGAAGCTCCGTGATACGTTAGAAAGAAGCTCACTATGAAATACCTTGCTCTCCTTGTTTTCAGGCGCATCAAACCGCGGACAACATACAAGCTGTTCTGGAAAACATCGCGGTGCGTTCCACGCTTCACAAAGACCGCGAACGATTTGAAACGTTACTGATGTGTACCATCTTCAATCAATAGACCAAAGATATTCATGTTGGACCACATTTCAACAGGAATATCCTCAAAAGATACAATGCGCAATGTTCGGTATGCCACTTCATTTGTGTTATGATCGCATGTCGCCTCCAGGTGTCTGACTCGGATTTCATATGTGGTGCATGATACGCAGAACAAACAGCCCTTCAGGGAGCCACCTGTGAGCCGAAACTTCTCACAGCGGATCATCGTTCTCCACGAAGCAGACGAAAGCGATGACGAGTGGCCACTTGCTCGCTTTCCAAGAGTCCGCCCTCAGGTAAGCTTTCAAGCGAAGTTGTCGCACAAATTGACCATGCTCATATCTCCTCCTTTTAATTCATCACTTGCCTGAACTTCTCTCCACTAGCCACAAAAAGTCGAGGACAATTCCTCTTCCCAACGTAACCAGTCCATTGGGAAGGGAGAGTTAGATGCTCGACTTTCGAAAAGTGAATGGTCGCCCGAAAGAGGTTTGGCTCTAGTGTTTTGTAGCCACCGCGCCGTAACTGTATGTCCCTTTTTCTTTTTATTCCTTCTTACTATTGGTTTTCGGAACGTCCCAGTGAGACAACCACCTGTGCTCACGTCATGTCTTCATCACAGGACTGCGGCACCAAGGAAAACGAGGAGCCCACGCTCAAGTCCTCGAACCGCTTGGATCTGACGCCTCCAAGAGCGGTCCACTACAGTCCTCGATTGGTGACACCTGGGTTGACGAGATCGATCAATACACCGTCAGCTTTGAGAGATCTCCCCACCCCCACGAGTCTGACTGCTCTGGTCATGGATGACAAGGTTAACATCACTTCTTCAATCCTGAGAAGGTCCGTAGCTCCTGTAACTGGACTCAGAGTTCAATTTGGGCCCAGTAGAGTGATGGATGATTGGGAGAGGGACGATGACTGCCTATCAGACAACGAGAGTCTGATGGACCCATTTCTCCAGCGCCGTGTTTAAGGCGGGGTACGTAGCTCTTGACACATGCTTGTATTGTTCCATCATGTGCACATTGTTTGTTTATGGTATTCCAATCTAACGCTATTGTAGAAGGTCTTTCCCCTCCTTTGTAATTTCTTTATATCTATTGCTTTCAAAAACGATAACCTACTTTATTTGGTGGGCTTACAAAAGAGTCAAAATGAGTAGATGCGACTGAAAAGTCCACAAGTGCAAGTTCCTCCTGCAGTGCCCATCATCAGAGCAAAGGACCAGAATTTCTAAAATCCAGTGCCGACCGCCTGAGACAGGGCTCAAGACAGGAACTGAAGACACTCTGAACCTTCTTGAGAAAGGGATAAAATCCTGAGGATATTTTAGACCAACGGGTTCTTGTTCTCCAGCAACCAGAACATATCAAGGGTAGAGAATCATGGCGACGAGTTTGTTGCACCAAAGCGTTTCCATTGCACAAGCGTCATCAGAGTCCGACCCCGAGAGAATCACGGATGTATCGAAGATCCCCGAAACGTCGAATGCCCCGGTTCAAGTTGATATGCACTGATTCCAGCTCTGGGTCAAGTTTAACTTCTCCTCTCGCTCCTCAACTTTCGAAATGGGTCACGTAAGTTCAAGCTTTCTCTTGGTTAATCGCACTGCTTTTTCTGATTCGACTTATCTCTGGTCTTGATCTGTTGCGCGGTCTCCTAGGGTTCAGACAAGCTATATATCACTCACCGCGAACATGCTGGCGAATTCGGCGATCACCATGCGTCAAGTGCCGGGGCTAAGAAGAAACCAGGCGCAAGCTTTCAAAGAGTGCGTCGCATTCATTCATCTTGACCTTATACGATTTCAAGAGGGCGATTTAAAGTTATATATGTACTGATGTTTGCAACCATCATACTTAACTCGTACTTAGCTTCCTTTCGATTGTTGCGCGATCAGTTTCAGACCTTTCGAGATGCCGGTATGCACACCAGACGGAACAACCTGCGATTTATTGAACATCATTCCATACATTCGGTATGCTTGTTGGCCCAAAAATTGTCGTCCTCAAAATCATGCTGACAGTTACCCTCAACATCAAAATCAATTCCGTATACTATACCTTGCAAAACATCATCGATTTGTGATCCAACTTGCCTCAAAAACGAAGCAAGTATTCACGCGATCCAGTAACTGGCTCACCCCTCACGGCTAAGCAACTCACCAAATTGAATTTCTTCAAGAATACAGAAGACAATTATTATGATCCAGTGACTTTCAAAGTCTTTACCGAACACACTCCCATAGTTGCGATCAAAACATCGGGGAACGTCTTCTCTAAAGAGAGTATCGATCGCCTCAATATCAAACCTGGCCATTGGCACGATTTGGTGACCGATGAGAAGTTCACGCGAGCAGATCTGATCACCTTGCAAGTTAAGTGTCTCCTAGTGACATATTTTACCAAAATTGTACAATTAACGTGATTCTTTCAATTTACATCGAAGGACCCACACAACGTTGAGAAGAAGGATCTTTCGAGATTTGACCATCTACAGAAGAATTTCAAAGTGACAGATGAAGGTAAACCATTTCGTAACTATGGTCTTCTCTCCAAGCCCCATGAATACTTGATTGTCTGACCAAGCCATATCTGCTCTTGCCTATGTAGAGTTGGCAGCAATCAGGAAGGATCCCCTTAGCGGAATGAATGTCTCTGCAATCGGGGGTACGATCGGAGCTGTTTTGAAGCAAATGGCGCAGGACAGGGCCACGTCTAAGCCAGCTACTGAGCCTAAGGAAACCGTCAAGAAACTTGTTGAAGAGTCTCCTGTGCCATCATCCTCCTCTTCTAAGGCACCTACTCCTTATAACGCTAGTGTAGCATCTACGGGTCGCTCAGCAGCTAGTTTCACAAGCACGAGTCTTACTCCAGTCACTAAGACAGAAGTAGAAATGATCGACGAGGTAAATGCGTTACCTGCTTTGATAATATGTTTGAGTATTTTCTCACATGATATTTTTGGCCATCGGTAGGAAGACTTCATGTTTCAAAACATCAAAGATAAAGGTTATCTCAAAATTTCTACAAATCTTGGCGATTTGAATATAGAACTATATTGTGATCGGGTGAGTCAAACTCAGTGTCAAAAATTACAGCTGCATGTTTCAACAGTTTCGCTAACAACCTCGCTGGATGACTCAAGGCTCCCCGGACATGTTATAACTTTTTCATGCTGGCTCACAAAAATTATTACGATAATACAGTGTTCCATCGTTTGATCCCAGGCTTTATGATTCAAGTAGATTATTCTCACATCTTCTCTTCAAAAATCACATCACTCTGACACTGATCCACGCAGCCTTTGATTGTATAGGGTGGTGATCCTACTGGAACTGGAAAGGGAGGTGAAAGTTACTGGGGGAAACCATTCGGAGGTGCGGTCAAATCTCTGGCATCTAATTTAGCCATGGGTTTATTGTTTTGCTTGATTTCTGAAGTCATCTTGCCCTATCTTGCGTTGTGCAGACGAGTTTCATCTGAGGAACGCTCATAAACATACTGCTCGCGGTACACTGAGCATGGCTAATCATGGGAAGGATACAAATGGGTATGGATCCTATCAAAACCTACTCTTTTGCTTTCCTGCGTATCCCTATGCTATACTATCATGTGGTTGATCACTCTTTTTCTTCTCTTCTGTCACTAAAGTTCTCAATTCTTCATTACGTTCCGCGATACTCCCCATCTGAATGGCAAGCATACAGTCTTTGGCCGAGTAGTAGGGGGTGAGAACGTGTTGGCTAAATTAGAAGCATGTCCAATCGATCAAGCCACCGATAAGCCACGTCAACCACTCACCATCCGATCAGTGCTCATTTTTGACGATCCATTTGAAAAGTACAAAGACAGGTTAAGTAAACGGTTGAAGAAAGAGCTGAACAGTTTTGAGGCTCAAGAGGCACGTTCAAAGCTCAAAGAAGAACGTTCAAAAGATCGATTAACTTGGTTCGGTACTACACTTGATACAAGTTTACCAGCAACCACTCAATCGAAACCTACCACAAAGGTTACCAATACAAGTTCGAGTAGTTCTACTATTGGCAAATATTTGCCTTCTTCAACTCCTACCACTAGTACTTTGAATGAGAAAAGGAAAGAAGGAATTCATGAAGAAGTAGGGGTCAAACAAGCTGCGAAGCGTAGGAAAGGGTTTGGAGACTTATCTGGTTGGTAAGAAGTATGTAAATGTATACTTGTTTGATTGGAAGGAGAAAGGGGAAGAGATACAATCATTTTACTCTCTGCGTCAAGCTTTCACTTGTTTTCTGTTTGAGTGTGATATGAGGAATGTGTAAACATGTTTAAGATTTTTGGAAATTAAGCAGTGGAGTGATTGGGTGCAGGAGTACATACTTCTCAACCAAGGAAGACCACTCGCAATTTGAGTCCTTCCGAGCCTCATTAACTCTGCTCGAAAATGACTTCCCCAGAGCTGCAATCTGTTTAATTGTATGTGGATATCTGGACACACTGGTGTCTTGCTCTTTCCTTCATTCTTTTGGTAGTGTTCTCCATTTTGGCACATCAAGCTGGAGAAATTTCCAACCTTTTCAAGTCATTTCCAACAGCATACTGACAGTCAGAGCAGATCACAATTTGTTTTGTTTGACGAGGAGTTTATATAAAGATGGGTTTACATATGGGTTTACATGCGGGTTTACTATCCTTTGACAGTTCCGGTGTGATTCGATTTGAATTGTTGAAGTTTGAAACACGACTCGGTTCATTTCATTTTCTTCGGCAACTCTGATATCTCTCGCGGATTCTCAACCTCACAAATTGTTCAACTACTTTCTTTCGAAAAGATGGGTCAGACAGGCAGTTCTAAGTCTCGAATTACATCTCAAGATCGTGCCATCCTCGAGTGAGCATCAATTGATATTTAAAGAAGACAGACGCATGGCTGGCCTACCACCCTCCCAGATGATTATTTTTGGTATCGGTGGTAGGCCTATCGATCTTTTTCACGAGTAATCATTTTCATTCACTTAGGGCAACTTTTGACTCGATGTGCCTTCCTTCACTCTCGTTCTGGCGTTTAAAGTATGAAATTACAACGAGATAAATTGAAACAATACAAAAGAAAGGTAAGCTTTGATGATACCAAGAAAATGTCATCATTCTGTATCTTTCTGGAGTCGAAACTGATGAGCTTAAATTTTTCGTTCTTTCCTTTATACTCATATAATTTCGAAACCTACGATGTTGTAATCAGATTGAAATTATAGCAGATCAAGAACAAAACATTGCAAAGGATGCATTGTCAAAAGGAAATAAATCTAAAGCTCTCTTAGCGTTACGTAGGAAAAAATATCAAGAAAGTTTATTAATTAAAACTGATCAACAACTTGAAACACTACAAAACTTGGTAAATTTACAATTCCTTCAAAAATAACATACCATGAGAACCCATTACTCTATATTCAATCGAACTCTTGTTTCCTCTTTGACAAAATTCGGTTTTTATAGGTTTCGAGTGTTGAATTTTCATTAATCGAAAAGGATGTCTTATTTGGTCTTCAACAAGGAAATCAAGTCTTAAAGGAAATACATAAAGAAATGAATCTTGAAAGTGTAGAGAAACTCATGAGTGATACTACTGAAGCTATCGCATATCAAAAGGTAAGTTTTTTTTCACGAGACTCTACAAAACGCAAAAGACTTTCGACCATATTGGACTGACTCAATTATGTATGATTTTTACTAACTTTGGCGATGTTGATTGGGTTTTTAGGAGATTGATGAAATGATGATGTCAAAGATGAGTGTGGAGGAAGAAGAAGAAGTCCAACGAGAATTAGAGGCATTGCAAGCCCAAGAAGTCAGGATTTCTTTCTTCCACTCAACAAATCCTATATTCTGATTTTGGGTTTTGCTGACGTTTGATTCGTGCATTTAAAAATAGGGTACCAAACAGAACTCACAAGTCGACAAACATTCATCTATATCAATCGATCTACCAGATGCCCCTAAGACTCGTCTTCCAGAGATTCCAGAACCAGGTAAGATTTGTTCAACTCTCATTACTTATCCTTTCTGACTTTTCGATTTCTTGCATTTATTCACAGTCCTCGAAGAGGAGGAACCTCGAAGGATACCTCGAAAAGAACTCGAAGCTATACCTGCTTGATTCTTCTGTCTAGTTATCCTTGTATCTTTTTGTTTATCACATAGCAACAGTTTACTCTTTGTAGTCACCAACTTCTTTTGTTTTAGTTTTAATGTAAGATATTGAAGCGGACCATGGAAAGCCATTGAAAATGTGAGAGGCCGAGAATCCTAAAGCTCTATGGTGGGGGATTTCAGACTCTTTGTGGAATCAAAAATAATTGGAGGGTTTATTTACGTGTGCAATTTTGCATGTATATTCTGAAGAAGCTATCAGATTAGGGGATTTCAAGTTAGCTTTTTTTGCATATTTTTATGCTACAACAACTTGCCCATTGTTGTAAAATATGCGTAATTTTTTTAAGGCGGGGCACCTTTTTAGGTGTCCCAAATTGAAAATACATTAGTGGCTCTCAAACCTGCCCCGGTTTTCAAAAAACCCAGTTGACCCAGTTGTTTTTTGGCAGTAACTTTGTGTATCAAGTTGACATTTGTTGACAGCTCCCAGCCAAAAATTCCACTGGGGCAACCAGGTTTTTTGAAACTGGGTCAGGTTTGAGAGCCACTATTGGTTTTACAAAGAGTTTTTTTTACAAACAACTTGTCTGAATTTATAAAAATTATGCAAAAAGAACCAAACTTGAAACCCACTATTATCAAATTCCCTGCCTTTTTGCTGTACCTTCCAAATATGGGACAGCATCAATCTGTTATCTCAGAAACAATGGAATTCTTCCTGGCAGTTGAAGACTTGAGATGTGTCATTCAAGACTGGAATTTGATTCAGATCCAGATCAATCTAATCCCACCATTCCCTTGTTTTCCAATGACTGTTGATTGTTATAGGAAATGGAAAAGACTATATTTAATCTCATGTGACTGAGTTGCAAAAAAGGACATTGGAATACACTCAAACACCTCTGAATCTTGATTGGGAAACTGACTGATAACAATCAACACCCAAACTTAACCAAGTCCCTCACCAACGGCCCGAGCCTCGCTCAAGGCTCGGGCCGTTGGCGAGGGACTTAGTTAAGTTTGATCAACACCGGGTGAGCAACAAAATGCCTCACAGCAGCCACATCCTGTGTGGTGTTGTGTTTCAAACAGATGTAATATTTACAAAATCTGGTTGCACAGCATTTTGAAACCCTGAATGCTACATTGTCCTTGCCAGTGTGGCATCTGACCGTTGCGCAACCAGAGCAACAGCTGAGCAACACAACTAAAAACATTCATTGATTGTAATTATATTCATAAACAGAACCAAAAACAATAGGGGGTTTCAAGTTGCATTTTTTATGGTATTTTTACATTGCAAAAACTTGCCCATTGCTGTAAACTTTCAGGTGTCCCAAATGCTGTTGACCGTGTATTTGCAGGCAAAAAAGACACTGTAAAATTTTACAAGCTGGTCCATTTTGTAAAAGGTTTACACAAAAATATCTCAAGTTGAAACCCCCTAATGATTTGAATGACTTAAAATCATAAATTAATGATTGTAATGAAGTATAAAATTAAATGAAGAACTAAACAAATAAACTTGATGAGAGTCATGAAGTAAAAAAAAGAAACAACAGTAATAAAAGTTTATAATACCACATCAGGGGTATCCGCATGGCTTTGAAAACCTTTGCAAGGTCCTCAAAAACATGCCCAAGCTCAACATGTTCCCCCAACCAAGGCCTGCTTGAATTTGAAACCAGCTTTTCAATTGTCCAGCAAATGAGGTGTCCTTGACTTGATGAGCAGACATTGGTGGCACAGGAGAAGATTCTTCCTGCCACACACAAGGATCCAGTCAATGCTTGGTAGTCTCTAGCCATAAGCACCAAAATCCAATAAATATTTTCATGTACGTACATCAGATTTAGGTTCAGTATCACATTTGGTAGTTAGTATAAAGATAAAGAGACTCAGAAACTCAAAACAATAAAGAAACTTGACTGGAGCTCTTACCTTCCACCATTGAAGTGATGATTCAGGAGACTCAAAATCAAAGTCATCTGTCCTCATTTTGCCAGATCCACATGAATAACTTTCTAATGGTAAGTCATTGGCCTTGTCAACCGGAGACTCTGCTTTTGAGTGAGTCACTGCCAAATATCACTGACTTGGGTGAGGATGTTGAGGGGACCCTTGAGTTTCTTGCTGATTCAGCTTGTTACAATCTTGATTTGTGGCAGGTGATGACTGCTCATACTCCCAGTGATGATCATGAAGAGTTCATTTGGCTTGCATAGTAATGGCCAAGCTCTCCCCAAACATCTTGACAAAAAAATTCAGTGGGATGAAAGGGTGCAGGATAGTGGCCATGACAAGAGTTTTGCAATTAAGCGCTTCATGAAGATACCCAATTGTTTTTTCCTTCATCTTGGCGCAAGCATTGGATAAATGGTGTTGTTGATGCTGAGGGGGTTTATCTTCTTTTCCAGAGTGTCACTCAGCTCCACATACTGTGGCATAACCATGCAGCCTGTTGAGTCATCACCCTCCATCAGATGTGTTGTCTTCAAGAAGGGCTTGAATGACCAGTGAAAAAGAAGTGAAATTGATAAGAAAAAAAAACAGTAAGATAAGAGACAAGAGTAGTTGGCTTACCTCAAGTTCTTTGTTGATTTTACATACTTGCACCCACTCATTTGTGATTGTCTCCGGTTTGTGAAAGTAGCAATAAGGCTTCTTGTTCTTACAGGGGGGCCAATTCTTTGAATGGACAATGTTGAATTCATCCCTACATGATTGATCAATGACCTGTATGAGAGATAACAGGGTCGTTAGCTTTTTAACTAACTTTGTGATCAAAGTGAGATGAAACCTGCCTCTCTTTCAAGTCAAGCCTTGTGGTGGCTATATTTGATATTCCATCATATACCATTGCCTGTGATGATCAATCCCTTGAAACCTTTCATTCAAATCTTTCTTAACTGACTTGTGATTGAATTACGTTTCCATGTTTGTGAAAAGGACTACTGAAGTAAGCATTTAGCCAACAAGTTCCTTATGGTACTTATGTGTCTTGGCTTCAATCTTTTGATTCTGTTTATCCAACTCTGCCTGTAAACTCTCCTTGGTCACATTCTCAGACACATTCTGGAGGATCAGAAGAGATCTCATATCAGAAACTATTACTTGGTTTGCTGGAATACAACTTACTTGGTCTGCTTTCATCCTTAGACTTACCCTTACCTGTCTTCTGATTATCATCCACCAGAGATGAGGCTGGTTCAGAATCAGAAACAATTGATGGGGTGGCAGCATTTCCCTTTTATTTATTTTGACAATCTGAAACAGCAACAGGTTCATCTTCATAGTTGTCATTCAACGCATGTTACTTTTTCTTGTAATGATTTTGAGCCTGGCTACTGGCAAGTATGATGTGAATAAAGTAGGAGTGGGATAAAATTGAAGTTTAAGTAGTAGTAAATCTATAGGTATCAAAGGAACATGTTATCATTTCAACTTGGAATAGTGAATTAGGATGAATGTGATGGAACAAAGGTGAGTTGAAAAAGCTAAAAGAAAGTCTTGTACCAGTTCCAAAATTGCATTTTTGAGTATAGACTATCAATCTCCCGGCCTACAAATGGTGTGTACCCACATACATGAAGTCATGGCCAGGTACATCAAAGATGTGTTTAGATTTGGACGGTGTGGGTGCAAAGGTGAGGATTAAAAATGATGGTGTGACATGAAAACAGAATACACAGCCATGACTACCCAAATGGTGCTCTTGGCACTACAACACCCGCAAAAGTTGTGGTCTGTGGTAGGACCCCGGTATGCTCTTATAAGGGGTACAGATCCAAAAATGTGACTTTTGAGCTCGCTCGGAAACTTGTCCCTGGCTTTACCCATAGCTTTAAGACAGGTTTAGTCTTTTTGATCAGCTGTATTGGACTTAGCGACTCTGAAATTCAGGCAGAAACCGGTAAAATCCAAGAGAGCGCTGTTTAATCCCATATGTCGTATCTCCGCGCGAGCTCAAAAGTCACAATTCTAGATCTGTACCCTTCATAGGAGCATACCGGGGTCCTTCTGTGGTGCTATAACAGCTGCTGTGTTGCTTATGTAAAAAAATTATTCAAGTGTGCACTGGTGTCTTAAAATCACAACTACCACCATGTAAAATCAACCACCATAATTTCTTACCCAGTGTTGATATGTGGTACTGTATCCAGGCAAAAAAATGCTTCTTGGGCCCCTGGGTAACATACCTGCCCCCAGATACTGCACTTCTCCCCCCTGGATATGGTACGGTACAACAATGGTACTAGTAATGTCACCGTGTCCTTGTGGCAGTTGCCCGACGACGAGCGCACACGGACTGTCTTTGAGGCACAAAGGCGACTTGTGTGCGCTCGTCGACGAGCAAACACCACACAGACATGGTGTGTATCTGTGGCTGTGTTGCTTATATGGTACAGGAACATGTGGATGCCAATGTTGCCACTGAAGCAGGTGCATGGGTCTACAATACAGCTCCTCCAGATTACAAGTGATTCATCATGCAAGCACACATTGAGCAGCTCAACAGAGAAGGACAGAACTGTTGGATCAGTTCACAGCGTAAAAACTCAGGTGTCACCTCAACGGGCTGACACAAAATCCATCCTGTGGAGAGTGGATCCAAGCTTCAAGTGAGTTTAAGAACCATGCACAGACAGTCCCTCATTGAGGTCCTCAGATGGTGATAACATTAGACATAGGAGTCTGATATCCTGTCCTGCAACTAAAGGGGTGCTGTCATTTCACCAAAGTATAACAAAGAAACTGAATAAAACTTTTTTCATTTTTTTCGTAAAACTTTTTTCATTTTTTTCAAACCTCTCTGTGTGGATACATTGATGGGCCATGGTAAAATGGACACTGGTTGGAAGGCCAGGTAGCAAAACAGTATCAGCCCAAAATAACTACTGGTCCATCCTCACCAATCTCAATACCTCATGCTAGAAAGCTAGGCTGCTTTGCTGATAAAGAAGCTGTGATCTCACCATATATTCAACATTCTGGAACAAAGGAAGAAAAAATATCCCTTACACCAGAGCTTCCATCCCAACCAACTTCATTTGCAATATTCACTCAATCTTGAAAAGCTAACCTTGCTTATGGGTTGTTGGAGGGTTGGCTAGCCACAGAGGTATATTAAAAGGTGGTACAAGTCATTAGACCTCTTATGTATAACAAGTTCTTCATTTGAATAGCTCCTGTACTCAGATACTGATCATTCTTTCACATATATGGGCAAAAAGTGAGAAGAAATGTGTGGCAAAATAGACAGAGGAACTTGTAAGGTAGAAGGGATGCAAGTGCAAAACTGCATCATATTTCTAGTACAAGGCTTTGCCTTATGTGTTGTTCATACAAAATCAGAGACAGAAGATATGAGTCCACTTTCTTAGAATTGTCCTTGCAGGGGTCTGTCATTGTGGAGCTGCTTGCCTTCAAAGGTCATGTTAGTTATAAAAGAAATTATAGCTCCATTTTTTTTTCATCAAATGTGGAATGTGACATAATCTTAGATGTCCAGATGTGATTTAATATGATGAAGGAAAATTTTCTTATGGTATAACCACAGGTTTTATCACCCCTTGTTCAAGTGACATGCTTTGGCAGAATGATAACTTTGAAACTTCTACACAGTAAACTTATACTAAGCTCTGCAATTTGAATGCTCAGCAGTATTCACAGCCCCTGCCAGGTCCTCATCTCATGCATTTGGATCAGAGGACTTGATTGATAAAAAAATTACACCAGAAGTGAGACTTGCCTGGGCAGTTGCTACCTCAACATGACATATCAAGCATCATCAATTGGAGCTGGTGTCATGTCAGGACCTAGCTCACAGCCAGCAAAAAGAGCTATCAAGACAAAAGATCCAGTGTACTTTCAGATTACTCATATCTTTTTCTCTTCTTCATTGAATATCCTGATCAGATTGTGATTTGATGGGCCAAAAGTCACAATGAAGGCAAATCTTGTGAAGCAAAAAGATATCTGATCAACAGCTATGTATTTTCACTATAATGGACATCATGTAGGCACTACTTGCAAGTTGAACCAGTCTTCATTGTCACCTGAAGGATTTAGAACACCTGGCTGCTTTATCTCAACGTTAACCCCGCAAGGAAGTCCTCCGGATGTGGTCGTGTTGCCACCGGTGCCTTAATGGTAAAATGGTTGATCCTTCCGAGAAGACTTCCATAAGCTCATTTGAATAAGAGTTAAAAAATTCCAAACCGACTGAAACCACCAGTGGCTCAAGCAAGCCCCTTTGGAATCAACCTGAACTTGAACTTCTTTATGTGAATGTTTTTGTGGCCACCGACCTAACGCAAATGCCATTGAATCGTGATTCACAAACACATGAAATAGTCAGAAGATTTGTGATCACGAAGGTGCAAAGAACGTACAAAGTAGCCTATAAAAAGGCATTCCTTTCGGCTCATTCCCTTCACTCCAAGCCTATCCTTCCTTGGAAACCGTTCATCTAAAACTTGATTCATTTATCAATAACTATGAAGCTCATCAACTCCTTTACCCTCTTCTGTGTCAGCTTAGGGTTTTTCTCTACAGCATTTGGATTTAAGTTAGCACCTGGACTTGTTATTCCCCGTGGTAAGCTGTCCGTGGAGTGTCCTTTAGAAAACTTTTACTAATCTGATTTCTATTCTATAGACATTCCAGGAGACATTAAAACTTTCATCAATGGCTTCTACACAGCTGTAGATGCTGGTCAAGGTGCCCAAGCTGTTAGTTACTTTAGTGCTAATCCTAAATTGGTTTACAATGGAAAAGAAATCGATGGTAAAGCAAGTAAGTATACTTATCTTGTATCTAAATTAACTTCTTGACTAAGCTAAAAATTTTGTTTCTTGAAATCATTTTTCCATTGAATTCCCGTAAAGATATCTTGACTATCTTCAATCAAAAAACTACAGACGCAACTTATGAAAAAACAATTGACAGTAGTCAGTCTTCTTTCCTTTTTTTCTATCATCATCAATTCTTTCATCCTTCAAAACATTTGAATCATAATTAATCCTGTTGTATAAAGGTTTTCTTTTCATCCCTTTTTGTCTTTTCGTAATTGTTAGCAAAGAGCAAAAACAATCAATGTATGCGTTATTTTTCTGCTCATTGCTTCCACAAGACCAGGTGGCTAGGAAAGCAGTACAGATCATTGTGATGGAAATTAAATCAAGCCAGATGAGCTACTCAGAAACAGAGCAGACTGGCTTCTTTCTTTGATTACTATGATTACTAAAGAAAACCAAAACGTTCACAAAACTTTTACAAATAAGCGCACACTAGTGAGATAAAGGAAAAGAAGAAAAAAACCTAAAACAGCCTAATGAAGAAAGTCTAATCTGGCCGATTCGATTAGCATACTGTCCTTGCCCGTTTACCAACATGATCTAACCCAACATCATCCCGAGCAGCTTCCTCTTCTTGATCCCTCTTTCTGATCCCAGTCCGCTGACCCAGCTGACCCTCTGGAAAAGAGCTCGATCTGATCCCTGAACGTCTCCATCCGTGTCCAACTTGTTGCCCATAGTTGAGCAGCATCATGTCCGCCCCATCTGTACTATCTAGGAGCACCCAGGAGATTTCGGGATGAGATATCTCCTCAGGGATCGGAAGCTCAAGCGGAGGAAGGGGCATTGATACACTAGAGGTTGGCGGAGTATGGGCAGATTCAAGTCGATCTTCGGAAGAGAGTTCAGTAGAGGGTTCTGGAAACGTATAGCTGGAAGAAGCCGGTAAAAAGATATCCTCAGAAGTCGGTTCAGAGGCAGGCGGGGGGAACCTATAGCTAGGTGAAGCCATAGGATAGATCGGCTCTTGGGGTTCATGAATTCGTCTAGATCCCGAATCCAGCGATGATTCCAAAGAGGGTAGCAGAGCAGCAGGTTTTGTTGCCTCTGCTTCTACGGTAGGCACCATTGAGCCGCTCTCATCTCTGGGTTCACCTCCGCCCGACTCAAGCTGTGCGGAAAAAAGGTAGCTCGAGTTCAATCCCACAATCCACAAGATAAAGTGACACAAAGAATGAAGGCAACATACACAAAGTAAGCAATCTCCTTCCCCGCCTCGAAAGCGAAGCAAGTCGTCGCATTGGCCCTTAACCCGCTCAAGTGCACAAGGTACACAACAAGTAGGAGTGAGAAGAGTTGACTCAAACTCTCGTACTGCCTTCTCCATTGCCTCGACTCGATTCCAAGCCATATTATTACGAGACTCAAGATAGTGAATGCGATCTTGAGCCAGCGCAAACTCTGTTTCCAAGTGTCTGATTCGAGTCTCTTTCTCTTCAATTTTGGTGAGAAGCTCGTGACTTGATGATTGTGGGGCCTGGATAGTGTCTAGATTAAAAAAAATCTTTAGTCATACCTTCTTAAGGGTTTTCAAGTAAAGTGAAAAACTAACCTCGGCCCGATGAGCTCGATTCCTCCACTTCCTCTTGTGCGTCGCAGAAAAAGACAGCTCTTGGCGTCTCCTCCTTTCGAGCTAGAGATGAGGTGAAAGGATAAGTAAACGGTTTTTATGCATCAATGTCAAAGGAAAAAACACTCACCGAAAGGAACACGAGGTCTTCGATCACCTATTCTGACTTGATTAGCTCCTGAGAAGGATCGAGGAGCCGAAGAGAGTTGAGGGTTTTGATTAACAGGAGGGGAAGGGCGACGAGTGGACTTGGTGTACTTGGATTGATAGAGACTTCCACCTAGTCCGGGTAACATAGCAGAGGAGGGAAACACATCGATAGAAGGGAACATGATTGATTGATGTTAGAAAAATTGGAGTGGGTAGGTGGGATGGAAAGATCAGGAGGGAAATCAAGAATGTAATGTTCGATGAAGTAAAAATCGGTGAGGAGAGAGGGAAAGAGGAATTGGTCCAAAATGTATGCACTGGTTTTATAGCTGACCAGACTCTTCAAAACGTTGGAATCCAGTGCTTTACTACAAATCAACTCAGGCACACCTCTCACGCATCAGGTTCAGAGTCATCTGATTGCAGGATGTGTTATACGAGGCCTTGATCAGGGCCAAAAGATGGTTGTCAGCTGAGCAAGGCTCGTGTCATGCCAGTTCGACAGATCCCCAACAATGCTCAGCTACCGGTAAATGAGCAATGAGTTTTGATCATGAGGGCAGCGTGAAGAGACGGGACAGTGTTCCCTTCAACCCTACGCCTTACGTACACCCTTTCGACACTCGATCCTCTGCAGAGACAAGCAGAAACGCGTCCAGTTTGGAACATCGATCCACTTCTTCCTTTGAGAAAGCTCAACTATTTTCTAGGCTAGATTCAATATGGCTGCTCTAAATTAGACACTCTTTCACTTCCTTCTTTCAACACGGTCGTAAATGAACCAAAGTAAAGCAACAGATCACTAGGTTTCTCTCTTTTAAACAAAACCTCAACACTCAATTACATTGAAAATAATAGAAATAGATGTATAATAGCATGTATATTCAAACCGTATGTATATACCCCTCCTTACAAAGAAAAAATAAATAAAGCTGCTCCTCTGAGTATCGAATGTTTGAAAGAAAGTTATGGAAATAGTGATCAGTTTTGAAAAAAATTCTCGTCCTCTTCCATCAGTACAATTACTTCTCCTACCTACACAAAATGTTGTCATCATTACAAGAAAGATAAATCAAGCGATCAAGATATCGGGAAAAAAGTGAACATAAAATCCGTCCTGTGAGGGAGCGAAGCTATTTTTTAACTCAACACAACTGCTTCGCCTGAAGCTACATATCGACCATCAGGATAGTCTGCGACGCGTAAACGGACGATTCCATTGGCACCAATTCGACTACAATGAAAAAAAAAACAAATCAGTCATCCTTACTAATGATTCACAAACACAACTCAAGAGGATACTCACCCAGCCTCATGGATCAAGTTATTAACCGCAATATGCGACCCGTCTGACCCGCTTGGACCCCGACGAGCCCCAGGCGAGCGACTAGTTCCTTGGAACGAGTCAGCTTCTACAATTCCCAATCGTTCCACAATCGTCGTGTTGGGATGCGTATTGGCTTCGGTCACCACAAACTCTCCCACTTCTGCATCATCTTGCCCAAAGCTTCCATATCCACCATCATGGGCTACTCCATAGGAGTCATATTGTCCGGGCATGCTATAAAGCGACTCCGGGTTATGTGGGCTTGTCCGAGTCTGCGGGGTATTGGCACCGTATCGCTCACCATAGTGGTCATTGTCATTTCGGCTGCGAGAACGTTGCAAATCGTGAGCTGCACTTGATGAGCCATGGCCGTGTTCATTGGATCCGAACGGGGGCGAGTCTCCCAAATCATTGCGCGAGGGTCTTCGGCTGAGGTTTCGATGCGGTCCACCAGATGAAAGACTCATACCACTCATTCCTCCACGTCCATCTTGTCCGGCCAAAAACGCATCTAACTGATCTGGCGTCAATTGAGATATCTCCTCCTTAGTCATCGCTGGCATAGAGTCATATGATAGATTAGGATAATCGCCACTCTCGCTGAGTAATAGCATCTCAAGCTGCTCGGTGGATAACTGAGAAAGTTCTTCATTTGAGAGTGAGTTCCAACCACCGCCCTCACCCATCAAGCTGTAACCAGGTGATAGAGCGTGTCCCGCGTTTCGAGATGGTACGCGTGATTCCCTACCTCGGAGTGATTCGTCTTGTAATCCGAATTCGCCGAATTCACTCGGTCGAGGAGATCGACTAGGTAGGTTTTGGTGACCTTGACCGACAATGCTATTTGCTCGCGATCGACGACCACCGGTATTCGGGAGGTCAGTACCAAGCGAATTGCGACTCATGCCTCTCAAGACTTCATCGCTAGGAGCTTCGGCTCGACTATTGGCTCGTGATCGAATGCTGCTAAGTCCGGCCAGAGACCCCAGTCCAAGACTGGAATCATGTGCGAGTTGACTGCGTGCGTTCCGCAAAAGGTCTTCATCTGGTCTCTCAGCACGACTATTAGCCCTCGATCGGGTGCCGCCATTGAGCTCACTGTTGACCGCAGCACTGTGTAATCTAGCTGCAAGGAGGTCGTCATTCGGTACGTGAGCAGACACAGGCTGGCGCTCACGAGAGGCTGCACGAGCGTTGTTGCCCAAAAGGTTGGTCAAACCCAAATCTTCTGCCGTCAGATTGCGAGATGCGGGTCGACTCGGGAGACCGAGCCTTTCAACAGGGCTGTAGCCGTCTCGGATACTTCCACTCCTCGATACTGAGCGGGGAACAGCATCGTAGTCACCACCTCTCGAGCTGGCCCTAGAAGCAGACCTGGGCGGTAAGTCTAGATGACGGTGAGCAGAATCGTGATGAAGCTCCAGGTTGTCACGCATGCTAGGAGTTCGTCGGTGTTGGCTGGGGACAGAATTCATTTGATTTTGGTCTTCTCGATATCGTAGATCCTCCCTATGTCGAATAGAATCTTGTGCCCTATGAGCTTCCCTGTCCCGCGCCTCGGCTTCATCAAGTAACGCAGCACGATATTCTTCTCGTTGTCGAGGCGTGGATGGGATTCCTGGACTACGTCGATCAAAGCTCTGGCTACGGGGCCTTCCAGTGGGATGGTTGTTGAGTCGATCACCTAACATCTCCTCTCGTGGTGAAATGCCCGCCGCTGCTCGCCTTTCGTTTTCTAATGTCTCCTCTCGCAAGCGTGGGGTCATCTGGCTCAAGATTTCATCACGTATACGAGGGGTGTTAGCTCTAGAGAGTGAAGCAAGAACGCCTTCTCGGATTTGATTCTCCTCAGACATTCGGATCTGTTCATCGCGGATACGATCGCGCATTTGAGAAGTGTGTGAGTGGGCGCCGGGCGAAGAAGCACGCATCAATGGAGTTGGCGCGCCGACACTTGGACTGCGACCATGACCACGATGGTAATCAGGAGATAGGCTAGTAGCCGCCAGAATTTCTTGACGGATTCGAGGGTCGAGTGAATCAAAGTCATCGAAGAAGTCCTCTGCGAGAAGTCCCTCATTTTCGATTTCATCAATGGTGGGACGTTTGATACCCAAAGGAGGTGATTCACCCCTCTCGAAAGCATGTTTGATGGCCAACTCGGCATCTAGTAGCTCCTTGCGACGTAGTTCTCTTTCAAGTTTTTCAAGTTCAATGCGTAAGATCTCCCGATCCTTCTCTTCTCGTCTTCGGATCTGATCCTGAATTTCACGTTCTTGAAGACCCTTCTCCTTCAACATCAACCGGTGTTCTAGGTCACGCATTTCCCTCAATTGAGCTTCCGTCATCATTTGTTCGTGTTCAGCCATCAATCGGACCTGGCTGTCGATTTCGCGTTGTTGTATACCTCGCTCTCGTAGTTTCATCATCAATTCACGCTTCCTCAGATCACGTAAGGCTTGAGCTCTCAAATTACTAGCTCGAGCTTGACCGTCAAGTTGTTGCAAGCGTCTTCTACGTAGTCGTTCAGCTTGAGCTCGAATGGCCAATTGCGCAATCGATTCTTCTTTCAATGCACGGAGATTGGCATTCCGGAGGCGAGAGTCATGATGATGAACGCTGGAGGGTCGGTCGAGATGTGCAGGAGTTGTGCCACCAAGATGTGGAATATGATTAGAGCCCCTCAAGGCGTTGTTAGGCGAACCCCATTGACCTCGACCAGCGGCGACGCCGAGCGAAGGAGGTTGTAAACTGCCTGATAGTCGCCGCATGTGGAGGCTGGGTTCAGATGGGACTCGGCGATGAAGATCAGCCATCGGCATTGGTGGTGGGGGTACAGGCATAGGTATGGGTGGCCGGGGCATGGGTGTATGAGACATCGGAGGCGCCATTGGCATGGGCATGTGCTGATGCGAAAGATGGCCGGCGGCTGATGGAGTCCTACTAGGCATCGGCATATGGTGATGTATAGGTGGTGGTGGTAGGGTGTGCAAAGTAGGTGGTGGGGGTGGCATTGAAACCCGGTGTGGTCCCAGGTCGATACCGGCCTTTATGGGTCGCATACTCTCTTGAACGGCGTGATTCTAAAATTGAAAGTGCGTGTCAACGATTGAAGCCTCACCAACTGGAAATGGAAGGGAATCTGTCTACATACCCCAGCTGCCCGAGCCAACAATTCTGCCTTCATTCGCTCACGCCTAATTCGAGCCAGATCGGCTTCACTTAGAGACTCCCGTCCAAGACGTTTGGCAAGCTCGAGTTTCGCCAATTCGGCTCTTCTAGCGTCCACTAGTTGTCGTTCTTTCATTGCCACTTCATGCTCCTGGAAGGTAATACAAGATATGAGTCATCATGCTACGACTTTCGGGACAGATGCTATGGGCGGTGAAGAATTACCTGACTACGTATTTCAGCCTGCATAGGGATTTTGAGATGGAGGGCATCAACCAGAATCGTCAGCAGAGGGAAGATGAAAGGAGACGTTTAAAGGGAGTGAAGCTCACCGCCATGGCCATTTCGTTCAACGCTTGGGTCTTAGCTTCAAGTTTTCGTACATTTTCCAACTATGATCGGTAGAGAGCATCAGCAAAATAAAGTCAGCTCACTCGATGATCCTACCAGCAAGAAAAGCGCAAAAGACTTACTGTTTCTATCTTTTTTTGGAGTGCGTGCCTTTTCATTTGTTCTGCCTCCGCCAATCGTTTCTGTTGGGCTTCTTCAAATTGTTCATTGGCTGTCTTTGGTCGCCTAGTGGTTCAGGTTTAAGAATGGAGCAGATACAGAGTGTGAGCAGAGGTAAGAAGAGAGTTTGGCTGATTTGTGTGAGCAAGCTCGTTTGAACATACCATGTCTTGGCACCGACAGTCAAAGCAGAAGCGAGTTTGCCCGTGAAAGGCATGATGTGAGGAAATTTCAGAAAAGGTATGTGTCGATTTAAGGGTTGAGAGAGACGGTAAATATGCTTCTGAATTTGTTACAAAGCTGAATCGTCCAGATTGTGACCAGAGTCGAAGCGTTTAAGAAGTGTCAAAGTCTACGGAGGATTTTCAAGACACCTGTCGACGATCTCACACGAAGCGGAGATGTAAGAGCGAAGAAAACCTGAAACGCGTGTTCACTGCCTGCTCAATTGACTGTGTAACAGAAAGGAAAGAACAGTAAGAAACACGCAGTCCTGTATCGGACATTGATTCAAGCCACTGAGATAAATTAGGATAAATTCAAAGCATATCGATCTTGAACAGGGTAGCTTTTGATTGTGAATGTGGACTATCTAACCGTGCAATGAAATGGTAGAGAGAGGTGGTGAAGAGATATGATGATAGGAGAATAAAACAAGTGAAGAAAGCCACATTGTACTTTACCTATTCTTTGATGAGCCCTTGAGGAAACTCCAAGAAAAGATGTGGTCTTGCTTGTTTGAGACAAAGAGGTGATCGATTGAAAGGAATTAATCGTAAAGAAGTATGTAACTTGGGATAGACTTTGAGCGTTATGTAGGAAGAAGGGGAAGTAGAAGAAAGAAAAATCGAGAAAGAATATATGAAGCAAACAGGCTATAAGAGGGAAGGGAGATACAGGAGATGGTAATCAGAAGATAGAGAGTACAGGAGACAGAAATTTGAATGAACAAACAAAAATATCGAATCTGCGAAGAGAAAGATCGAATGGATAGACTTGAAAAGGGAATAGGAGACTGAAGTCAAGGAAGAAACAGATAGGTTTTTACCGACTGCTTATCAAAACTGTCAACTTCAAGACAAGACAAGACAAAAATCAAGCTGTACTAAAAAAAAAGTTAAAAATCCGAAGTCGGCCATCCACCAAGGTCACCAAGCAAATCCAAAGTTCAATTTGAAGACAGTCAACTGTAAGATAAAATACAAAAACGGTACTGCAGCGCTGGTTAAACTTACCAATTGGCTTCACCTGGAAGAAAGAATAGCAAGTATGTAAAACAAATGATATGAAAGTGTGTATGGCTAACGATCAATGTGGCCGGTTAAATGTTATCAATCAAATAACTGAAGTTTGAATTTGGTTTTTCGATCTATGAATTGCTTTCCAATGGAACCGGCTTCAAAACGGATCACTTTTCTGACGGCGCGGGTTGAGGTGAGGGCTTTTGTTTCTTGATAGAGAGGCCGGAGAAGAAAGAAAGTTAGTATTGACATCGATCTCAACTACACAAAAGCAAAGAAAAGCTAACGAACCAATAAGGTGTGTGAGCAGGTGTGAGCTATAACAAGTTCAATGGACGTCTGTTCTTTCGCTTCCTCTTACAATCAGTTCTTGGCTAGTTTTCATTCAAACGGTAAACCTGGTGGGTGAAGACTTTAAGTTTGACTCGATAAAGAACAGTGCCTTCCACCCGACTCCGATACAAATGAGAAATCTTTATCAAGTCTTCAATGGGGCTGCTACCCTCTATGACGTCACCTACTCTAGACACACAGAAACACAGCCTTTCAAAGATACGCGTCTCGTGGGCAGATCTAGCACTTTCGTCATCTTTCAAATCGTAAAATCCGAAACTTGTCATGAAAGCTTACTCGAGGCTAAAAGACTGTTACATCACATCGCATCACATCACCTCGCAATCGATCACAGCATTGAGGTACCATGAAACGGGTGGGGCTTCGATATTTGCCGCATATATGTAGATCAGCGTTCAAGTATATGAGCTATCTGAGCTATCATAGTTTCATCACATCCCAACTAATGAGAGCGATCACGAGTTGGATGTATGCGGTCTAAATGTGCTACATGCACTTTGACTTGGCTGCACAGAGAAATGTCGACAGCATTGCCGCAAGGGCAAGTAACTAGAAAAGGATCCCGACAACACGTTGGAAGATGACATAGAAAACAAAACTGCGGTTTGAAGCGTCGCTCTACAACGTGGTGGACTACCCCCACGGGCCACAAGTCAAAATATCCTGGCAATTAAAATGACATTTGTTGATGGTTGATAAGTTTTGTGAGTTCTGACCATATGATGTATCTTGTTCAGAATCAGACCCTAATGCAACAAATGACTCAAGGTGAAGCTGTAAACTGATGACATACAAGATCTGAATGGATCCTTGGTGTCATGATAAATTAAGTACTTTAGGTTCACCTGATCTGTCCTTCTGGACTGAAGCTGAAGAACTTTAAGTTCTACTGCGCTTGTACAATACCCAAGATATTGTTCAGATACATTTTCTGTCAGCTACCAAAGATTGAAGATAGTCTCAGACTTGGGACCCTTGATCAGTTGGGAAAAGAAATCTGAATTTGAGAGATTGGAAAAAGGAGTAAAACACTAAAATAAAGTTGAAATGATTGGATTAAATCTTCATCTGAATCTGATTCATAACCAACATCAAAGATGTCTTCATAGACAGATTCCAAGTTACTCATAGGCCATTAGGATTATAATCCTGGGCATGTGTTTAATTGCTGAGCTTTAGAGCTTCTTTCAGTCTTTTGGAGTGTGGTTGTGTTTGTGTTTCTATATCCACTTGTTTTTCATTGCCCTTGGTACTCGTAGTCTTAGTACACCAGGCTATGTCTTATAGTAATGGTTATGATCCTTATATTGGGACTATTTTGTGATTGGGTACTGCATAATCATGATCAATCTACTTGGATAGTCCTGTCATTTTCACAAAGCTTGGAAAGAATTCCACGCCAATTTGCTCAAGTTTGGCGGGCAAAAGTTTCCAAGTTTTCTGAAATTGACTGTAAAAATTTAAAAGAACTTGAAATAATCCTCAGACTCCTTGGAATATGAAGTAACTCCACATAGTTTCTCTTTTTTCTGTGGCTTCTCTATGCAATTGATTGTTTTAGTAATTTCCAACGCCTTTTTGGTTTATTTTTTGTCTTCTTACCACGTGTGTCAACATCCATGGTTAAAAAAGGATACATATTTGAATCAGAGTTATCTTTCAAACTCTTCTCAGGGGCTGAAGGGTTTGATGAGGTTGAAGGACAACATACAATATTTGAGACTGAAGGGCTTCTTTTATCTGAGATATTTTGTTAAGGAGTGGATAATAGGTGTACCATTCCACATAAACATAGGCTCTGAGTCTTTTCCTTTTGTTTGTTAGGAAAGTTATTGAAGAGTACAGCTAGATTCCACAAAAAATCATCAATTAGTCACATATCAAACTTGTTCCATCAGGGTCTTCATACACACCTTTGAGGACTCTTTAACTTTATAATGACTTGTTCAGATAACATCTTCATGGGCTCCTGAAGTAATTTTATCCAAAATTCCTCAATCTCTTACTAAGAATTAATGTTTATTTTTGGTTGAATTTATCTTTAGTCTTCTCCTTTTTTATGGTTTGGTTTGATTTGATTTTTAGTAAATTTTCTATCATGTCATTATTGTCATCAGACTTTTCAAACAAGTTTGAATTATCATTGATGGCTGTTTAGATAAATTGTAACCAACCTTTTTATCACCATTCAAGGCTTTGATGAAAATCTTCATTTGATATCTGATTATAGTATGATCATCAGATCAAGTGATATTGATATTTAAATAAGAAAGTCACTTTGAAGAGAGATTTGACTTAAAGAAAGTAAAGTTAAAAATTTAGAAAACTTAATCATCTTGTATTTAAATCGAATTTCACTAAACCATCCAAACCGATTTAACCCTCAATCGAACTTATAGAACCAAATCATCATCAACTTCAAATTCATCAACAAGCCAAACTAGATCTGAATCCAAACCTTCGATAAAGAAAAAGAAAGAAAAAGAAAACAATGGTGAAAGCTATTATTGCTCCATCAGTTCTAGCAAGTGATTTTGGTAATCTTACAGCTGAATGTAAACGAGTGATTAAAGATGGTGCAGAATGGTTACATATGGGTAAGAATCTTTTGATATTCTTGATTGATTTGATAAAACTTAAGGATTGAGATTAATCCTATTCAATCGATTCTTTGTTCTTAATGTTTCAGATATCATGGATGGGTAATCATCATTTCAATTCGATTTGAGATCTTGAAAAAAAAGCAAGAGATTCTGAAACTAATCATGATGAATCTTCTTGATTCGTTAGTCATTTCGTACCCAATATCACCATCGGTGCACCAGTATTAGCTTGTGTAGCCAAATCAGTTCAAGGTGCATATATGGATTGTCATATGATGGTAGCAGATCCATTGAAATGGATTCCAGATGTTTCAAAAGCAGGTGGATCATCTTATACATTTCATATCGAAGCATGTACATCTTCTCATCAAGACCCAATCGAAATCATACAAAAAATTCACGAAACCGGAATGAAAGCAGGAATTGCGATTTCTCCTGATACTCCTTCTAATCTGATTACCAATGAGATTGGAAAACTAGTGGATTTGTTATTGGTCATGACTGTTCATCCGGGTAGAGGTGGTCAAGCTTTTATGGAAGAATGTGTGATTAAAGTTAAAGAATTAAGAGAAAGGTTTCCCGAGAAAGATATTCAGGTGGATGGTGGGGTTGGACCTAAGACTGTGAAACCTTGTGCAGAAGCAGGTAAATCAAATCTCTTGAGTCATGAAGATGATCGATCATTTGAGGTTCTTTGATTCAAATATTGATTGTTTTTTGCTTTTTTTTGATATAGGTTCTAATGTGATTGTTGCTGGTACAGCTGTCTTTGGTTCACCACAACCTGGTGTAGTAATTAAAGAAATGAAAGAAATCGTAGAAACCGAATTAAAGAAATCTAAAATTTCAAACCTTTAAAGGAAACCAATCAAACCAAAACTCAAAAACCAGTTAAACCTTCTCATCATTCAAAAATTCAAAAAGTCACTCTCGTTTTTTCGGCTTACTGCTGATTCTCAATTTCAAGATGAAAAAGCTCAAATCAAAATATACATGAATACTTTTAATATAACTTTTTCTTAGTTCTTCTGAAGAAAACAAGCTCACAATCCATATAAATGGTTTCAATTTCTTATTCTCTTGTCTTATGACTCAAATAGGTTTTCTAGAGGATAACCTCGCAATGCAAATAAATGGGCTTCAATTTCTTTTACTTCTGTCTTACGAGTTAGATTATGTAATTACTATCAAATAAAAAGGATGGGATGTAAATATAAAGGCGAAAATTGTACCCATCATGGCCTCCTTTGTCCTTTCACAATCTGACAGCGCATTGTGACACAAGATGCCTTCTCAGTTCAAAGATTTATTCGTCTCTAACTTGATGAGATAGGTAATCATTCAAGGAGCTCAAACAAAAGCTCTTAATGTCAAATCAGGCTACCAGTTAAAAGTTAAAATTTCAAGCTTATCCATCTTTTATATCACATTGTCCATCCATCACCTCCTATAAACCCTTCTCATTTATAAAATAAATCATTTTACCATACAACATATATATGAAAAAGGAGCTGAATGTGAAAAAAAATCAAATCTCAAGAATGAAGCAAATAAACAGACTTTTGAGATCCAAAGAAAAAAAAAGAAAAATGAGAAACAGGACATGAAAAAGAACATGAAAGATGAGATTGATCCTTTAAATGCAAAACCCAGTATTGAAAAACGAGCTTTAAAAAAATAAAGATGATCTTAATTTAAATTGTAAAAAATGGATTCTCTGGTTGACCATTATTTGGTTGATTAGTCGATTGATTTCCAAATGGATTTGGTGCACCTCCTGTCTTTTGAACTGCCACTCTATTAGAAGGATGAAAAGGTGAACCACTAGAAACCCACGCACAAGAAAACCCCAATCAGTCTCAAAGAAAGGTACTTCAATGATATAATGAAGAGTACTTACACTGGTACTCTCATACTACCTTCATTACCAAATGTATCAACACCTCCACCAGCAGCCAAAAGTGCAGCCAGTTTAGCATGTTGTCCATCGTCTTTAGGTGGTGGTGGATTGTTCATTGGAGGTCGTTTGAATGCTTCAGCATTGGAAGCTGTACGGACTGGCATAGGTGGTGAAACGTGTTGTTGATGATTAGATGAGTTACTCAAATTGGCATAATCATTGAAGTTGAAAGAAGATGAAGGCGGTGCAGATGGTGCACGAGGTGGAGGAGTAGCCACACTCGGTTGACTAAAGCTTGGTGGTTGGGAGAATTGAGCAAATGGGTTGTTAGAACCGTATGACGTCATTTGTGGTTGGATAGGTGCAGCAGTGTGTTGCGCCATTATGAATTGTTGTTGCTGTTGTTGTTGTTGTTGGAGATACATTTGTTGCTGCATCATGGCTTCGTATTGAGCTTGTTCCTCCATCTGGACAATACACATTAGAATGCTAAATCTGATGTCAAGGGGTGATAAAAGGACGTACCTGCTGTCGTTGTTGTTCCATTTGCTGTGCACGCATGAATTCTTCTTGTTGTTGAGCAGCATAAGGATTGAAAGACGCAAACTGAGGTTGAAAGCCCCGTTGGCTGCACGGGCATAGACATGTCGATCAAGTCAGGTTGTTGGTTTTGGTTGTTATTATGCCTGTGAAGTAGAGGTGATAAGGCGTGAGGGAAGGATTCTCATGATAAGCCTTCAAATTGGTGACTAACATATCGTAACCGTCATCAAACAGAGCTGATGCGTTGGGGTCCAACTTTCGGCGGTTGGCCTCCTCCTCACGACTCAAACGCATTGCTTCTTCCAGCTCAGGATCAATTGGTGGTTTCTTTTTGAGACGTTCAGCTTCTTCAGCAGCAGTGAGACGCGAAAGCTCTAGAGCTCTGTTAAGCTCAGAATCCTCGCTACATAACAATCAAAGTATAAGAGATGTCAATGAAACAGTCTTTATGATTGACAAAGTATGAATAATAACCAACTTGTTTTGCCTAGCGGGAGGAACACTTTTAGCCCGCCTTGGTGCATCATCTTCTCCTGAGCTATTAGGACGACGACCAGTCATTCGATCACGCATATGAGCACGAGATCGACGCTCATCCTGTAAGCGGGCTTCGTCCATCAATAGATTGGAAATGTCTTTGGCTTTTTGTCGCACTGTTATGTGAATACCGATGATATAGATTGGATCGATAAGCTTAAAGTGAAATGAATTTCAACGTCTTTTTCAAGTATGAAACTAACTCGCCATTCGCCCCTTGATCTTTACCATATTCATCTATATATTGAAACTCCTTCAAAGTCTTGATAATATATACGTTTTCACTATAAAAAATGATAAAAAGGGTATTCAAATTGATGAAAGGATTGTCAATTGAGAATAGATCTTTAGAGATTGATTGAGACTGACCGGAAATAGAGTACTACATTTTCACTACCTGCATGAAGTAAATAATCTAATAAAGTGAGTGCTTTAAAAACATGTCTCCAATTCTTTCCTTTATCATTTAAACGTTTATCCATCATTTCCATAATTTCAATGAAATCTTGTTGATTAAATGTTAATGTGGCCACTTCGTTCATCTTTGATTGAAAAAATTGTAATAAAACATAAAAAGAGAAATGAATCAATCCGAACAATTTCTTCAATGAAGGGGGTTATGATTCTATACCTGTGTACCAGATGGTCCCCATGGATCGTTAGAAGTAGCAGTTCGAACTTTTGTTTGAGTGTCTGAATAACCTTTGGTGCTGTTAAGAAGCCATGATAATAAGTTAAAGAACTCAATTCGATTCAAGTAAATCAAAATCGCTCACTAATTCTTTGCAACCCTGAGTGCATGTTTTCCCATGTTTCCGATTCCAGACATGTTGAAGGTAAGTGTTACTGATTAGATTGAGATTGAAAGTATTAGTTGGTTAGTTGAGGTTTGATGGATTGGATTTGTAGAAAGTGTCGATTTAAAGTGCGCTAAGGTAAAGAAGCACAGCCCAGTTTGTAAATCCACTTCCACTCCACTTTCCTCATTCTACACATACACATACACTTTACAGTCACTTTCGGGTATCACCGGTCCAGTCATTCATCATCCATCAAAGTATGCAGATCAGATCGAGAATTCTTGATTTATCTTGCAGCGTTGCATAATTCTACTGACCCAGTGCTCAGTCAATCTAATTAGCTAGCCTAATCTTGACTTGAATGATGGATTCAGATTGATGACATCACAAGTTCACATTCTTCCAAGCTTTCTTTGGATCATGATTTTGTTTGTTTTGAAGAACTCTTACAGGATACAACACTACACCTTCTCCGTGTGTATCCCATCATTTATCATTTATTTGCCCTTTACCCGCATATCTACATAATCTACCCTACTCATACTGGTGACGGAAAAGCTCGCTTGCTCCAAAAAATATCACGCCTGACATTTCATATGACTGGCTTGGTCTTGGCACCTTGCTCACCAAGTCCTATCTTCTGATGTTTATCTCAATCCGCACAAAGGAACCCAGTAGATCATGAAATTCTGAGCACCTCTTTAGAACCAACTTGCCCAGTGCTTCAATTCTTTTACGCTGCACGTGCTCAAGAAGAACTCAACACAGATTCTTATAGGTAAGCAAGTCTAAAACAAGCATAAAATATGAGACCATTCTCTCCGATACTCCTTTTAGTATGACGGTGAACTGATTAAATTTTCGATTGAACATGGTGACGAGGAAGGGTGCCACTACAACTTGAACACTACGTTAAAACACCTTGCCGATAATTCTCCCGTCAACATTCGAGATATCAAGATTCCAATCTTAATTACTACATCCTTTACATGCTATCAAATTGGATGAGAAACAAGAAATTTTCGTCAGATTTACTTAACTTTAACATTATCAAAAATAGGTCTGACTTACTTATGACTGGTCTATCGTTAACCGTGTGATGGCATAGAAACCGTGCATCTTGAGAATCGTGACACACTGAAGAATTTGGATGAGAAAGCGGCAAAATCAGCAAAGTTGATGAATCAAAACAAAGTGTGATGAGTGAATGAGCAAAATAAAGTTGATACTGACTGTATCTACTTGAGTCAAAGTAAGTGTAGGTCACGCAGTTTTTTGTAGCTGGAGGGACATTACGGACACCATGCGAAGGGTAGGGTACACATTTATCCCATGAAACAAAATGAGCATCTGGAAAATCGTCAATTTCATGAAAATTAAATCCATCAGACTCTCAAGTTCAAAATGTTATAGGAAATAGAAAAGTATTTGTCTGACTTACTATCATGACCACACTTGAGAGGATCACAAGTGTGCTCTATCCCGCCCTCTTTACCTACAAAACAAGCTAAAAAGTGAAAGAAAGAAACATCAGAAGGTATTTATCTGTAAGATTTAAACATATCGGAGCCCCACGGTTTGGGACTTCTGGATTGTATCCACCAGTACAAGCGAGATCCCTAGCATTGATCGAGTTGATATTAAGCAAGAAAGACATCGTGACACACATCACAACCATGGTAAGATATTGTTTGAAGGACATTTTGATATAGGTGATGATTGATATGATGGTAGGCGGGTGAAGAGGGCACGGAAACTGGTCAACTAATATATTATATGAGCTCTACTTATACATATTCATCTCATGTGGTCTTGGAAGAACTTCCGCCTCTTGGTGGCTCTTTGGGGAAAGGCAGACGCCAAGCGCAGCTAGTTCCATAAGGTTCAACAAGTTTTAACATAGGACGATGGGGAAGGTGGCTGACAGCGGAAGGTGGAGTTGGGTCCAGAGAATTCAAACGCCTTGAATTTTTCGTCTAAATCAACACACCCTGATAGATGTAGGATGTCCGCGGGACCTATGTGCCAAATTACATGTTTTACTTATTCTCATGTTGCCTGTCCAAGAAGATATTGCTTGAAGGCGTTGCTGCAGACAATTGTCATAATTCTTGTTCAATCAAACCGTTTGGGTTTGAGGTTAGGGAAATGCGACTCATTGATATAGGAAAATGCATACTTCTCTATGGTTTTTCTAACATGAATATCTGACAACTTATTGGGAAAGGCAATCAACGAGCTTCACTTCGGATAATCAAGGGGTATATATTCACTCTTACCAGTCACTAGCGATGCAAAAATACAAAGTCCAAAGTCACTCGCCATGGATGATCTACACATATTTGACTTTCAAACAGAGAGAATGATAAGAAAATACGAAATTTCTTGCATCACAAAGATAGAATCAACCACAGGGTCGCAGATCAGTAAATTCCCTGGGCAAAGGCTCAAGCTGCTGCATCAAATGACTAAAAGAACGAAGGAAAAAGAGAGATTGATGGATCGAGTTCATTGGCATTGATCAAAAAATAGAAAAGCCACAAGACCTATCAACTGTAACAGATCAATAGGAATACCAGATTCCTCATCAGCTTTCTTCATGGAATCTTGCGTTTGTGATCCAAGTTTGTGACGGCCCTTTGCATTGGATGAAGTAGTAGGCGGGTCGGATCACCCATGGCGGTGGATCACCCGTTCAGATCGGGCTACCTCGGTACAGCCCGTCAAGAACTTTCAAGCTTGGGACTTCAACTTGGAGGAAAGACTTCATCGGCTCAACCTTTTGAACTTCTACTTCATCACCATGTCATTCTCCTTCACATCTTGTCTGAAGCCTATCACGACACTCGCCACAAAACCGCTTCAAAAACTGCCCCGATCACGTATATCTCAATCGATCGCCACTCAAGTCACCACATGCAAACAATTTCATACTAATTCTTCCGGTGGGTCCACAAACTTGAAAAAATTGTCATCCGAATAGGGATCTGAGCAATACCTCGTTCTTTCTATTGATCTTACAGAATGTATTCAAAAAACCTCATCAACACTAGACCGACATCCAAGAGCACGTCTATTACCAGTTTACGAACCACCGCCACCTTTTCCAGCTCCTGAAGATGTAACAGCATTGATGTCATTCCGAGATCCGCCAGTCAGCGTACCACCGCTAGAACATCCATTACTTGGCTATATCACCGGTCTTTTGATGCGTAAAGGAAAACGAACAATTGCTCAAAAACATTGTGTAATCTTATTATCGCATCTTCGATTGATTACCAATCAAGAACCACTACCACTTCTTACTAAGGCTGTGGAACTTGCAAGTCCAATGGTTTTAACACGTACTGAACAGAAAAGGATCAAGGTCACTACTGTTCCTGTCGCTCTACAGGAACGTCAGAGACTTAGGAAAGGGATTCTTTGGATGGTCAAACAGAGTGAAAGGAGACCGGGAAAAAGATTTGGTGAACGATTGGCAATGGAGGTGATCGCTGTGCTAAACGGGGTATGTTATCTTATCTTCTGTCATCGATATACAATCCTCATTTAATCCCTCACACCGCAAGGGTGGTGAAGATGTATTACGTACTGATTCACGCATGACTTTTCGATTGCTAAACTAGACATCTGAAGTATTAAAGCTCAAAGCAGAACAGCATCGACTAGCGTTTGTGAACCGAGCAAATTTGAGAACCCGAGTCACTCGAGCGTAAAATTTGTAAATGCAATCCTGCTCCAGGGCAATTATATCTAGTGCATATATTTGTCCACAATATTCAAAATGATTACAAACTATAGATTTGAATAGCACGAGTCTTCATCTACTGAATCAAAATTGATACTGAGAGAAACTAGCTGACCTCGTGTCAGACTTGAGGAAAGTGCTCCAGATGACCATCATTTAAACTCCCTTACGGACTGACTACAAAAGATGATGACACTTGACAGGGTACTTGGGACTGCTGTACGCAACGTTAATGGATGGAATGCACAATTCGCTGCATTTTGGCACCTACTAGTCACCTGAATGTTGAAGCAAATTCATTCACGTCTCAGTGTGTCTCATGTTGTCTTCTGCAGAGATGGGGTGTTCACACAGCGTAAAGAGTAACAAAAACCCTCCTCATTCTGTTTCAAGTGATATTTGTAGGCGATGGCGCAAGTAATCAAATTTCAAACATGCCAAACGGTGATGGGAATATCACTTTTAATTTCACATATGCTCTCTGACTCTCTGATAACAAGACCTTCAATTGGAAGCAAGGTATTGATTGTGTTGGTATTTGTATGTTGATGATGAGAAACATCGGATAGGTCACAGGGCACATTGTATTTTACTTATTTACATGTATCATGCAATTCTGAAGTGGAAATGGCATCTCATCCCGCATTTAATCCTAGAATTAGGAAGTGGCGGAGATAGTTTTCATCCCGGTCTTGAAGGCCTTCAAGTTTTCCTGTGCTTGCCAAGTGTTTCCCTGTGAATAAGATTGAGATGGTCAGCCCAGGGGTTTCAATTGAAGTTTACAAGAAGAATATGGACCAACATTCTTGACTGAGACCACGAGTTCATAGCTCTGTTTTCAAAAAAGGGAATTGTCAATGAGTTGACGTCCCATCAGTTTAAGAAAGATGTGACGTACCGGAGCAAAGGAGCCACCTCCCCAGATCAAAGCACCAATGATGGTGGGATAGTTCTGAGGTGCGTCGTGAAGGATCGTATTCAGGTCAGCTGCTGATTGAACGCGAGGGACAGGCGTTACTTACGGCTTCTACGGCGGCGACGTATTTAGCGATGATCGCACTGCAAGACTGAGAGTTGCCCCCACCCATTTCAGTTATCAATGCTTGACGTCCGTCTTTCTTCAATAGTGCGACTGCAGAATTGAGCTCATCAATATGGTCTTGACTGCATTCCCTTTGGGTTCCCACGCCATCATTATCAAAATACTGCCAGAAAGGAAGATTTACAAAGGTCAGCTTGAAATGGGGTGCAGTGCACTGATGGAAAGGAGATTACAAACCTGGTGAAACTCGAAAATCAAACCGTGATGGGTACCATCAGGGTTTTTGATCCCAGACAATCCAAGATTGTAATCATTGGCAAAGGTGGTAGGATGACTCCAGGCATTGCCAGGAAGAATCAACTTGGTTCGAATCGCACCAGCTTTTCTAACAGCAGTGACAACCTGTTGAAGCGTTCCGATCCATGTTTTGCTGTCCACGTCGTGAGGTTCATTCATCAAACCAAAGGTGACATGTCTTTGATCCTTGTAATGCACAGCCAATCTTGTCCAGAGATCCACCAGAGCATCAGCACCTACGTCGCTTTGGCCTACAATTTTACCCTCATGACGTGCATACTTTGGAAAAGGAGATCAAAATCATCGGTAAGAGATGAAATAAGCCTTGAAGTGGAGGGTTCTGATGGGTGCTTGTGTCTTGAAACACGTACGTTGTGCAAATCTATGATGACGTAAGCTTTTTTAGCAAGTACAGCATTCACGTGTTTGTCCAAGAGGGCAAGTTGGGTAGGGTCCAACTCTCCTTTGAGTGTGGGCTAAAGAACGAACATGAATGTTAGTTCAAATAATTGGTTTGGTTTGAATCAATGATCAGGCCAACCTGAATAAATTGCCATCCAAATGGAATTCGGATCATGTTGAATCCCTGGTTTACAAAGTCATCTACTTGAGTCAAGTCCGGTGGTAAGTTCTTGTCTCCCTTTTGGCCATTGGAATTGATTCCAAATTCTAATCCGGCCATGTTGACTCCACGGATGTGGGGGAGGGGGTGACGTGGCTTAGGGGTTGCTTGGCTGGATTTCGGGTCAACTGATGGATTTGTGGTGTCACGTTTATGTGCAGCGAGGCCAGAGGAAAGAGGAGCTTCCGTTGGGATCCTACTGCAGGTTACAGCCGACCAAAAGACCATCGCCAAAAGTATCAATGTCCTTGAGGATCTAAGCATCGTGAACTGTCTTGATATAGAAAGTTAAAAAGTATGTAATGCTCGAGTAAAAAGTACGTCGAATTCAAAAGCGCAGCTCGAAAACAGGAAAGACTGAAGTGCGTAAACGGATAGGGATGGAATGGCTAGTCAAGCAAAGCCTAAATGTACGTAGAAGGATATAGCGAAAGGACAAAGAGATATTGTAAAGGACCGGTAGGCCAAAGGTCGCGAAAGATTGTAAAAATGATGACTGAGGGAATGAAGATGATGACAATGACTACGTCCAGAGCCAGGCTTATATATTGCTCACTTCTAGTGTTGTGGATATCAGTGATGAAAATGAACCCCTCCAAATCAAGCAACTCGCCCAGGCCTCTGTAATCCTATCGATACCTTGCAGTAAAAGTTAAGATCGTCACGCGTGCGTACCAAAAATGTGAGTCTCGAGGGTCAGTCATTTCAACGGTTTCCCTATTCTTTATGATCGGAATCACGTTGAGCATGGGAGACCCTTTCTGGGCTACATCAGCATCTTGAGCTACCGACTAGACAGGGAAAGTGCGCTCGCCGCCGCGACCCTGCTTTGATGTGTCGCAATTCGTTTTGGTTACTCCAATATGTGTTAGCAGGGCCCATCTGAATGTCGATTTTCTGTGGACCTGTGCATTTTTTCAACGAACCCCAGTGGTCAGAGACGCCACAGAGAATTTCATGTAGAAGCAAACAAATGTACTTACCCGGTGCATTCCGATTCGAAACCAAAGGTGCTGCTCTGCAAAACGATCTGAAGTGCATTTGGCATAGGGTTTGACATGGTTTTTCCATTGCCCAACGTCAAAGTCAACTTCAAAAGGTAACCTTTGAGAGTGGGCAGAATATTATGGAGTGCAAACTGGAGACGACCAGCAACCCTTGGCTAGGAATGCGACTCAAAGAGCGATGTTGTTGACCATGGGGAATCGTTTTCTTTTTCAGTGTGGTGTTTGTATGCCAACATACATGGCACCATTTTAATTCTATCCGAAAAGGTGAAGAACATGACATCATTTGATAGTGTTTTACTTTCGAGAACTGCTAAATTTCTCAGTATGTCTTTCCTTCCAAGGATAAGCAAGAATGACAATATTCGCTAAGAGCATTTTTCTTTGATACCCAGTTTGATTTGATCAATTTTTGATATACTGGGTACTACATGGAAAGTTCACCAAGGCGTTTCTTTTCGTCGGTATTGGTATCATAGGCTCACACGGTTACAATGCTCAAAAGTTCGAACTCGTTAAGATTCGTACAAACTCTAGGAATGCGATACTGATAGCCCCTACCAAGAGACTTGCATTGATCATCACACCTTTAGATCAAGCAAAACGTTACGAAGGTAATAGAAAGATGAAGAGACGTCACTGTGACTTATAAGCTACCCTACGTCAACTCGAATAGATGACGGGTTGTCAGAATCTGACTCGTGTTCAATCAGCACTGTAGATTCGACAATATTGTGGTCAAAATTCTGAGAGAACATTCAAAAGCATCATGTCGTTTACGAGTGTGATTTCAATATCAGCAACTTTTCCTGTTTGGAAGGCGAGCTTGATGTTGGGACGCAAAACTCAATCATACATGTGCAAATGCATGAAGGTGTTGTCAATCTGATGTGGAATCATTACGCATCCGGAATTGCAGCTCTTCTAGATTAAATCAAATGATTGCAATCTCAGGTACTATCCATTGATCAGAGCATAGACTACGTTGATTCAGAAGGACCTTAGGAGTGAGAGACAGGCGAGCTTTAGAAAAGTCGGCAAAAATCTAGACAGCGGCCAGCGCGGTCTTCAAAGAAGCAAAGTTCATTTGATCTTTCCATCCATTGCCCTGGAGCATATCATGGGAAAAGATGATCAGTCGAAAGAACTCAAGAGAGACCAAAATGACCTCAAGTAGAGGATGAATTGACTAACCTCCTTGACGGTGACCACCAAAGTGTAATCCTAATCATGTCACCCAGTCAGCATGATATGGCCATACCTTAGACGCGAAGCAAAAAAACGTACAGGAGCGAATGAACCTGCGCCCCACATCAATGTTCCGATGACCGTAGGGTATGCCTGCGGATTCCATAACAAAGATCAGTTCACACAAGGCCTTACGTCGGTTTGTTGAGAAAAGCAATCTTACACTTGCGGCCGCCGCGACAAATTTGTGGATAATGTCACTACACGATTGAGAGTTCCCACCTCCTAATTCAGTGATCAAAACTTGTCGGCCATCTTTCTTTAACAAGTCAACAACAGATTGCAGCTCGCTGAGGTGATCTTGAGTACATTCTTTTTGGTCCCCAACCCCGTTATAATCAAAGTACTTCAGATGAAGAGCAATCAACTTTATCAGCCAATTCTTCGCGGAGCATCATAATCAAATCAAGAACAAACTTGATGAATCTCGAAAATCAAGCCTCGAACCGAGCCATCTGGGTTCTTGATCGCTGACAATCCATTGTTGTAATCGTCTGCAAAAGTAAGAAGGTGCTCCCAGGCGTTACCAGGAAGAAGGATATTGTTTTCCGCTCCCGCCTTTCGAATTCCGGTAACGACCTGTTGGACCACGCCGATCCATATCTTGCTGGTCACGTCGTGAGGCTCATTCATCAATCCAAACATCACATTAGGTTGATCATTATAATGTTTGGCTAATCGGGTCCACAAATCTACTAATGCGTCTGCGCCTACACTGCTCTCGCCAATAATCTGACCATCACGTCTGGCAAACTATGTTTAACGTGCGAGGGAAAGGAGACAGCAGGCAATGAATGATAGCATAGGGGGAAAAGAAGAGCTCGAAACCTGAGTCACGTACGTTGTGCACCTCGATTATAGCAGTTGCGTTCAGCTGAGTGGTAGCAGTCACGTATTCATCCAAAAGGGAAAGATAGGTTTTATTGAGATCTCCTTTAATCGTATCCTAAACACAAGAAAACAAGCGTGGCAATCATGAGCAGATATATCCAATGACGAGGCTAGATAGCATTGACGGTGATCTTTATTACCTGCATGTATTGCCAGCCAAAGGGGAATCGGATAACGTTGCTCCCGCCTTTTATGAAGTGAGGAATTTGATCAAGGGGTGGCGCTTGAGGTGGATTTCCATTCCTGTCCCCATTACTACCGATCCCAAATTCCAATCCTGCCATATTGACTCCATTCATGCGCGGAAGTAGATGGTCAGACCGATGTCCCGCTTGATCAGGTACGCTGTTCTCTCGGCGTTGTAGCAAAGTTTCTCCTTGTTCACCGGATCCAGTCCAGATAGATCGACAACTTGCGACGGAAAACAGTGCACACAGCAACATAAGCGTTGTTTGTAGGTTGGAATTCATGGTGAATTTATGGCCTGGAGGTTTATAAAAGAGAGATAAAGCTTATTGATTGATGAAAACACCCGAAAAGGTAACCACAGGTTCGACGATAAGAAGACAAAACTATCAAAGTTATTTCAGAACAGTTAAATGATAGATGATGAAAGACAATGAGTTGAAGGGTATTGGGAAACGATGTGTGTGTTGAGTTATATACGTGAGGGGGCTCAAAAAGTAGCCACTATTTAAACGGACAGAAAAAGAATGGACGCCAAAGGCTGTATTCCTTGATGTTCTGGCTGGACTACTAACCACGCTATCGTACTTGTTCCCCCACTGATATTTCTCTGCGGAAGATGTGCTCACATCTTCTCCGATTTCCCCTTGCCAGCCCAATGTCCATCGCCTCAATACATACCTCCGTCTAGCTGTCTCAAGTGGTCGAAGGCAGCTGTTGATAGTTACTAATGTCGTTGCCTGGCCCGCATCATCTCACATCATCTGAGATTTCGAGAGAGATTTCGGTACCCAAGTGATTTAGCTCATTCAAACCAGCGATCCGGGTAAGTGACGAGCAACGAATGGTGTCTTTGAAGTCTTCCCTAGTCTTCTGCCGCGGAGGAGAACAAGTGGATTCGGGATCACCCTTGATCATTTTCCGGCACCACAGACAGACACCCACGTCTGTGCCCAGCGCAGTCCTTCGAAATCCGCAGGCTCAGCCCCGCTGTCAATCTTTGCAGGATTGTATCTCACGGGTCGCATCTCGCCTTGAGAGGCACGCGATCTAATTCTGACATTTCAGCTGTTGTGTGATGAGTCTCTCAAGTCACACCCAACAGCACCCAACCCCCGATGGCTGCAGCGAACGCGATGCCCCTTTTCACCCGGGACAGAAACAAAAGACTGGAAAAACTTAGGTTCTTTTTTCAGAGGAAACTCTGAGTCTACTTTTTGAACCAGGTCTTGTCAGACTCAGAGGTGTAAATTCAATCTTGCTGTCAAAACACTTCCTTTACAATCCAGCTTTCCACTGGAGTTAGTGTGCATGCCAATTAAAGACAAACACAAGATACATTTTTTGATGATAGGTTTACATTGACTGAAATCTACTGTTAAGACCAAGCTATGTACTTAGACTTGGAACTTTGGATAGGGAGAATTATTATTATGGTGTCAACTCTCTAGCTTTTGGTCTATCCTGGTAAACATGATGAGTACATCTAATTGAGCATTGAGACATCACACATCCTGCCATGGTACATTACATGATTAGACTAATGCATATTTAATCTTTCTAATGCCATGCAAACGTGTATTGTGTTCAATTATTTGTATAAGAATAACCACATTTATCACTATGTTATGCTTTTCTCTTTTCTCATCAAACTCAATAATTTTCTTTCTGACAATCTTTTTTCTCCAGATTGTGATTCTCTGATCATTTTTGGTCTCATCATGAAGACTGAATCATGATCTTCACTATCATCAGGTGTTAGTCTAACTTAACTAAGTCCCTCCTCCTCGCAGGCGTCCTCCGGAGCCTGCGGAGGAGGGACTTACAACTTATCGAGTTGTTTCAGCCTGAGTAGATTTGGATTTGGCAGGGGCCATCTCCAATCCTCATTTTCACTGTGTCACACAAAATGACTCCTCACTTTCATCCGGGCAGACTATAGAACAAAGTCTTGCCCATCTTTTGGCCTCTTCAGATTCCTCTCAAGAGGTTTCAAATCAAAAAGTCCAAAGGACCTCAAAAATCATTAAAATCGTGATTTTATTTTTATTTTTTTATTTTTTTGCTGCGAGAACAGTACATGTGCATCTGTATATATGGCAGGCTCCGGAGGACGCCTGCGAGGAGGAGGGACGTAGTTAAGTTAGGGTGTTAGTAGTAGCTTTTATTATCAGCTGTTGCTACATAGATGCCACCCATGCCCTACACCCAGCACTACACGAAATATAATATTTTCTGTGCAGAAAATTAAATTATTGATACACAAAAATATTGAGAGGCCAGGAGAAGGGCAAAAAATAAATAAAAATATGCATCTTGTTCCCTGCGGTGAGAGCTTCACTCTCCATATTTTTCCATATTTTTACAGTCCGTATTGATAAGTGTACTAACAATAAACCTTCATAATCACCCAATTACAACCTGTAACAAGCACTGAAATTTGGCTCATTAGTGTTTAGAGAAACTTTTGATTTCTGAAAACACCTAGGGCCCGTTCGGCTGTTTTTCCCAAAAGTTGTTACACAAAAGCGACTTTTCATTTTGCCCCGTTTACAAGGGGCAAAATGAAAAGCTGAATTTTGGCTTCTTTCACTACACCAAATGTAATCTTTACCGGGCGGTAAAGAAAACTACTGACATAGAAAAGTCCTGAGGCAACAGGAAGAGAGCTAAAAATCTGAAAAAATATGCACCTTGTTCCTAGATGTTGGGGCGTCATGATGAGTATTTTTTTGTATTTTACACGCAGATATTGGTTAATGTACTAACAATAAAGGCTGAAAATCATCAAAAACCCACCTGTAACAATACCTGAAATTTGGGTCATGATTATAAAGACAATATTTTGTGGTCTAAAAACTTCAATAACTTTTGCAATTCTGCTCCAAATAACTCGATTTTTGGTTCATTCAAAAGCTGAACCATTCTCCTTTACACTTCATAATGTCAGCAAGGTGCTATCTAGTCATTTGAACGCTCTACATATGTCCAAACAGTTCTGCATGAATAGCTCTGTAGGACCTTCTTCAGACGGGCTACAGATGTA